AATAAGACCAAAATTCACGATTCAAATGTTGATTTGAACAAAATGGCGGCTGTTGGAATTCGAATTTTGTAGGCTTTGTATAAAAAACCTCCTACCCACGTACCCTCGTACCCACGTACGTGGGTCCTGACCCAGTCTTTAAAGAGTTAAATCTTTAACATTTTTTAAACATTATTCTATCTCAATGTATGCTTAATTATGGATGAATTTATGTACCCATATGCCTTTATTTCTAGATCGGACATCTGTCTCGTCATAAAATAAAGCCGGCATTGCATAATGTTCATTTGAGCTATTTGAGTGTTGTTTTTGATATATCGAAGCGATTTTTTGTTGATCGGGCAGTCTTACAGTGTACAACCAATCTATTGCTTGGCGCAAATTGGCCACATGGGGCATGTGTTGTAAAGTGCTGTAGTTTTTGACCCCATGAGCAGAATATGGTAAAACTTTCACAACAAAATTCACATTGAATGACCTGAATGATTCTGGATTGACGAATTTATTCAACTTTTCATCAGTCCTGTTTTTTAACACCCTGTAGTTTCGATTTTTATCACATATACTTTTTATTCTTTCAAACGATATTACAAGTATTCATTGTTTGCACGACAGATTTGAACTATACGTGTAATTTGTATTATGTCTTTTATTTAATTTAACATCAGAATTGGAGATACAAAGTGATAGAATGATCAATTCACACGATGTAAAGGAATAATAAAGGCTGCATTTCTGTTTAACCGTGGCGCAATTGAATAACGAAATATTTGAAAAGTAGAAGGATTCGCTATATTCGTTTTTAATCGCTTTTTAGCACAATTTAAGGATAATTGTGCGCACTAGTTCAGTGAATCATTTAGATGGAATTAAAAGTTAGAGTTGCCAAACTTATGCAGGGGAGTGTAAGTTTGGTTTTGTAAACTTCGACATTATTCATGGCCGTTTGATCCATAATTAGGTAATATAAAGAGTAGAGTTTTATTTTGACAATGATTTGATGTAAAACTGGTTTGAATGATAAAAGTTCAGCTTTGTAGTTTCTAGCTTTTTGCGCGTAAAACGTGAATACAATGGACAACAACGACACCAAATCTTTGACTAACATACAGGGTGTCCAAAAAAAACAGGACCGTAAGAAAGTTGAATAACTCGTGCCCACTTTGAGCATGTTTTAAAAAGGACTGTAGTTTTTGACACACTGAACAGATTATCATTAAACTTTTGGAACAAAATTCACATTGAATGAACTAAGTAATTCTAAAATTTCAAGGCGAAATATGCAAAATTGACCGAGTTATTTAACTTTCTTACGGTCCTGTTTTTTTTGGACACCCTGTACGTTAATAACGTATAATATTCGTAAGAATGAATTCTAATAACATTTGAAATAAACATCTATTAAAATGTGGTGAATTTAATTGGTTGGAAACTCTAAGAAATATATTTTTAAAAAGATGTCAACTTTTGGACAAGGGTAAACTTCCCGGGACATTTACAATCTGCATGAGGTAACAGGAGGCACGGATTGCACTGAACGAAGGCTAGGAGATTGCTAATCAGCACTGATGTGTTATACAGGTAAGACTGCCCGATCAACAAAAAACATTTCGACATATCAAAAATAGCTCAAATAGCTCAAAAATAATGAACAAAATTATGCAATTCCGGCTTTATTTTATTTTACTAGAGAGATGTCAGACCTATAAATAAAGGCATATGGATGCATAAATTCATCTATAATTCAGGATAAACTGAGATTGAAGATTGTTTTAAACATTTAAAAATTTAACTCTTTAAAGACTGGGTCAGGACCCACGTACGTGGGTACGAGGGTACGTGGGTAGGAGGTTTTTTATACAAAGCCAATTTTGTAGCACGACATCCCTATAATTATGGGACAGAATATCGATGTTGTACTCTGCAGAGACAATCCTCCTTGGTTATCATTGTTGTTGTACTCTATCGTGAGTTAATCTCATTGTCTGAGTGGTATTGCCATCTATATTTATCATTAACACCTGCTTACATGTTGAGTGTAAGCACGTTTTGCGTCGGTGGTGATTGTTACGCTACTGGTGGTGCCAGGCCTTTATATTTGTTCAAAGTGTGTTGCTCCCAAAGAAACGGGACAGGGCTGATAGAATGTGTATAACCCAAGACACTCGAGTAAGAGCCAATTCTTAATGGACAAACATCGTCCATATGTACACTACACGATTTGCGGTAGAGTTAAAAGTCGTGGCGGAAATCTCCTGTGTATACGATTATTAAACATTGAGAACTTTTATTTACAAATAAGTCATTTTATCATTGATGGTTTGTCAAACCTTTCGACAGGAACAATTCTTATCTGAAATAAATTTTAGTTTTAGTTTTGACAATGGAAATTGTTATGATTTAGACTGGTACGTGAGGACGTAGACATGGTGTATTGGACAAGATATACAACTGTTAAATTGTTATCTACTTCAAAGACAACGTTTTTAAGTTTTCTTAAAAGTGCACCTATCTTCAATAGGTGATATGTGTTCGAATATATGAAGGTCAAACAAAGATAGATCATAATTCAATCACCATATAGTTAATTGCATCCGTCCTGAACCCTCTTAACAATCAAGTCTTTACTTCGATGTTTGTAAATCAACTGTAAAGTACAAATATTGTTTTTTACCAAAGAACATTAATCAAACAATAAATTTCGTAGATATCGAACTAAAAGGTAACCATTGAAACAAAAATCATGATCATTTTTTAAAGATTTACTTGAGTCGAGTGTGTATGATAATTGAACTTAAAATAAAGTATCCTCATAGTACACCGTATGTGTATTAAAAGTAAACATTCACGGCGAAGGCGCTAACAGGAATGTTACAAGTGTAACACTAGCTGACACATTCACTTGTGAAAATCGTCCAATTTTAGAAAACAAGGGATTGACTGACAAGGCTGAGATAAAAGCACTGAACGCATAGAGACCGAGGTACCTGGTCAATTTGCTTTTTGTTGAAATATAAATATGTATTTGTCAATATCATTTCCTCGATCATATTGGCCTTATTTGACTTAAAAGAGTTTTCTTGTACTAACCACTAGACATCGAGCGCCATTTGACAATGACTGCAGGGACTGGAATATCATTAATATTGAAGGTAGTCTGCAAAATAGACTCATCGAGTTAAAACAAAAAAATATACAGGATGGGCCAATTAATACTGATTATAATATATACACACATTTTCATAAATTCACATAAATGTATCTTAAACCTTTATGTTTTAATATTTTACCTGAAATTTATTACACGCATGCGATGCAATGTGTCTCCTGCTATTTCTAGGCTAAATTTGGGGATCACTGTTACATGATATTACATTTACATACTTTTGTTAAACATTTATTTCAGTTGCAATGAACAGTTACCAGTATTAGTGGTTTGGTCAAAGTATGCCAATAATTTATATAATGGTTCTGCCAATGCGAAGACAACAGTATGAACTTGTGAAGTATGAATAAACTCTCTTAAATCAAATATTATAAATGATTTAGTATAAAGCAGATGAATCATTGGACATAGTCGATCTTTACGTGAATAATTTGGAGGCTAGACACACGCTAAAAATACTTGCATCGTAAATATCTATTGAACCACTTAATCAACATAGTAAGTGCTGGTGGAGAATTCTTTGGTCTTGCAAATGCATTTGATGTCATTTAAAAAATCGAGTTTCACGAAAGTAATTTCATGATGAAGCTTCCCATAAGGAATTGTATAACCTTTGGATGAACTGAAAACTATAACAGCTGAGTATGAGTACATTAAGTGTAAAGAACGTGATGTAGTTCCGATTGATCAAATGCAACATTTGACAAGTGATACCACAGGGTTCACTCTTTAAAGCCACATTGTTTTTAAGATCAATTTATTTTTTCACACAGAAGCCATAGTCTGTCTGCTAGTCATAAACTGAGATGTATGGTGTTAATTGAAAGCTATCAGTGCATGCTGTTAGTTATTTAAAGCTTACTCAAAACATTTTTAATGTTAATTCTTTCCAAAAATATCGATGAATGCCTTTTGTATATGGCCGAATTTAATAAGGTAAAATATAACCAATAGAGTGGGATACTGAATTAACCGAAGAACACTTATCCCATAACCATACCGTGAGACAACTACACGGGTACATGTACCTTACTTCCTCAGGTCATGGCTTGAACTTGTTCTCGCTAAGTCAAACACTCGATACATGTTTTATTGGCAATAATTGGGTTATTGATGATAACGGAGCAAGAATTAACCCCTGTCCGTGGTGTCAACAGCAATAACAATTGACCAATTAATCCCTAATACACCATAAATAAAACAAAGTCCATTCTTGTATAGTATAAAGCTTGTATTCGCGAAAGCAGCTTTCAGCTGTCGGCTACCGGATTAACCAACTGTCTTATCGGCAACTAATTTAAATATGAATAATATCTGCCACTATTCCATTCATATTCAAATGAGTTGGTCATGAAATAGTAGGATAATCCGGTACCCGACATCCAAAAGTTGCATTCACAAATACAAGCTAAGTCTCAAACAGTCATATTATCAAATCACCAGCCTCATATCCAAATGTTCAAAAAAGATGATACAATTATTTATGAAAGATTTTCACTTTCTAACTCCCAACGCCACATTCTACAACTATAACATGAAGAATCAGTTAAATTTGTGAAAGCTAAGGTATATTGAATCATTTGAGTAAATTTAATACTAGACGTATGACGTAGTAGTTGATTCTTTAGAATATTTGTCTGGATAGACATGGTCGACATCGGAATTTGAATAATGATAATCTGAATGAGTTTTTATATCCTTCTGTGTAAATCACAACGAGACATTCAAAATAATCTATGAACGGACAAAATATGATACTTATATCAACAACAAAATAAGGTATGCAAAAAGAGTGCAACTGTAAACAACATATTCTATGAATTTGTACTAACCATGCCGTGACTCGACTCCGGGGATATACATGTATTCTACGAAACCCCACGAGTGGCGTCGTGGTTGCGCTTTGGCGTTGCTCCGTTGTGCCTTCCCCCGTGGGTACGGGTCCACCCTCACCCCTGACCTGCCCCTCCTCGGTGGGAGTCAGCCGTCCTCTTGTTAAACTTGCCCCAACAATTTTAATTACTGATAATGCTGCTACAACAGCAGTTCAACATAGAAAACCAAGTAGCACTTCGTTTTACATCTTTTTCTCCTTAACACTGGAAATTAATTCTTTTTTGGAGATTAGCTTCTCATTTGTTTGCTCTGAAAGATCCCGATCCTGTGTTTATATGCTATTTTAGTAGTAGGATCCAGGTAAGCAAAATGAATGATGAACCAGTTAATTTTTAATCACAACAATTCTAATTACATCAATTCCCTGGAGTTCTAGGATCAATAGGTATTTTGAGTTACACATTGGTTAGGCTCCTGTATCATCTTTTCTATTTTCCTATAAGACATTTCGATTGTCAATGTAAACCCTTCTCCAGAAATATCTCAATTTTGACGAATCGATTATCGTTTGAATCGAATATGACAACTGCGATAAGTCACTTTTTGCATTCGATCGCCGATGAAAAGCGCCGTCTGGAATATAACTGCACAATTCCAAGTTCGTCTCAATCGTCTGATTTCACTTGTGTTATTCCTACTAGAGATAACGTCCGCATTTGGCATTGCGTTGTATTAAATTTGCGAATTTTTTAGCGTTCCCAAACAATGTGTTTCGAAATAACTTTGTGCGATCAAATATGAGCGTGAACTCTGGGTTAACCGGGGAGCCTATCTCTTACCCACTCAACAAAAATGATCTATGCACATTCATTCACTGTTAGGTAAACATTTGCCTGTATATTTACAGACCTATCGGGACAGGTAAAGTCGATATCTATCTTAGGTGACTTGTATTTTGCCGCCATTCAAGGTTTCATTAAATCGTAAAGAACAGCGTGTATAACTAGTTAGTTTGAGCGACTGCTGAGCAAAAATAAATAAATGAATAAAATGGAAGTCAGACATGGGTGGTGCAAGATTGAAATTATTGAAAAGTAAAAAATTATTTTAATATTTAAGGGTAAGAGTACTGTTGGTACAAAATAAACTCAGCACCGAACCAAAAAAGCATTGATATTCTAGACGACAGATGTGGGCCTTCATCTCCAAATGCATTAAGTTATAGCTTGAGAAACATAGGTGTTCTCACAATATAGACAGCGTGATAAGTTCCAAAATCTATTAATCTATGAATATCTATATACCTTTTATAATATAAGTCTACTTATTCTCTAAGTAGGTGCATACTGCATATATGTGCTTTAAATATATTTTTTATGCTTGCAGAAAAGAAGTTTTTTTTATTCATTCGTGAAGTATCTTTAATATCAAGTGTTGCTTATAGTGATATATAGTTGAACTTATAGTGATAGTCTTGCGATCGTTCTCAATTTCCTTTCAATTTTGATGTACGAGCGTTGTCCAAAAAGTCTTGAAATCTTCGCTATAACCTTCTTGAATGTTCTTAAATTCAGCTTAAGTTTTGTGTTCACCTTAAGTTTTGTGTATACTACAATCGAAGTGTCGTCTATCATAACCTGAAGTTTCAGCATCTTACATTAATTGGGGCAGGTACCATTTTTTCAATCATGTGTTATTTTACTTCTTTCTTCTAAATATCAAAATGTTTGAGAAACCATTACATTTATTCATCATGGTGTTCACCAAGCACAATAATGCCATTCAGCATTGTGGTGTTATATTGCATCAGTTCAATAGTCCCAAATTTAAACTCATTCAAAGTAAGGAAATTGCAAAATGGCTGAAATTCTCCAACCTGATATGAAGTCATAGTGTGCATTAATACGTTTCATCATTAACTTGGTCTCAAAGCCACACAAACTTATGACTCTTACTAAGATGATGAAAGTGAACAAGGGGTATACACCTTATCATTGTGGCAGAGGAGATGATGACAGAAAAAATGATAACAGACCCAAATGACAACTCCAAACTTGAAAGGCTTAAGACTCCAAACCTGGGAGACCAAATTAAAGACTCTCTGAGTCAAGGTGGAAAATTGCCATGACTGGTTTGGGAACGCATCAAAAGTGCATTACAAGTGCAAAGGCCAATATTTTGAAAGTGTTAAATGGGACACTGCACAGTATACATCAATTAAAATTAAATGTGCTCCTAATAATTTAGTAACTATAAATATATCATTAAGTATTGCATGTTTGGGATATGGTCCTAAATTCAAAATTTTCTATTTTTGTACTGGATCCCTGTGCAATATAATATTTAATTATATACCCATATTAGGGTCTACAAAGGTTATAGTCATATTGAGAGGTCAAGGTCACCTGAAAGAAACAACCCACAAAGAGTTAATTCTCTGCTTGTGACATATAAAGATACATGTACACCATACATAGAAAATTAATTACATTACTCAATGTATGCTTTTGCATATCAAATTAAAAAAGAGAAGCTTAATGGCACCAACGTCAGAATGTTCCTCTTTGTGCTTTTGATACAGTTGACGTTTTTATGTTTAAAAAGTCAATATTGACATTCTTGAGATCATGCAAGGCCAAATTCCTAGATGTATGTCACTGACAGAGTTAATGTCACCATTGTCACAACAATGTCACCATTGTCCCAGCAATGTCATTTATTTTTGAATTATAGAAACGAGCTGTTCCTTTTGGCATAACGCCAATCGTGTTTTGCAATATCCCACCTGATAAAACAAAGTTTTCGTAAAAATGTAAGAATGTTTAATTACCATTTATTTGGGATAAAATGATTAAAGTGATTCAAGTCAATATGTAATTGCTGGTAACAATATGTAGGGCTTATATCATCGTGGAATCAACTAAGACGAAATTGAGAAAAAGCAAGTTCCTGTTCAACCGATGTAGACAGGGTAGGTATCTCATGTAATAAATGTCTATGAAGGGCAAAATCATCGAACTGGAGAATTTACTACCCCCCCCCCCCATCACCCGCCCCATATAATTGGGGCCTTGAATACATAGCATGGGCTAACAAATATGCGCAAAATTAATTACAATTAACCAAATGATACCTACCCCTTACACATCGGCTTGTTTTCACTTACCAAAATAAATAAAGCATTTTTTGCTGAAGTCATCATATTTTCTCAGTGTCAATTGACACTTTCGTCAGAGATGCAGCAACTTTTTGTCTATATAGTCCTGCTTTCATTTTCTAGGCGTAATAATTCAATGGTTCACATGTATACATCGGAGCCTCTCGTCTTGATTTTGTCATTTATATGCTCAAATTCAATAAAATGTAATTACGTCAATTGGTTGATTTACCTCTTTGAGTCGGTTTATTTTTATTATTAAATGTATGGATTCAGCATAATGGTCCATTTGTCGTTATTGTCTAAAAGTTTGACTGCGATTCCCGTGTGTTGGTCGGCTTAATAGTTATGAATTAACGCTCAAATTGAGCGTTTCGTCGAAATAATAGTTCCTGTTTGATTTCTTCCTCTAATCTCGGGATATTTTGTTACTATTTACGTCTTCTAGAACCGACAAAGATCCATAGTCGTTAATGAGTTCTTGTACGTTTGAGTTCATCTCAAAATAGTTTGTGTTTAATGAAATCACATCTTGGTTCTTCACTGGTCTGTTCTATACTCACTAATGGGTGAGGTCGTCGAAACAAATCCTTGATTTCATATATACCTTTTATTTCATTTTACTCATGGAACTACGGGAGTAGTTCTTGCGCGTGTTGCTTAGTCACTTGCTTGCATACTTTTACTGTTGATAGGCCTATTTCATGGTCTTATATTCGATAGTATCTATTATCTACTGTTATTTACCAACATCATCCGTATTCAATCTTTTTACTATTATGTATGATTTCAAAAAGGTAATATTTGGTAATGATAAACATGTCGTTATTCTATCTATCCCTATATACATTTTCATTTGAATCAGCAATTGACTAATAAACGTTTTTCAAACAAACACCATATACATAGGCTTTAGAGGGCATTACTTTCTCGTATTATAAAAAACATTTGCCATTCGTGGGGAAATGAATATGTTAAGGAATTTTACACTCTCAAAATTGCAATATTGAGAAAGGAAGATATTTAGTTCTTTTGTATGACGTCCCTAGTTTCAAGAATGTTAACTTAATTTACACACAGCGGTGACTTTTAATTCATTTTCTCTTTTCAATAACGTTAAAATATTATATATCATACTATTGACGTTTTTAAAGATAAATCATCAAAAATTCTGTTCAAAATGTCAACCTTGTTCTACTTCAGGCGTCATTTAGAAATAACATTCTTGGATCGTTTGCAATAAATATTAAGTTTCACATTTAGATAACATCAAACGAATGTTGAACTTTTATTAAATTGGTGTTTGGAGTTACATTTTTACAAAGGTTACATGATACATTCTTTGATGAATGGAAATCAAGGTGACCTCCGAGAAGTTCTTTTAGAGACCCATTCTGAAAAGAACACTAATGTTTATAACGAGTAGGGAGTAAGTTTCTTAAATAGCAGTCATGTAAAATTAGATTTGCCACAATTATTTCTGTATTCTAAAAATTATTTTACATTGACTGGCTGCACGACATGAAAATTAATGATTTTTATGACGTTTATGGGAAAGCTTTGATTCACATGACGATTGACTTTTGCGGTTATGAATGAGCCCAGTGGTGTGTAGTTTGGTTCAATACACAGGCTGCAAACAGGCTACACGCATTTTATGTAGATGGGCGTTTGCTTGTCAATTCGACAAGTTGTTCTTTTGGGGCGCTTATTCATTTAAACCAGGCCTTTGGAATTGTTCTTAAATTTTTAATAACTTTAAAGAATTAATTCATATTGTAAAATTCATTGTAAAAGACAAAGAAAAGGTCCGGACACCAAGTTAGACTAATTGGTCTCGTTATATCAATTCATGGACACCCTGTATTGCAAGTATATTGACGTAATACGATCTATTTGGAAGGAAGTAAGAGAAATTGCAATCAATCTTTTTCAATATCTAAGAGCGTGGGTTGGTACTTAGGAAATATACGAATTAAGATTTGACATGATGAGCTATTGACATATTCCATGAAGCATGCCTCTCTTAATAGAGAGAGTTTTAGAACGTGCAATCCAGGTAGAGATTTGGATATTTTTAGTGTCATTGATTCCGAGAAAATAAATTCGTTAATTGTGTAATTGAATTTAAATAGGGATATTTGCTAGTTGTAGCATCGATTCAAGGAATTGATATCAAAAATGTCGCCCACGTAACTCTTGGGGCACAGAGACCAGTGATCTGACTCTTTTGGGCTTCTAAATGAGTGCCTTAGGATAATTTAACTCACTGAAAACAAAAATAAAAGATTCCAAACATTAGGTTGAAATCTTTATTCATCCCTTTGGAATTATGTCTAATAAATCTTTTATAGTTAATGTTTTGCAAATGAGCGCAATATCATTGCAGTATTTAATTTTATGAAGGAATAAAGTACATACTTGTAGTCCTAAGAAATCTGCAGATGTATAGCAGCGCCATCTTTAAATAGAATGCTCTTTTTTTCTGGCATAAGGTGGACATACAATTGTAAGACAATCATTACTAAGACAAAAATCATATTAGTGTTTCTTGTTTCTATTGGCGAATGTACAAAAATGCAAGAGGTAAGTCGGTAACATGTACACTGTACAGATATCAGGATCGAGTTTGTCCTGACATCTATATAAGAGAGACGTTTTTAATTTTATGGATCTCAACCTTTTTTACAAAACTTGCTCAGATGAATTTTGCTTTATTTCAATAGCATCTTTTCAGGGTGATCAATGGAATGAGACCTACCCTTTGCATTCGTTCGGCTTCACTTTTAAAGGAGGGTTTCGTTTTCGTAGTTTATAACCGTACACGCTGCGCGCGGGTAATTTTATGATGGTCTCAGGTGACAGGCGGAGTAGACTGGCAACAATGCTAATGGCATGGTATTCAAGTAAGCACACAAAACATACCCATAGGAAGGTTGGGTAGACTGTAAATCTAGTAAATCTAGTAAATCTCGTAAATCTAGTAAATCTAGTAAATCTAGTAAATTTAGTAAAATCTAGTAAAATCTTGTAAAAACTTGATTATTCAATGTCTAAGATACAAAGTGCAAATGTCGAAAAAGCACTGAAAATGCCTTTGTATGAATGAAATGAACATGTAGAAAAAATTCTACCTTTTATTTCATTATATTTAGTTACAAAACAACTATATGTTAGTACTGGATAACAAAATGGTTATCAAATGGTACACCCATTTTATCATCATACACACCCCACCCAAGAAGCATGCTCTATTAACAAATTAAGCCACACATTTAAGGACTGAGGGGACAATGCGTACCATCTAAATGACGCAGGCTTGTTTTTCCCTTGCAAAATGTCATAATGCTTGGCCTATCGGTAGACTGTAAATCTAGTAAATCTAGTAAATCTCGTAAAACTCGTAAATCTAGTAAATCTAGTAAAATCTAGTAAAATCTTGTAAACTTTTTAGGGACCATTCATTTGATATCAATGTCAGTCTCTATGAAGAGTATTGGTGATTATGATTCTTTTTTAGAGCAATGCATTATTGTCCCAACGGGAAGCTAACTCGAATACTACGAAGCCGATTCTCTCTATATTTGATGGAAAGATGTATAATGGTCATACTTTTTATGGACTTTTCATCAAGACAGCCTCCCTTTTAAAAATGGCGGGAATTTTTCGTAGAAATCTAAGTTATACCTTAGCTCCCTGAATGTAACATCATTTCCATTCTCAAAAAGTGATAAACATTACTGTTAGCAATTTCGGCAGTATGCTCACAACATACATGTATATCTATTGATATATTATTGAGCCTGACTGCCATGAGCGATGAATGGGAATGGGGGGGGGTATTCAAACTGCAATATTGACTATGCAAAATATGAATAGGCTTATTGCCCCGGGCTTATTGCATGGTCAAGAAGTGAGGTAATTTCCCACAAAATCATGAAGGATGCATGTAGATTGCAAAGATGAGCATCTAAATGGTGCCACCACATACCTGTTACAAAAAGACCTTCTCTGCATTAAAATTCAGAGTCATTCCTTTCATCAAATACTCAATTTACACAATTTTTAACAAAATTGTGAAATATTATAATAAAAAAGAATGTTTAAAGGGGTAATATGATATGGCTTTAAACTATTAATTACAAGGAATATAAGGAACATATCATCATCAAAACATAAATGGAAAGCATTATAGAAATGCCATACTATACTTTATGTATAGGTAAAGCAAATAGATCAATCAGTGAGTTGTCTAACTCTTCCCCTTACCATAGCATTTGATTGTGTTTTAATAATTTTTTGAAATTGCCATTTATCCATTTCCCTAACATTGGAACTTCTACAAATATAGTCAATTGAACAGCATCAACAAACAATAAGCAATAACTAAATTATCTGATAGGCGAAGCATTATAACATTTTGTGAGGGAAAAACAAGCCTGTGTCATTTAGATGGTACGCATTGTCCCCTCAGTGTGGCTTAATTTGTTAATAGAGCATGCATCTTGGGTGGGTTGTGTATGATGATAAAATGGGTGTACCATTTGATAACCATTTTGTTATCCAATACTACCATATAGTTGTTTTGTAACTAAATATAATGAAATTAAAGGTAAATTTTTTTCTACATGTTCATTTCATTCATACAAATGCATTTTCAGTGCTTTTTCGACATTTACACTTTAAATCTTAGACATTGAATAATCAAGTTTTTACTAGATTTTACTAGATTTTACTAGATTTACTAGATTTACTAGATTTACGAGATTTACTAGATTTACTAGATTTACAGTCTACCTGGCCTATCTGATAATTTAGTTATTGCTTATTTTTTGGCGATGCTGTTCAATTGACAATATTAGTAGAAGTTCCAATGTTAGGGGAATGGATAAATGGCAATTTCAAAATTGATTTTTCGAACCCCCAAAAATAATAAAAACAATCAAATGCTGTAGTAAGGGGAAGAGTGAGACAACTTACTGATTGATCTATTTGCTTTACCTATACATAAAGTACAGTGTGGCATTTCTACAATGCTTTCCATTTACGTTTTGATGATGATATGTTCCTTATATTCCTTGTAATTAATAGTTTTAAGCCATATCATATCAGCCCCCTTAAACATTCTTTTTTATTATAATATTTCACAATTTTGTTAAAAAATTTGTATATTGATTATTTGATGAAAGGAATGACTCTGAATTTTAATGCAGAGAAGGTCTTTTTGCAACAGGTATGTGGTTGCACCGTTTGGATGCTCATCTTTGCAATCTACATGCATCCTTTATCATTTTGTGGGAAATTACCTCACTTCTTGACCATGCAATAACCTATTCATATTTTGCATAGTCAATATTGCAGTTTGATTTCGTCAAGCCCACATCCAGATCATATTAGTAAGGGATAAGTTGATTTAACATTATCACCAATTCTTGAAATTTTTCATCATGGAACGTTTTTCCCCAGAAAGTTATGTATGCGATATTTATATTTTTGAAAAGTAATTAAAATTGTACAATATTTATTAATAATCAAGAATGCTGTAAAAGGAATCATAATCACCTATACTCTCCATAGAGAATGACATTGATATCAAATGAATGGTCCCTAAAAAGTTTACAAGATTTTACTAGATTTTACTAGATTTACGAGATTTACGAGATTTACTAGATTTACTAGATTTACAGTCTACCGGAAGGTTGGGATATTGAATCCATCCAGCAATTTGGTTAAATTGCTGATGGTCAGATAGTTCGCTGCCATTCTATTTTAAAGATGCATGTGGAAGCCCAACTTTTCTGGGCTAGCCCGGCCAAGTGTTCTGACTCTTGCCAAGCTATTTTGACATAATTGTTCCAATTTTTCTGATCTTATCTGAATACATACAAGGGTGAAAAAGATGTTTGTCCCCTTTTGAGAATGTCGACCAATTTTGATTTCGAAATTAAGGTCCATTTTTCCGAAAACGAGGCATATTATTCCCAGGCCACGCTAATATAAGTGATTTATTCTAGTCTTGAAACTATTGCTCAAGAGTGTTCCATCAGGTGCAAAAGTCGCACAAAGAGGATCTGTCAGGCCCTGTTAGTATAAAAACCTGGAAGATTTTGAAAATTTGAGGCCCTACAAAACTTTTAGGCCCAAAATTATTTCACTGGGCCCACTCCCGTGGATCCGCCAGCGTTAAGTTCGTTTCCGATTTGGATAATAAAACATTGCTGACATGACATAATTCTGTTCCCAGATCTGCCAGTATTGAATTTAATTCAGTGACCTGATAAGCAATTACTGAGATACCTCATGCACAATCAGTTTTGATGTGAATTGAATTTTGATGACAGAGTTTTCTTAGTTTCAATAGTTCAGTAAGCCTATATGTGCTGAATACAGTCCGATTCAAAATTCTATTTAGTACTTTGAATTAAAAAATAAGCATTTTTATTTTAATTTGTTTTGTAACATGGCTATCATATGTGTAGCCTTTTATATTTTGATGCATCTAATCAATCTAAGTATTCGCGCGAACATATAAACATGGCTGAAACTCCCTAAATTACAAAAGGCCACAGTCTTATCCCGTCTACCTGTACATATACTATCTGAATATACAAAAGTTAGATATTGTACATATGTTTCTATTTTTCATTAACTGTTGCAATATGGTTATTTTATTGCTTATTTTTTAATTCAAAGTACTAAATAGAATTTTGAATCGGACTGTCTGTAGTGCAGTAAAGGCTAATGAAATTCTTAGCCGTGTCGCTGTATCGATTTGTATTTGTCAATTGGTGCTTTTGTAACGACAGTCGGTATTCTTGAGCAGAAAACAAGTGTCAGTCATTGACTGTTGTTGACACGATCAAACACAATTCTAAATGCAGGACATAGGCACAAAACGCAGTTGCTTTTAGTGAGTATTCGAGTTCGAAGTTAGAGATGGAGAATTTCTTCATTTTGGGTATTCTGGAGGGCGTGTTCTATGGTTCACGTGGAAAAATCTCATGAGTCAAAAGACTCTAAGACGAATTCACAGATGTTGGCTTTATTTGTAAGCTACAGTCTGACAGTAGTTGGATCATAGGCTCAAGGAATATTATATTGAGCTACTGATTCTACTACAAAATAATCTTGCCGCAATCTATGGACTTTCTTGTGAGTCATCTTGAAATTATTCTTAATCAAGAATACAAATTGTTGTATGCGTTATTACATGTATTAGGAAAATCATTAAATGTTTTTAACCATTTCCAGGATTTGACCAGGCCCTGGACCAGGCCTACACTCAACGTCAGAAGCAACGTAAAGATTGAAAAATAAAAATGGCTTTGGTACCTTGGACATATAATAATCCCAGGATTCAACGCTCAAACTGCAGGGAACAAACATACACGTTTTGTAACAAGAATGTAACTGTTTATCAAGATACAGAGAAGGAAATCAACGTACACAATAATACTGCTTTCAAAATGTGGGATGGTTCATTCCTACTTGCAAAGTATCTTGAAAATAAATGTTTAGGTGATAGAACTAATTCATTTTTAAAGAAGAAGAATGGTCCTTTTTCCATATAGCTTTGAAATCTCGTTAAGGTCTTGTTTTTAATGAGATTTTAGGAGATCTGCATTTTTAACCATTGAAAACTAATGTTTTCTTCCATCTGATGGCATATTTGAATTCTGTGAGTAATTCTCTATCAAAACAACTTTGATTTGCACTGTAATTTACCATTATTTAAATTCTAATGATTTACTGGTTGTCTAAAAAAGGTCGGGCTAAATCCCCATTGACACAATGCTGAAAAACCTTAAAAAGTTCATTTACTCTTCCAAGGATCACAATTTTAATATGAAATCACAATCCACATGTCAATAAGATCATAAAGTTACATTCCAATGATTTTTTAAGTTGATCCAAATGGAATTACTTCTTAAATCAAGAAATTAAGTGACTCTGGCAATGCATTTACATGTATTCTAGCCCTACCCAAGCTCTACCAATACACATGATGCCATCTATTTTTCATTTATATGGAAAAAGGTCAATTGTATTGAATTAGGTGCGGGTTGTGGCCTTGTTGGCATAGTAACGTGGTTACTAGGGGCAAATGTCACTCTGACAGATATGGACACTGTTGTCAGCTTCACAGAAAACTGTGTCGCTAAAAATATCGGCCATCTTACAGAAGAACACGCAGAACTAAATGCAAATATCAATGTGATGGAACTAACTTGGGGAAAGAAAGATCTTGACGATTCCAGATTCTGTGCTTATGACATAATATTGGGATCAGACATTGTGTATAGTCCTGATATAAAACTCAATGAGATGTTGATATCAACAATGGAGAGTTTGTGGAAGGAGGATACGGTGTTTATCCTTTCCTATAAGCCTCGTAGTTTGGGTGAAAATATATTCTTTGACATGTTATCAGAGAGAAACTTCGCGACTCATACGATTCCATCTACCCAACATCCCAAAGAATTCTCGGGATCAGATTACTCAATATTTCACATCACAAGATGACAAATAATGAAATGGTATAGAGAAAGTAGGCCTTGTCAAGCCCTTTCTACGATCTGCGATTTCCTTAATAACAGAATAAAGTAATAATAAACACATAATAGTTGAAGTTATACTATAGGTGTACACAGTGTACGTAGTTCGAAAGTTTTTTCCCTTACAATGTCATCCTCCTAAGCAGGTGTCCAGAATCCGTACCTCCTTCTTCCCGGTAAAATAAAGAATATATCCCTGTGATCGGAGGTTGTAACAATGTTCAATAAGTGATACTAGTAACATATATTGCAGATTTAAAATCAATATATTTGTGTAAAGTGTTGGTTAGGCAGTTGCCTCGCTAGTCTCTAATCTGGTTAGACATGTTAGAGGCTCATTAATAAAAAATACAAATTAAAATCTTTGTTGTTACTTATTATTAAATTCATAGAGACCCAATCGGTTAGAATCAGTACTTTGGGACTTAAATATTGCACAACACGCAAAATTACTGATTTGACCCAAAGTAAGTCTCATCTCACCATTGGACATAATCTATTACAAGGTGGAATAAAGAGACGTGGCCAGTTTTTCATAAAACGGGACCGTGGATGTTTATTTGAGAGAGTGCTGTGTACATTTTTTCATTTCGAAGGCCCACGGTCGTTCTATTCGATTGCCTGAAATAAACGCCCAGTGTGTATGAATTGGAATCGCTTGAAAAACAACCATGCACAGGTGGTTTCGGTTGTTCACACGATGGCCCATTCCGTTGACCTACAGTATATCAAAAACCAAATTCCAAACCGCGCGTATTATATATTCTGAAATTAGACTAATCATTTCTTCTCTCTAAAGAGCCAAATTGTAGTGTGCAACTAAGCTTCTTGACTTGTAAGTAGGTTTTAATCGGCGACAAAAATCTTAGCTAACTCGAAAACAGGTAGTTCTTCCATTTTGTTTCCAATTTGTAAATGAACTTGTAGTTTGCCTCTTTATAGATTCGACGAATTTAATTGGATTTATAGACAGATAGATATGATTTCATTTAAATATGTTATGCTCAAAGTAGTCATAAAACAGTTTTAAGTTTAAGTTTTAAGTGTAATTTAGAATAGTGGATATTGCAAGAATACAATGTCATGTAACTTCTCTATTTCAAATTGTACCAGCTGAAGTTGTAAATGCCTTTTATACTTTTGATGAAATTTTGGATTGATAGATGTCAGGTTGATTTAAATTTACTTCACGTTATCTATTCGTAATAAGTGACGCGGAAAAAACGCTTAGACTAAACTGTAAAGGATATCATCGAAAATATAGTACATCATTTACTTACCCGGTTCATTGGACGATCGCGACATGACATGTACACCCTGATGTAGGGAAGTTTAACAATTGTTTTAGAAATCAAAATGTGAAAATACATCAGTTTTATAGTGTTTGAGATACTAAAATCGGACATGAGTACAAGTAGTATAACTTGTTTCTTAAATTTATTGTTCTCTTCAATTTCAACGTTGTTCATGTTTGATTCGTCGCAAACAGAACTTGTAAAAGTTGAAATTGACTTACAAAAAATACAATACGAAGTCAGCGATGAGTTTTTAAGTTTCGGATTGGGATCAGAGGGTGCAGTGAAATTATTACCACACAGGTAGGTCTGATTTGGAGTAGACGGACCTGCTCTGGGAAGCGCCATCTGTAGTGTCCTTTGTGTAAAGTCAAGGAGTGTGACCAGGCTAGGTCAATACAGTACCCACCACTGAAAAGTAATAAAATATATTTTAGTGGTCAGAAATTGCTCATTGCGGGCTAGTACAGGTCTCATTTTGGAGATAAATGAGTTCATCGCAGACAGCCCTGAATCATTACCCTTTGCAAGTGTTCGATTTCGACACTTCATAGAATATTAATATTCAAATATTAATATTTGTATGACATATACGAGACCAATGTTAATGCTACCAGGGGGAATTGCACCTGCAGGCCTTACTATTTTACACATATTTTTTATGTTTTGAAAAATTCGATATGTGATGTATATTTCGTAGTTTTCTTAGCATCGTAATTTACCGCCATCATTTTTCAAACGAGTTACCTTGAAATATCAGAACGTCGTGCTACTCTTATCAGGAAGTAAAAATTAATTTGCTTCATGGGTGACAAAATTTCTTGGTGAATGTCGAGTCTTACATCATACGAATGTAATTTTAGGCGATCTGTTTCCATGGGGTGTATCATATCGACGTGAATATAGTACATTATTAAGATGCTTAGCTGGTTCCCCGGGGCTGGTTCATTGAACGACATGACATATAGATAACCCCTAGGATGAAGAAGAGATAACCCGAAATTGAAGTAGTAATCTGATAATCTTAACGCTAATTGTTCGATGGACTCTGGACCTGGCCTGTTTGTAAACATTTCAAACCTAAGTTTTCATTTTTACATAGCATAACTTTTCTTCAGATTAAACAATTAATTGGCTTAATTGCAGCTAGATAGTCGATAGACTTATCAGTACAAGCAACATGCTTGCTAATATAATGCATTATATACTACAGGTGTTTATTCAGTTTATTAATGGCAATGATAAATGTACATCACCGACAATTTATCACAATCACCACGTTCTGCTTTCTTTGAATACCACTCTACCTATCTATGTCGTGCCGGATCACTACCTTAGTGTCGGGATTCCACCGCAACCACATAGTGACGTGGACCTTAGGTAAGTATAAACCGCCCCCCCCCCCAACGATGCGTTGGTGGTTTGATTAGTCTTGACTGGCTGCAGGGGCCCTTGGTCTACGGGGCTGTGTTTGTCCTTGCCTTGTGTCTCAAATTTTTAGTCTAAATCCCCATTTTAATAAACCCGGTGGAGACGGTGGCTCGATCAGCCAAAATCAAACAATGACTGAAATACTGCTTATTTCTCGAAAGTTTGTAAGTACATGTAGTACGATGAACGTTTGGAAATATTTCAAGTTTGAAACACCGTTGATGATGTAAATTCACTTCTAAGTAGTAGATCGAGACTGGAGAGGCAAATTGTGTATTTACGTCCAGAAACGTTTTGAAAATATCGCCGTATAACGTTTTAAGTAAATTCAAATCATGGGCTGAACTGGAGTAAAACTTCCCGGGAATTGACGTAGTCCATGAGTCAAAACTTCTTTTCGTTCATTACTTGCAGTCACGCTAAAGCGGCTTAACTCGGAAGTCCATCAATTCAAGGAAGTTTCAGAAGTTATAGAAAGAATCAAAATGTGACAATAACTTCAGTTTTACAGTGTTGGAGATCCTAATTTCGGACATGGATGTAACACGTCTGTTTAACGTACTGTTCACCTCATTTTCAACGTTGTTCATGTTTGATTCGTCGCAAACAGAACTTGTAAAAGTTGAAATTGATTTACAAAAAATTCAATACAAAGTCAGCGATGAGTTTTTGAGTGTCGGATTGGAATCGGAGGGTGCAGTGAAATTATTACCAGACAGGTAAGTTTGCCTTATAGTATAGTACACGTAAGCGGGGCTTCCCCGGCTGCAAAATAGCTTGAACCTTGGAGACACTATCTCAAAGGCACAGGGAAAGTTTTAAGTATTCTGTGCTTATTGAGTCGAGGCTTGCCCTATTGACTTCTTTTTCCTTCTTTTTCCTTCTTTTTCCTTAAAGCGCCATCATAATTCACAAGTGTAGTACAGTAACATATGCGGTCAATAATATGATATCCCATGATGCACAGGTGGGGTACAGTATACAATTGTTGACCTCTCCAAAGGTCAACCGGCAAAATTGTATACCGAGACTGTAAACCGAGAAACTACTGTTGACAGAGACCGAAGGTCGAGGTCAACATTAGTTTCAAGGTTTACAGTCGAGGTATATGATTTTGACGGTTGACCGAATGGAGAGGTCTACAATTGTTTTGTTAGTCAGAAGAAACTAATAATACACATATAGACGACAGTCATCAATCATGGCTTCATTTCAAAATCTTCTCCCCGAACCCCACCAGCAATAATCTTTTAAGAAAATCTGAAGACAGTTGAAGCTAAACTCTCTGTTTTCGGCACATAACTGCGTACTCATTAGTAAACTTTCAATGTTAATTTTGCGTTTCTATTTGTATTTTTGCTATACTCGTCGTGTAGAAAAGTATCACTTTCATCAACGTTTACAAAATGTCCGTCTAACATGTTTTTTTCTGTCAGCATTGTGACGTCATATTTCCCATAATTCACAAGTGTAGTACAGTAACATACGCGGTCAATAATATGATATCCCATGATGCACAAGTGAGGTACAGGCAAAAATGTTGACCGCTAATAGACCAATCAGATGCGAGTATTTACAGTGAGGTACTAACAATATACAATTATTGACCTCTCCAGAGGTTTACTGTCAAAATTATATCCCGAGACTGTAAACCGAGACCGTAGGTCGAGGTTTACAGTCGAGGGATATAATTTTGACAGTAAACCGAATGGAGAGGTCTATAATTGTTTTGTTAGTCCGAAGAATATCTTAGATTTTTCTGATTTGGGTGGTTTTACCTTTTCCTGACTTCTGCAGTTCCACAACCATCGCTATGAAAACATCGTTTGATGCCTTGAATTCAGACTTGGTAATGTCCATCTTAAGTGTCTCTCTGATGTATCGTGCCACTCCCCATTTAAGAAGCTGAAATGATTTCAACTTATAAAGTCCACCGTCTTTTTTTCCAGTAATACCAACGTAAAACTTTTTCAAAAAATTATCTACCCATGATCTGCCACGGCAGTAAGTTCACTCAATGGAGTCAAATTACTCTCCTGGGCGAAGTCCACTAAAAGCTTTGTACAAAGTTTTAGATTTTTCTTCGTATTTTGACTGTCTTTACTCTCTAAGAGACTAATAATATCCTCATCTTCAACATTTTTGAAACGGCTAGTGCTAGCGGCGGCCATTTTATCGTCTGATAATGACGTCATTTTAGTGGAATGCTGGGAATATTATTCACCGGCAATGCATTGCGCGGTGTACAGTTAAAATTATTCACCGCTCGTTGACCAATCAAAATCGAGTATTTCAACTGAGGTACTAACAATCAAAAATGTTCACCCCTAATTGACCAATCAGATGCTGGTATTTACACTGAGGCACTAACAATATATGTAAGCATGGCTTCCCAAGCTCTGGCATACTCTTATTTTGCAAAAACCTTGAATCTTTGAGACACTCTCTCAAAGGAGCTTGAATCTCCATCTATACTGTTCTTCATGTAATATACAGACTCCTTACCCCATCTAGATCAGTTTAGATGGTGCTTCATGTTCCTGTGCTTTCTCTAAATGCTAGATCCATGGTTGTAGCCAGGATCCAAACATAGGTGAGGCAAATTTGAATTTGTGAGGCAATTGTGAATAAAAAACACTAAGTCCTATCATGTCTGAATTGATATTTTTGTGTACTCTTTGGTGAGGCAAATGCCTCGCCTGCCTCATATGTGACTCTGCCAATGACATGTATAGTTGATCAGTCTGTATCTGTCATGTCTGTAATTGTGAGAATTCTAAACTGCCATACATGAAAATGATTTCTCAATGCATCTGAGCAATGGATTTTAGGTTTTTCCAACATACTGGTTCTTTGTTTTCAGAAAACAGGATAAGGTTAAAATGTCTCCGTGAAAATTTTACTCTAATGTTAGTCTTAGCTCTAATTAAGCTTTTAAAGGACCACAATCTTCTAAGGTGACCTCAAAGAGCATGTGAATAAGTTTATTTAGCTTTATGTCAATGGAGTTTTAAAATCCAATTGAAAATAATTCAATTGAATTTGAAAATGAAATAAAACATTTGTTCACGATTTAAAAGTTGTTTTGTGTGCTTGTTTAGAATACATTGATATATGTTATGGTAAAGAATACATGAAAATACATGTACCGCTTGCAATTTTGTCACCTCCTCCAGCTCTGATTTTCCAGCAGTGTAAAATGAAGCAATATCTCCTCTAAATTCTAATGTCAGTGATATAGGTATTAAAATTTCTTATATTTATCCCATGCTACATTAGAACTCAATCAATTTTTATTTTTTAGTTCCCCAAAGTTACTGGCTTTGACCAGAGGGCTCTCACCAGCATACCTGAGGATAGGTGGCACCAGTGCTGATTTCCTTATATTTGACAATACAAGGACTGACAGAGAAGTTTATCCATTCAGGAGAAATGATGTCCTCGATGTTGATGATATCTTTGATGATGATGTTTTGTTTGAAAGCAGGGCATTTGCAAATAAAAAGAAAGTTCATAAAAATTACACCATGACAGGTACATATACATCTTCCAGACATACCTGTATATACTACTGTAATGTTAAATGTATTTAAGATTTTTATTTTAGTTTTGTGTGAAAACACAGCGTTTTATGTATAAAGGGGTTGATCTTAAGTTAGTTTCACACGACCACAAAACATCAAAAGAATTAAGATATTGTCATTTCAATTTCATGATTTATTCAAAATGTTTTGATTTTTGAACCAAATACCATATTAAAGTGTTCTAATATCAAATGTTTTATGAATTATTGGTAATTTTAATCATGTAAGTTATTATCATTAAAATTCAATTCTTTGGGTAGTAATACCTAATATTACCTGCATATTTGATGTTTAGAAAATACAAAACAAAATGTATGCAGTTTTTTTGAATGAGCTACATATATTTATGGCAGCCATAATTTAAACCATGGATTACATATACTTTTTTATTATGATTTTTTCCCATATGATGTAAAATGGCTTCATCCTATTAAGACCACACTTTGCCAAAATTTAAATTACTTAACAGCATGTGTGAAGCCATGGGCTAGTTGAATACCCATGGTGTAGCCCATGTACATGTACATGTACATTTACAATTATTCCTGATCACATATAATTATTTTTAAAATGATCAGTGAAGTGTAGATAAATGCAACAGTGCATTGAATCTACATGGTGTCCCATAAGTAATGATTTATGCTCTAAAATGTTTATTTGATAGGGAAACAATATGATACTTACACAAATAAAAGATTAAAGTCCCCGTCTAAAGTTTGAAAATATTTTTTTATCATTCATTTACTATTTGTCAGGACTTAAAAAGTGATTTTAGAGATTTTTGAACAAAAAAAAAATTTTGAAAAAAAAGTTGTGAGCATTTCATTTCTCAAATATTCAAATTTCCCGCCATTTTTCAAAAAAAGTTGAAATTTCTTAATCATCAAATATTTCTTAATGCATTTCAAAAAAGATTATCTTTTTAACACCAATGCAAAGGTTGAACAAAGGACAAACTATTTCAATAATAAAATGCCATATTTAATGGGCCACTTCAATGTTTTAACATATCAAAAATATTTTGAAACATTAGTGATGTCACTAAGGTACCAAAAACTTTTTGAAAAAAATTGAAATTTTTTTTTCGATGTCAATCTTTTCTAAATATGTTAGACTTTCATAAAAAACCAATGTTGATTGTCTAACCAGGTTAAAAAGAAGAATAAATTATATTTTAGATATCATTGTACCATTGGTTTCTATGAGAACTAAAATTTTGAAATGCATTTTTCTCAGAACCATTTTCATGCACTGATAAGTTCATTTCTCGCTTATTTATGAACCGATTTTCTTAATTTTTTCGGCAAAAAACATGGGAGGATGAATGCTATACATTGGTATGAATTGTGGCTAATTAGAAGATATGAGTGACCTCTAAAAGTTGGTTTTAAATAAATTCACAAATTTTGGAACAAAAAAGTCTATCAAAAACCACTTTTTAAAATTCAAAAAAAATTTCACATATCACACTTTGATAACATTGGGTAAGACTACAATATAAGCCAAAGTGGTTTAAACTTTATATGGGGCCTTTAAAGATATAAGCTATATAACACAAAAATATTGCATGTATGGTTGTCATAGCAACCTGTATGTGAATTCTGTGGAGCAACTTTGTGTCCATACTTTTTTGAAAAACATTTCGTGTAAATATGTTTCACTATATCGAATATCGATCATATTCATGCTGTTTACTGTTCACAGACCTGGCTATTGGGCCTACCAATTTGAACAAGATCTTTTGTGTCAATACATCTATTTTTACACATCTCAGTAAACAAGTGTAAGGCAATTGAACTGAGTGTCATCAAACCTGAAACTTAAAAAAAGTTGACATTAAATACAATGTCACCTCCCAGCATTGAAAATGCATCTTTAACCATTTCTCAAACATGAGACATAAGCAAACTATCGAAGAGAAAATGATTTGAAGGTCAAAATCGACCACATTTCCCGCTTCACATATCATCCAAAACAAACCTCTACTTACTAATTTATTTTCAGGCGACTGTTTCGATGCTATCTACAAATTCTCAAAACAATCAGGATACAAGATGTTATTTGATCTGAATGTACTATTACGTAAGGGAGCTAACTGGGATCCAACCAATGCAAAGATGTTATTTGACCATGTTCAAGCTAGAGGATATGATATAGACTGGCAGCTGGGTAATGGTAAGGAAATACCAAGATTTAACTACACTTGGGATGATAATTATAATGAATTGAATTAAAACAGCATACATTTTCCTAACACTGAAAAGTACACAACTATTAGTTGAATATGTAACTGTTTTGTATTGTGATCAATTAAACATATCTCTCTGAAATAAAATGAAGAAAATAGAAAGAAAAAATGCTAAGTACAGGGTCTAATGATTAAAAATCTCTTTGGCATCTAAAGTACTTGAACTTTTGATGGAGTTTTGAATTGGGTGAATTGAATTGAAAAACAAAAAATGATCGAATGAAAAACCCCAGATAAGCAGTAAGTGTACAAATCTACATGCATAAGAATTTATCATTCTGATGATTTATTTATTTATTATTGGTTGATTGATTGATTGATGCTGGCTGAATCATAAAACACAGGTATACAGGCAGAACTGGATTTATTCAACAGTACAGTGTATTATGAATTCCGATTGCACCAAGTATCTTTTCTAACTAATGAACAAAGTTTTGAAGAGATATCTTCCAAGTATTAGTACATGAATAAAGTAATGCTCAATCAATTTTGATTTTATTTTAGAGCCAGACTTGTTTCAAGAACCCTATATCCTGACTGGGAAACAGATTGGTGAATCATACAACTTGTTGGATAAGAGTTTACATTCTTACTCTATGTATAACAATTCTGTTAAAACTGGCCCAGGTGTCACTCAAATTTATGGGTCAAAAAGGAAGATTTCTTTTTTAACTCAGTAAGTTGACACCAAGACTTAGAACTTTAGAAGAATCTTGATGTATTTGAAGTGGTACAATATCTACAGGGTGGGCTAAGAGAGCTTATTTTCATACCAAGTGGTTTTCAGGTGTTAGTTCAAATTATGTGATGTTTATTACATGTACAGTATATGAGCAATATTTACCCATTGAAAGTCTAAAAAAAGTTTTCTGGCCCACCCTGTACTGTGTAATACAGACTGAAATCATATCTCAGTACACCAATGCAATGAATGCATTTATTTCAGTACATCAATAAGTGCATTTATGTTAGGAAATTAATAAGTGCATTTATTTTAGCAAATCAATAAGTGCATTTATTTCAAAACATCAATAAGTGCATTTTTGTCAGGGAATTAATAAGTGCATTTATTTTAGCAAATCAATAAGTGCATTTATTTCAGTACGTCAATAAGTGCATTTATGTCAGGGAATTAATAGGTGCATTTATTTTAGCAAATCAATAAGTGCATTTATTTCAGGAAATCAATAAGTGCATTTATGTCAGGAAATTAATAAGTGCATTTATTTAAGCAAATCAATAAGTGCATTTATTTCAGGAAATCAATAAGTGCATTTATTTTAGCAAATCAATAAGTGCATTTATTTTAGCAAATCAATAAGTGCATTTATTTTAGCAAATCAAAAAGTGCATTTATTTCAGGAAATCAATAAGTGCATTTATTTTAGCAAATCAATAAGTGCATTTATTTCAGGAATCAATAAGTGGATTTATTCCAGCACACCAATAGGTGCACTCATTGATTTGTTTTACCACATATTTGATTGAGAGATAATGTGAATATGCTGCGTGAATTCAGTCTGTGTATGTACTTTGTTCATACTAACAATAGGACACTACAGCTGTGCAATGCATAGAAATAATAATCTGCTGTTTTTATTGTTGATTCCATTCCATTATACATGTATGTAGGTTTGCATGCTGGCAACTTTAACAAAGTATGATGGTCATGGTTGATGGCTGACGTGTATTAAGTAACAGCCCCCCCACATGCTAACCCTAACATAGTTTACCCCTTATTTATAGAGCTTATATTTAACATATTTCTTAATGATTTCTTATGAACTATTGCAGAGCCCAATGCATTCAAACATGCATTAAATCGCACTGTATCAGCTGCTCAACTTGGCCTGGATTTTGTGACCCTTCGACAGATTTTGTCTTCGTACTCAAAGTATAGGCAGAGTTTACTTGTTGGCCCAGATATTACAAGGCCAGACAAAACGAGGCCTGTTGAATATTTACTTGAGTAGGTGAACTTCTTAAAATTAAGTTATTTAAGTTTTTGCAAATCCTTAATGGTACACATTAATTTATTAAGTAGAAGGGTACCAGGCCAAGTTAAGAATGCATTAGCTTGCACATAAACTAATTATAGGCTGGTTAATTTTTGTAATAGATTACTAATGATATCTTTTACTGCAGCCAGCTTATTGCCAGATCAATCATATGTACTAGCTACGTGTATTCCCGGGCATGTATTGTAAGTTAAGCTTGTATTCGCGAATGCAGATAGCGGCTATTAGCTAGCGGGTATGGGTTGATTGCACTTTGATGGCAAACTCATTTAAATATGAATAGTACCTGCCATGCATCCTGTTAGTTGCCTGCTCTCGCCCCAAACCCTGTAGCTGAGCTTACTTACGATTTAACCTGGTATTGAAGCAGCACTGACTATCAAGGTGTTTGGAATTGTAAATAGCGGAAGTACACCTGGCGCATGCGTATAGTCGCAAAACACATTTTAAGTTTGTTTGATTAATTTATGCAAATCAATAGGTAAATCTGGTATCCAATAGGTGCTATTTGCATTCGCGAATACAAGCTTAGTTTCAATTTGCTCATCAAGCTGTTCAACAATGATTTTGTATTAGGTGGCACAAAGCTCCGCATTTTACCAAAATAAATACATTATGTGTACATGTACACTGGCGGATTAGGGGGGGGGGGCCTGGGGGCTTGGGTGGGCCCAGAAAAAAAATTGGGGCCAAAAAAAATTTGGGCCAAAAAGGCCTTAAGGCCCAAAAAAGTGGGCCTTTTTGGTCATAACTGGGCATTTTAAGGCCTTATTTTTTAATTTCAGGCTATATTTTGAAGAAAATGGGCCTCAAAATTTCAAAATTTGGGCCCACATTTGGGTTTTAGGGGCCCCCCCCCCTTTGTTGGTTCCCAGATCCGCCCCTGATGTATATTTATAAACGTATGATTCCAAGCATAATTCATTGCTTTAACCCCTTCACTATTCTTGATTATCAAAAGTAATAGTTGTTCAAATTAAATTAAAAAGCCATCATTGTAAAATGCATCGCATAAAGTCTATAGATCTACATGTACTATAGATTGCATAAAGCCTATAATAATTTACTTTATCTTTTATAATATCTTTTTCAGGTTTTTAGAGACTGCCAAGGATTCTATTGATGTTGTGACTTGGCACCAGTAAGTTGAGAATTTTATACTTTATCCAAATACTTGAGTAATGTAAACACCCGCAGAACCTTATACATGTACTGTATAAAAATTGTTATGAATACAATACTATTGTAATATATATATTTTATTGACTCACTAATGCCTGGGTCACATATGCTCCAATCCATCAACCGGCACCCGACCAATTGAGTGTTTTATTCAATATTCTATTCAATTTTGAACAAAATACCCAATCGGCCAGACGCCGTAGTGAAAATCGAAGCAAATGTGACCAAGGCATTACCATGTCATGTAATACTGTACTAGGGATAACCTCTATTTTTATTAAAGGGGCACTGACAGATAAACTTTATTAAACTGATTGGCTCCCTTTAATCATGCATATTGTTCCAGTTACTACTCTAATGGCAGGACAGCAGTCGTTGATAATTTCACCGACCCCCACCTATTAGACAGACTAGAGAAAGATATAGCTACAGTGCAGGACATTGTCAGCAAACATGCCCCTCAGAAGAAAAAATGGCTAGGGGAAACAAGCTCGATGTATGGAGGCGGAGCCAAGGATTTGAGTGACAGATACGTTGCTGGATTTATGTGAGTATGAACTAAGTTATGTAATGTATGCATGCATGTGTAGTCTATGTTACAATCTTAAATAATTATTCAAGCTTGAGCTGTCTAATGCCTTGGTCACATTTGCTCCGATTTTCACTACAGCGCCCGGCCGATTGAGTATTTTGTTCAAAATTAAATACTGGCCGGGCGCCAGCCGATGGATCGGAGGAAATGTGACCCAGGCATTATGGGAGTTTGTTACAAGAAGTGAAATAGCCATATAAGCAAGAAGTATAGACAAGTGTTCCCGAAAACCATAATGTCCATGCACAGTACTCTGTCGGTCTGTAGGTCACTCTTACCTAGTTTCACAAGAAAATGGGTCATTGAATTTGATTTGTCATAACGCACATTTAAGTCAATAAAATATATGATAGTACTGTATGCATGACTGCATATCAATTTCTAAGCTTGCTTGCTTGAAATACTAATTTGTATGTATTATTTCATAATTATGATTCATCCTTATAAGGTTAATGCACTGGTACTTCTACATGTATGAGATATGTTATTCTTCCAGGTGGTTGGATAAACTAGGCCTTATGGCTAAGTCTGGCTATGATGTAGTTATACGCTGGTCACTACTCAGAGGCAACTACGGTCTCATTGACAAGAATCTCAACCCAAACCCTGTAAGTTCATGTACTTGTAGATTGTTTTTTTATGAAGTTAAAGTTTTTATTTCCATGATATAAACAGTATACAGAGTACATTAATTTTCAAGATCTTAGAGTAAAATCATTTTTGGCCCCTCTTTAGACAAAACATTAACATGTGAAAAACTGTCAATTGGAACATCTCTGTAAGTGGGAAACATTTTAGATTCCTTGATCAACAGAATCTCTGTAAGTAGAACTTGGGAGATGCTCTAGTGGGACATTTTGGAGGTACCAAAGATGTTCAACTTATGCAGGATTTACTCTAAAATGAATTTATAATTATTTTGTGTGTCTCACAACAAACTATATATATGGGAAACATTTGATGAAAATATTTCAGGGCTTGTGAGTGAACTTAAAAGTCACCAATAATGCAAAAATGGCAAGATTAAAAAAATCTTCTTAGAGCTATTTTAGACCATATAAAATGATATAAGTCTGTTCTCCCCCCTTAAATTTTTTAATTCAGAGATAACATAGGGTTGGTATATATCATCTTAAAGGGAATTTAATTTGCTGATCACACACCAAATTTCAGAGTGATTGGTTAAATTCCCAGTGATGTCCATAGTGTCCAAAGGATCCCCTGAATGTAACACATTTTTCTCTGTAATGATATTGAGAAACATCGAAATCACCCAATGTTCACATTGTCACTGCAGTATCAACTTTTCACTTATCATTCACTATACCTGGTAATGTTACTTGTTTTGACGTAACCAAAGGTCAACTACAACCTTACAAGAAACCATGGACCTATATCCGAGGATATAGGTCCATGAAGAAACATTGTAGCAATTTTATTATGAGGAGTTCATGATTGATTTTTTGAGGGTGATCAGCATTTTCCATGAGCTTCAAAATGATATATGCAAAAGTATGATAAATATAAAGATAAAAAAGTTAAGGGGGGAGAACAGACTTATTTGACACCCTGTAAAGAACTATTTATAAAAAGGTGTTTATTTTTAGGACTACTGGTTATCGTTTGTGTACAAACAATTTGTGGGCCCTCAAGTGTTACAAGTGAATGCTACAGTATTTACAGACTCCAATGGTAAACATCAGCGCCTGCGAGTATACGCTCACTGCACGCACCCCAAGTAAGTACCCTTGGGTCAGTTTTACAGTAGCACACTTGGGGACTAATATGCGAATAGGAACTAAATGTCTATGTTCAAACATGTTAGGTAAATTGCCTTATATTTCCAAAAATAATAACTTCCCCTTAAAATCAATATTTGGTTGCAGGAGGTTCTAATACACGGGGTACCATCGAATAATTTTGGCAACGTACTGGAGAACGACATTTTACTAAGAAATGGCAATAATTTAGCACAATATATTTTTTAACTAGAGTTCTATTTTGATTTTGACAAAAGTAAGTATTCCATGCAATGGCTATTTCATTCATGAGTTTGTAGGAATTCTGTTGGAACCCAGTTCTGATCAAGTACGAAGTTATTGAAATCGGCGCAGACGGACTTTACTCCGAAAGATGGTTTTTCGATTATAACTTTTCACAACATTTAAGTATAGACTTTTGAAAAAAGTACAGAATAGTCCTTATACTATTGAATTATTCTGTTATTTCTGATTCACACGACTCTGATTTGTTTAATTAAAAAAAAACTTTTAAAAATATTACTTAGGAACGTAACCGGAGCTGGGGACGTAACTGGAGCAGATCAGTTGAATTATTTAATCAAAAAAATTAAAATATATGATGTAAAGCACATATACTAATTTAAAAACATACGGGATTGTTCGAATGCGTATTTATTATATCATATTTTTTTTTTTTTAATTATATAATTCAACTGATCTGCTCTGGTTACGTTCCCAGCTCCGGTTACGTTCCTAAGTAATATTTTTAAAACTTTTTTTTTAATTAAACAAATCAGAGTCGTGTGAATTAGAAATAACAGAATTATTCAATAGTATAAGGACTATTCTGTACTTTTTTCAAAAGTCTATACTTAAATGTTGTAAAAAGTTATAATCGAAAAAACCATCTTTCGGAGTAAAGTCCGACTGCGCCGATTTCAATAACTTCGTACTTGATCAGAACTGGGTTCCAACTGAATTCCTACAAACTCATGAATGAAATAGCCATTGCATGGAATACTTACTTTTGTCAAAATCAAAGTAGAACTCTAGTTAAAAAATATATTGTGCTAAATTATTGCCATTTCTTAGTAAAATGTCGTTCTCCGGTACGTTGCCAAAATTATTCGATGGTACCCCGTGCTAATAAGGGGTTAGCATTTTGGAGTTTACTTTTATTTCATGTACCGTTCATGTATTTTTGCAGTTAAACTGAAAAGTTTGTATTTCACTATTGATGCTGGCTGTACAGCTTATTATTGCATTTGTTTTAGGAGTCGCTACCCGAGGGGAGCAGTAACAATTTTTGTGCTCAACCTGTACACTAGTGCTGCTACCTTCAGTGTGCCACGTGTACTAAATAGGTCTGCAATACATGAATACCTAATGACCCCTGGACCTGGGGGGCTTAGCTCAGAGTAAGTCATTGGATGCATTTCAATTCCCTCTCTGGTTTGCAGTAATGCACGCAAAGAAAAGTGAAAATACTTAGTAATTCAATTATTGGCTTCAATACTGTTGCTTGTGAATTCAGAATCAGTGAATCTAAATGTTAAATTTTTGAGAAAGGATGAAATTAATTTTTTCATAGAAAAACAACCTCTTACCAAAAATTGAGAAATAAAATATTTTTTATATAATGCACATACATATATAAGTATGAACAATTTTAATTTAATTCTTTCATGTTCTATATTAATTTTTGTGATTTAATCAATAGCATGGTCCAGTCCATCATTTATTTATATACTCCCTGTCACATGTATTATTTATTGTTTAAATTGCTTTTTATTGTGCTAAACAAGTTCATGTTGACTCTATATGTTACAGGTATGTTAAGATGAATGGCCAAGTGTTGCAGATGCTAGACGAGCAAACATTCCCAACGTTGAACCCAAAGATTTATCCACCTGGGAAAATCCAGACCATGCCGAGCAGAACATTTGGATTCTATGTCTTCCCTGGTGCAAATGCTAGAGCTTGTTTATAGTCCAGGTGCTACAATACACAATTGGAATAATATTAAATACATATAAACACTCTATGCAGGGTGATCAATGCTACACCCCCAATCCGAACTCTGAAATGACAATGGGTGCCGTACCGTACGGTACATTAAGATTATGGTACCGTACTGTACCGTTGGAGATTGACTGTCCATGTATAGCGTTAAAATCTTCCTTAGTAAACACCTCTTTCTAGTGAACACCTGTGTCTAGTGAACATTCTCTTAGCACATACTCCACTGAGTGTTGTATAAATTGTCTCTCTTTAGTGAACACCTACCTACAAACAGTGAACACATTTACAGGGTAACGCAAATACAGGGTGTTTCACAATGTCTGTCCTCTCATTCACAGCTTATATTAGATCACTTGCCCTCATAATATCAATATATTATCATAAATAAGGGTTATGTACAGGGAGGTTTTGGATACAGGTTTTATCACGAGGGAAATATTAGCATCTCCCGGGTGATAAGGGAACAAGATACGCATTTTTACCGAGTGATGAACCCATTATACAAAACCGATTGTATATAACAGATGTTCTGTATCTCATAGCCTCATACATACTGAGTTTTAGGTACATTATGCCTTCTGAAGTTCCAATATTTTTAGAAACAGATTTTGTTTTATGAAAAGTTTATGTGCACTTCAGAAAATACTGAAAAGAGACCTTTCATAAAAGTTGTTTCGAAAACGTAAACTTGTACTTTAAGATTCAGCTGGAAAATAGCATTTTGGGAAAAAATTGCTCTACATGCACATGTTATTTTCTGGTACAAAATAAAGTATGAAATTTTGTGTTAATTTCCTTGCTTTTTTCTATCTGTGCCATCGTTGTAATGTGTACGTTATCAACTCAATACCTAGCTCTTGTGGCGTGATGTTTTACACTCAAGACCCTTTAAAGGGTTCCGATTAGCATCCCGTATAAAAACAATATGGCGGCTCCAGGCGAATCAACTGGATCAGTCCATTTTTAAGAAATAAGGGGAGTTCTGTAAAATCCAGTTTATTGAAATTGTCTTTGAGATAAAGTAATCCGTTTATAATGATTTTGAAAACGTTATCCAAAGAGTGATTGCGTTCAAATAATACATGTACAACAGCCAATATAAATTCTTGTATTAGAAACCGGTTTGTCTTGCTTTGTTTCATTTGTAGGATATTTCATATGCCAAGCTGTGTGCTATTACGTTATGGGGAAATTTAGATGCCAATTTTTACTTATTATACACAAATAGAAGATCCTGAAACTTCACCCATAAATGTGGAATTGATTTGTCAAAATAAAAATCACCCTTTTATAAATGTGTGACGATCTATAATATACTTATGCTATATAACAGTTAGAGGTGTTGACACAACGACCTCGAACCTGTGAACCCTTGAGTATTATTCCGGGATCGGGCCTTTTATACTAAACGGTGAGCAACACCAGAAACGAGCGTTCGATTTGCTAAACGATATGCGTCACCCTTTAACGTGGTTCACCACGCGGAAGAATGAATTATTTCACAGTTCTTATAAAAGTTTAAGTTGAGATCTAAGTTTAGAACATATAAAAAGTCATATGTAGACACCATGATTGTAAACTTACAAATCGGATCAACGCGTAAACCCGAACATACTCGTGTGTGTCGAGTCGTCGACCCCTGGACCGTGATCCCTATTCAAAATTAATAAGCTGAATATGTAAAATATTCAATCAAACACTTCGGCTACCATTTTGATACACTGATCAATCCAATCTGTGCTAGTGATTTCTGCGGCGAGTCATTTGGTTGCATAATAAACTCCCACCAGTTTTTGTACAGGGTGTTTCATAGTGTTCATCTCCAAAGTCAGTTTGAGATAAGATAGACTTATAATGTATATATTATATAGGAATTCCTATTTTATTTTAGACCAAGAGAGCTCACACACGTGATAATACATACAGTTTAAAAGTTACAGATGGTTTGCATTTGAACGTTATATATCATCCGACTTCTGGAGATTTTGGACATTTTTGACTAATAGCCATTGTTATGTAACACCCTGTATTTTTGTTTAGAATTACAAGTTTAAGTACAAGTTTACCAAATTACTTATATGGAAAGCTCTCTATTGATTGATCATTCCTAACGTACGTACGTGTATTCATGAACTTACATTTGGTAGGTCATTATCACCTCAATTTTCATGTTTTATGAGAAAAATAAATCACTAAAATAATTTTTTGATAATGTTTATAGTTCATTTTACTTTCAAATATCACTGATTATTCTCGAGCATCGTCCAAATATTATAATTTGTAAATTACGATAGATAAATAACAGCATGTAAAAAAAAAAAAAAAAAAAAAAAAAATATTCTCTGAAGTAAAGAATTTGACTTGTTTCTGAGATAGATAAATAGTTTTGTGGAGCATATTGAAAATGTTGCTCTCAGATTGTATGCTATTTCGTAAAGATATCTAGCAAGCTGGGATCGATGATCAGTCGTGATATCTGGAGCCGCTGTCTTGCATTTGTCAATGTTACTAACGTAATAGATGGGAGCGTTAAAACTCTCGGAGGCATACGTAGTTCATGGGCATCCCCGCCCTGCATATTTTTTATTTACATTGCCATTCCTACTTATGAAAATATTTGCAATAAAATTTTAATTATATTCGTATCTATGCTGTTTTGTGACTTCTCTCTTGACATGCTCACTGCACCAGAAACAGTGTAAAATCAATCCACTGGTAATGCCTGGGTCACATTTGCTGCGATTCATCGGCCGGCGCTCGGCCGATTGAGTATTTTGTTCAAAATTTAATACATTTCTAAACAAAATACTCAATCGGCCGAGCGCCGTAGTGAAAAAGTATGAGCTGAGGTCCGGCGTGTCATAAATAAATGTATTAAAATAACTTTATTGTGTTTCAAAGTCTGTCATTATCATTATGTCACCACCAAAAAGTGTGGTGACATATTCCTATGGTTTCCATTTTGAAAGTTGACCTTCTCAAGGTAAAAAAATTTGATCTTCAGTGACCTTCTCAAGGTAAAAAAGGGCAAAAGGTATTTTTCAACTTGCTCCAAATTGACCAAATTTTCTTTTCCAAAATCATCTACGAATTCTCGGGAGTTCAAATCTGAATTTACATTTTAAATTTCACCTTCAACGAACTTAGTCTCATGGTAAAAAGCTATTTTTCAACTTGCGTCAATTTTTTTCACAATCATCAATAAGTTCTCAGAAATTCAAATCTGACTCAAGATTGAACTCATAATATTTTGATCAACTAGTTGGTGACGTTTTGTCATGTTAATGCCCTGTTCTTATCTTTTTATAACCTTATCCATGTGTATGTGCGAATTTTTGGTGAATTAATTCGTTCCTATGTACATCACGGGGGGAAAGAGTACCCGCGTATATACAACCTACCGCCGAGCAAAGACCCGAAGATGTCTGAAAGTGTAGGGGGTGAGTTATAAACTTTTGTTTATATCTTGAATTTCTCAATATGAGAAACAGATAAAACACAGAATTGTGTGTAACTGATAAATTTATTGTTCCAGGCACTCATGTTTGCAAAATAATGAGTACTTAGCGCAATGCTTACTATCCAATCGCTAAATTCAAATTTTAAATATTTGAATGATGATTTACATCTTGAATAAGTCACAACCATGGCTGTCTTTACTTCATTCGATTCAAAGATACAATAGGTGTAAATGTATCATATTTATTTCACTGCCATTCGTTGCATATCATTGAAATCACCGGTGAAAGTTGAAAATGAAAGACCCGATTATGTCACGAGTACGATTACATAGGACCCGAAGCTACCACCGAGCAATTCCGACTATACCGTGAGTAGAACCCGATGAGGTAGTGAGTAAGCTTTCGAATGAGCATATAATATCATGACGATATCGCAAATATTCCTTTTTATTTATCATATACTCCTGGCACCGGGATATAATATAATATGATATAATTCCCGCAGCACTATACGTCAACTGTTTCCGGCAAAATTCTTTAAACATTGAATTTATGCTTACACTTGAATGACCATAATTTCCTATGTGTCTATGGTAAGAGTGCAACCCAAAAACATTTAATTCTGCATTGCAAGCGCCATTCTACTCAAAGAACCCAACTTGAAGAATCCCTCGAACAGTACAACCTGTGGACCCCACTCAGTGGACAAGAAAAAATTGAATCTCTAATTTTTCAAAATTCCCTTTCACTTGGAAAGGATTCTATCAATTAAAACATCTCATCGAAGTGTAGTATTTGATAACCAGCCGATGAAAATTCGAACGAACGAACGGCAATCAAGGTTCGAAAACTCTCAAAGGTAACACGAATGAGCCTAATAATGAACCATTCACTTTTTAGCTAAGGCGAATTTGGATAACGGCAAACCCGTGTTTTAAGGGCGCAAGTGGCCAAGTCCTCATATACTATAGTATTTAGTATATATCTAGTATTTAATGATCCAAAGGTCTTTTTTCTCCTGTGTTCGTTTTCTATGTTTATTAGGAAATCCACCCACATTGTTTTAATACTTAAATTATGTCTTCTCCGTTCGTCTGCCATCTTTGCCTTTTGTTCAGTTCAGTGTGGAAATGGTCATACGTGGATTCGCAGGGCGGTATATAGCCATCGTAAGACCCGGAGAACGGCTTGAGCGGGATATACGATTTATATGTCCATTAAATCTCATCAGGGATAGAATACAATGGGATACTGTATCATGTTAAGCTTATATCAGGCAGTTACGATTTTACTGGCGCATACCAGAATTATATTTCGTTGTTATCCCTATATATATTTAGTATCCAGGGGTTAAAATATGATATTTAGAACGTCATGAATTTTTTGTTTGTTGCGTAATTTGATATTCCGTTGAGTTGCTGTTTACTTTTTTCAGGTATAACAATAATGGCAGAGCCGGTACTGATTGAGACCGTGGAGCTCGACTCCAGTATTAATATAGGCCCCCCTGATTCCAGCTACCTTGATGAAAACGAAAATGTATTACCCATGACGTCTACACCCCAAAAGACTTTTAACAGTAGTAATAAAAAACATGAACAACTATTGCATTGCGCACTTTGCACATCATACAGCACAACACGAAAATACAATTTAAAAAGACATTTAGAGACTCATTCTGAATCGAGTGATGGCGCACCTTTGGCTTCTCCTTCGAAACACCAGTGTACACAAGATAACTGTCATAAGTCATATACTTCAAAAGCAGGACTTGCAGAACATGTAAGAGGCGTGCATGGCAATGGCTACTCGTGCTCGCAGTGCTTCAAGCACTTGAGTTCTGCAACAGCCCGACGACGCCATGAGTTACAAATACATGAGGGTGTAGGTTTCAAGTATGCGTGTGAAGTATGCAATAAGAAGTTCCGAGCTTCATGCGACAAAGAGGGGCATTTCAATACAGTCCATAGACAATACAAACCATTTAGATGTTCTAAATGCAAAAAGTCGTATCATTATAGAAGGTCCCTTGACACCCACAAGGTAAAGAACCACTAAACTATTATCCTTAACCAAAGTTTTTTCAAATTAAAAAAGTCCTTCAAAGTAAAAATATGTACACGGCTATTCTATACTCAACGAAATAGAACAGAGAAACTAATTTTCCAATAGGACTTTGAAGTTCTGTTGTCCATTTATAAGAATATATATATTGGTATCATTTTATCAATTTTAGTCATCTAGAATTATTGTTAATTTTATTTTAAACGAGGTGTTGAAGTCCAAATGATATACTGACATATTCGACTTTGTAAAGTTAATCATTTTGCCTAAATAAGTTTTATTCTGTAATTAATTTCAGATATCCTGCTTTGGCGAAGGGTATACCTGTACATACGATGGCTGTAACGCAACATTTTCATCACATTCCGGACAGATAGATCATGTTGCGGCACTACATAAACACAAGGTATTCAAGTGTGATTCTTGCAGCAAAACATATGGATATAGATCATCTCTCAGCAAGCACAGAAGACAAAACAATCATTAAGTGTTTCAAATATGTTACTGAAGGAAGACTCAACTTTACATGTTATAGATGTGGTTATATTTACCACGTGTAGCTATAGGTGTTTGCAATATGCATCAGTTATGTTTTATTCCACATCTTTATAATTATGAACGTTATGAAATAATTATAACTTTGCTTATTTTGTATTGAAAGTTGTTAGTATTTTAAGTAATTCGTACAACGATTAAGTTGCCAATGGCCAAATGCATGATGTGTAAAATATCAAAGTGTGACCAAATTATCATTGTGTAATTCACTGCATCATAGCGTTCAACTAAGTTTAACATTTTATATAATTATAAGATGGTTTGGTATACTATATTTTCATTTTAGTATGTACATGCTGTCATACTATTATAAATAATACTACCCCTGTTCAAAAGGGATGTTGATTACTTCGTAAAAACATTTCGCCTTTAACTTTGAAGTTCAACGAACGATGTGATATGTTTCTTGACCATGTTGCAATATGGAGCATTACAGCAGATTGTCAAACTGTTATTACATACGTTGCTCTAATTCACATTGTCTCTTAAGGTTGTCTTTTTATCTGTATGAAACGTACTTTACAACGCAGTAGATACATGTGTAAAGTATGCTTGTGTATGAGTATAGTTCTTAGTTTTGATATTTCATAAATATATATTTGTAAACTAAAAATATTTTTCTTGTTCTTAATCAAACCGTTATGAAGTATGTTCCAACAAAGTAACATTCTAAGTTAGCATGTCTCTCTCAATAGGTACTCGCTTTTCCTCTTGTGACAACCAAGGCCTTAAGAAGTAGATGCTCCATTTTGTTTTACGTCGTGTTAAATTGACCCTATATTGAGTCGAGTATGAATCAGATATGTCTAGATTTTAACTTTACTTCGAATTACTGATATCGTGTGAGAAACGAAATCTATTTCTCATGGCTTAGTAGAACTTCATCACTCAATGTCATAGCCAGTCCGCTTGTGGTAAAGAATCTTTTCTTCATTTCGTCTATGGAACTCACGAATTCCTTTCACCCCCTTGGCAGATGAATCTGGTCTGCTGACATATACGGATTTCCTTTTGTATTTGTGAGAAGGGGTACATTTATCAAACTCATGATCCCTGTAAAAATAATGAACTATTTAAGATAGGTATACCCAACAAATTCACTGCAATGAAAAATCACTAAAGAAGTTTTTTAACTTGTACTGGGCTTAAGGGAAAAACTATGGCTGTATAATAGCTGGGATTAACCTTTAAGTTGGTAGGACATTGTCAGTTCTGAGCAAATCTGAAATTACTTCAATATCTTTGAGCATGTCAGGAAATAATGATGGTCCTGTACGAAATGATCAGAGCAATTGTTCAGAGTGTTCAGCTTTAGACCAACCAAAACTGTGTGGTACGCCAATATTAAATAAATTGTACCGTGGGTACTGAGCTCACATGATATTGCTCAGAAAGAGAAAAATGAATGATGGCTAAAATGGCAGACAATAAAAAATGAGCTAAAAAGCAGATATAAAATTTTGCCAATTCTTTTACAATGTAAAACACCTGAACTCGTTATGAGGTCATCGCCAAGCTAACTTGGCAACCTCTACTGAACTCCTGAACTGACAAAAGGTGAATTTTCTGCAAATAAAATGACAGTAATTTTTAAAATAGGCAAGCTTTTGAACCTGGACTCACAGGAGGGACTTCTGTGTTAAAGAGGAACCCTAATGATTAAAACAGGAATCTTATTGACCCAGGTTTTAAAATGTGCTTCCATTGTTAACGGACTGGGAGACAAATGGACAGATCAATGTTAATTAAATGGCTAAAAAACGATATATTTTTGCAGATTCTGTGTAACAAAATTATTTCATACAATAACTATTTACAGTGACATGACATTTTACGATGCAAGACACCTGAAACTATTTATAAAGCTACCAAATGGTCCAAAAGTGAATTGTGCAAGACAAAAATAGCGGCCATTTTGAAAGTAGGCGAGCTTTTGAATTAGGGGTCATAAGGGAGTTTTCTGTATTGATGCTGAACAAAAATAACTAAAACGTGATTCCTATCGACAGAGGTTGTAAGTTGCCACTATGTTGACAGACAGATGGATGATAGACGGCCAAGTAGGTGATTGCAATAGCTCACCATGTGAGCTAAAAACAACATGGGTGTGTTCAATGTCCTATTACTTACATTCTTTAATCTTACCTTATATTTTGAACTCAGTAACAAATGTGCACAAACAATAATGCAACATTTTTGTAATGTAAATAGTTAGATTACCTAATTGTTATTATATCAGGGGCAATCTCAACAGAATCTTCACGAAAGGACAGATGAGCCAGTTGCACTGCAAGACCCTGTTCTCCATCAGAATCATCCTCAGCTTGTACACTTACGCCTAGAGGCCGTTCCACATAAACAGGCTTTCTCCGTGTCGTGTTAAAGCAAAATCCTCTGAATATCATAAAATGAATATACTGTATACAGCATATTCTCGTATGCAGATATATAGAGTAAATAACTAAAATATATAGATTTTCAATGAAATATTTATATGTTTACTAACCTATCAGGATTCAGACGAATGTCGAGAAGCTGGCAAGAGATACTCATCGCTTTTGGTATGTCTGCTGGTTTAAGCACCCCATCGCCTTGTGGGTCCAAATCTCTGAATGAGCTGAAATATGTTTCGCTCATTTGACTCCCCAATGCTCGAACATTAAACGATCGCTCACCAGTGAATAGGTGCATTTGCATTATACGTTCTGTACTAAGGATAATGCCTTCAAATGTAGTGATTGGTATATCCTTTATTTTGTTTGTAATTGGTGGAAATGTATTGAGGGATGGTAGAACCTTAGACATAAACCACGTTCTTGTTGTCAGAAGATCAAATATCCGTTGGAAAGAATCCAAACCTCTTTCATCGACGCTTTTGTACCATATTCTCATTACATGTGCATAATCAGCTTCTGAGCAAAATCCCATTTTTCTAAGTTCTGTTTCTACATCCTCACTAAAGAATAACTTGGCAACATCGTTACTCTGAGGATCTATCACGTCTTCAACAAATGCTAAATTTAGGCCAGTTTTATTGATTTTTTCTGCTCTTGCTACTTTAACCCACGCCTCTCTATCGATACCTGATGCTTTGTAGCCGTGCCTCGCTATATGGCACCTAGAGTTAGTCAATAAATGATGGAAATCAAGAAAAGCGAAGATTGGGTCTCCATCCTCATCAATTTCAGGTTTAGTTAGCCAGTGAACCGTTCCCGTCGACCTTGATTTATCAGGTGTCTCGAGACGAGATGGCTTGATAGGAGAACAATTATAGAACTCCCTCATTTCTCCAGGCCACTCTAGAGTACATATCAATATACATATGGTTTGCTTTTTCATCTGGCTTAATAAACTCTTGAAACTTGATATGCTCTTGGTCTTTTTAGTTTGGGATCTTATTTTAAATTGCACAGCCGTCCCATCACCAACTTTGGAAGACAGTAAGTTGACATAATCACCTTTCCGTTTCAGACATTTGGTTTCAATCTCAGTCAGGATATTCTTATTTGTGAAAACTTTTACAACCAACCGCAGTTCTTCAAGGGTGAATGCTTTTTGAATGTCACTTGCAGTTCTGAACAACTTTGCCAAATCAGTCAAAGTCCTGTGATTCCAACGTTTTTGGATTTTAACTGATGCTGTATGAAATGTTTTTAGAACTTGATCAAGTGCATCATTTGGTAATATTGTTTTAGCTTCGCAGTCATCACTTGCTAAGGAACCTGATACATTAGCTGAAACATGACCAGTAATCTCCTCATCATGGTTGTAATAGATAGTTTCATCTAAGTCAATCTCATCAGCATTCTCAGGGTTTTCTATGGTTATACCCATAACTGTGTCGTCAACAATGTTCTCTGCAGTGTTGTCACTATGCTTACTTTCAGTTGTTGCATGCTGATAAACATCATCGACATTATCAATGATTTCTTCTTGTAGCATTCTCTCAATGTCGGGATCATCTCTGTTATATTCCCCAATTGTTTCCCCTTGAAATGTCGTTTGTACATCTGATGGAGGTGGCACATCCTTTGTACTAGCTGATTCTGCTGAACTCTCGTTGGCACCACCTCTTGAGTGCTTTACTTTTGTTAAGTCAGATTTAACTATTGTGGTTAATCCCCCGGCGATTTCGTCTACGATTTCATTTGTATTCTGACCGTCGGTGTAATTGTTTGTTAGATCAACAGTCATTTTAATAGCGGTATATAATGCATCATCCAGCTTTGTCATGCTCGATTTTACCTCCTCTGTGATCAAAACGTCTCCCATTGTTGGGCAGATTAGAGATCCTATTATATCTTTGGTGTCAAGATTGTCTTTGTCATTTCTGTTCTTGTCATTTACAGTTACTCTTTCGCTTAGTTCTAGTAAGAGATCTACAAGCTGTTGTTTACTAAGATTTGCTATTCTGTTCCAAAGGAACTTTTGGCACTGGAGTAACGTGAGTGGCTTTGCATTAGCATCTAGAACAGCAAGTTTGTAGAACTGGCCATCAAAACCAATAGTGAGGATTTTCAGATTTCTAGCTTTCATTTCTCTTCTCAGGTAGGAAAATATATCTCTCACTTTATAGACTGGTAAACTTTTCCCTGACAGTCCCCAGAATATAGGAATGGACAATACATTGCTGCCTGCAACCTTAACTCTATCGAGATCTGACAGCACTGCAACTAGGACATCTGATGCAAGTGGCATTGTTAGTTTGACGCTTTCATGAATTGTTTGAGTAATGTTCTTGCATAAGGCTGACAAATCACTAAGAACTTCCTTTGCTTTGGGATCGTTTTCTTCAGTTAATTGCAAATCGTCCATGTGTGTATGATAGCGCTCCGATTCACAATACTTGCTCTCAGTATCAGTATCTGATTCTGTGATAACATTCTCATTGGATAGTTTGTGAATGCATGCTGATGCCAGTGCTGAGGGGAACTCACAAATTAACTCCACATTGTGACTTATAAACTCTTCAATTTTCCGTTTCAGCTCCAGGGCAATTGGGGATTTTCTTTTTGGCTTTATCGGATTATCTACACCATATACCTCGACAAGAGCATTGTATATCTCGTTCCAGAGGTCTTCGTCATTTTTTATGCAGAACACTGTGGATGACTCTGGTGACCAACATAACAGTACACACTTCTCAACTACCTGACCAACTTTGCGTGTTTTAGCACCATTCATATGGCTCAGCACTTGGGTTATATAGTATGTGGGTACATTGTAAAAGACAGGAAGCTTAAATGCACTCTCATCTTGGAATGGGCATTTGAATTCTGCTGTTAATTGTATACAGTTTTCTCCCTCCCATCCTTCTCCATCTGGCGAGGTAATTAAGAATGGTTCCTCATTTCTCTTTATGACGTAGCACCCGGCTTCTTTAAAGCATAAAGATGGGAAAAAGCATGGCAGTACCTTTCCAACAAATGTTGCGAGTGCATTTTCTTCATTGATGGTTCCATGGTCCAATTTTTCCTGAACTTGAGGTGAAAACTTGCGTTTTTCGTGGGAGATAAAGACACGTTCAAAGTGGTCTTTTTGCAGTTTGAGAGTACGAAGACCAACTGCATCATATATAGTACTCCCTGTAACCTTTGCCTCTGTTCTAAGATCAAACCATGCACCCGAACGTTGCGCTAACAAATGGCTGTTTTCGATAACCAAATTTTTGTTTTCTTCACAAATTTTTGGTTCATGGATACCATCAAGACAAACAAAATTGTGTTGATTCTGCAGTGGAACTGTATTGCCTAATGTGTAATCATTGCTCTCCTGTAGCTTAGAAGTTATGAAACCGCATTTATCTGTATTTGTTAGCATATTGAGAACACATTCCTTTACTTCTACGATGACAGTTTTCACCATACTTATTGCTGCAGCATACTTGGATTTTTTCCAATCACCCTTTGAGTTGTTTTCCTCCTCGGCGAGTTTCAATAATTTTTCCAATGCATACTTTTTAGACTTGGTAAACTCCCTCAATCCTTGTAGTCGATTTGCTTGTATTTTCATGAGCTTCTGGATTCGTATCACAGTGTCATCAACAACAGTCTTATCTGACATACGCAGCTGATTTATCGAATAATCTTCACCATGTATTTGTTTTAATAACAATTGGGCATTTTCTTCTACATTTGCAACTTCAGCTACTTCCTCAGCAAGTTCTCTCTGCATTTCTTGTTTGGTCGGTGAAGGTTCAAAATTTGCTAGGTCTATTCGTCCATGCTCATTACGAGTTGTATTTATTTTCTTCAGATCCAAAGATATATTGTGAAATTTGATATCAGAATTTTCCACCTTTTCCGTATACATTTGAACGATGTTTGACATGAAGCCAGTTTTTATGTCATCTGGTATGTGACTTGAAATTCTGACGGCTGAGGGTACAGCAAAATTTATATTGGTGTCTTGAGGATCGAAATGTCCTTTTTGTGTTCCACCATCGGAAAGATATCCCTCAGACTTTGTTCCCTTCATGAATGCTAAAAACTTTCCATGGAAGAGTCGTTTAGCAGTAAACCAAAACCGCATTATGTCTTCAGAGTATCGCATTTGTGTCGTGTTTTGCAGAGAATGCCACTCCACTACATCCAAGAACAACTTGTAGGCTATGTTGTTGAAAGGAAAGGTGTTTGATGCTATCAGTTTTAAAAACTTTTTAAAGCGCTTGAGGTGAAAGGGGTCTTGTCTTTTAAAGACTTCATACGCGTCTTCGAGCATTGCTTTCAAATGAACAATACCAGTATCACCATCATCATCATCGTCTGGCTCATCCGAGTCACTGACATCATTTATATCTTCAGATGCGACAGCTTCCGAAACTATTGGAGTTATTTCATCATCTGTATCTATTGTATCTTCTGGCTTATCATTATTTTCCAGATTTGCATCGATCTAAATAGCACAACATACAAAACAATTATACATAACAACAAACGGTAAATCATATGGAAAATCAATAATTTATTGATAAAATACATGTATATACATTGCACTAGTAGTACTGTACAGGTTCATTCTAAAATGCTTATAATTAAAATTAATTCATTGATACATTATCTTATCTAGTTTGTATTGTTGTTTCTCCCAATTCACAGTGTAAGTTTACTTATGTTTTGATGACTTACTTGAAATAAAGATCTTGGACGCTGTGTTGAATCAGTTTTGTCCGACATTTTTACTCGCTTTTTTTGTGGACTATCCTTTTGAACAAGCTTCATATCCTCGAAACGAAAATTACCGTGATCTTTCTTTGATAATGCAATACCATAGTCAAAAACATTGTAAATCCATTTTTTGCCATTTAACTCAGGCACATTAACTTTAATACTCAGTAATGGATGGTGCTGACTGAAGTGGACCACAAAGTCATCCATCTCGTGTGATTTATAACTACAGTGGTAGCATTTGTATCGAGGACCTGAAATACAATGTTTCGATGTGCAGTGGTAACTGGTGATAGCCATATTTTTTTCAATTTCATTTATTGTTCACAACAAAATGATTCGCATGAATGATGCAGATTGTATGTTTATTATTTTTTCATCAGCACGTCATAAACTCGACGATATAATCGGATCTCAAAAGATTTTACTCAAGATATTTTCGGATCTTTATAATATTACTCGCCGATCACATCGGGTCCGACGTCCGATAACATCGGGTCTTTTAGGACAAAGTTTAAGTGAAGATTTTGCTGTTCAAAAGTGCTATTTTGACCTAATATTTTGACACTGAATATATAATGCATATGCACATCCATTTACCGACCCAAGTATGTCTTATGTATGGCTCATTATCAATTAAAGCGAGTATGAATGAGAAAAACAAATCGAAAACCAATATACGTTTACCTTATCTCTTAATTTGGACATAAAAATATATTTCCACTATAATTCTAGGCCAATTGCGCCTGCTAAAACATCTTAGTAACAATTCTAACCATCCAAAGGAATTGATAGTGACATTATATTACCTTTATTGTCCATTTTCCTACGAGATGACATAATCAAACATTTGCTTGGCGGTATATGCGTGTCTTGCTCGGCGGTAGGTTGTATATACGCGGGTACTCTTTCCCCTCGTGTACATTGTATACAATACACTTAACGAGATATGTATGTTTATATTTTATATTATATCATATAATTTATATTTATGCAGTGACGCAACCCGGGCATAATAAGATAAAGGGATGACATGTTTGTGTGAATTAAAAATACCCAAGGGTGCTTATAGTTGTGGATTTCTAACGTTGTTGGATGTGTATGTAACGACCTTAGGCCGGCGACCTCTCGGTAATAAATTGTGAGGCCAGATAGACCACCCTATGCAGACAGAGCCTGTGGGAAATATTGGGTGCGGAGCAAATGAGCGGAGGGTGCGGAGCTAACGGTCATTTTTGAATTTAAATTTGGAATATTTCTGTAACTAAGCCGTTTTGGGACTTCAAATATACCAAGATATGTGTATTTGACACCAAATATCAATACAATTGTGAAAATAGTAGCGCAATTCATTCTATAGCGACGCAGTGTGCCTTAAACCTTTCCCAGACCTATATATTTTGAAATTATCCTTTTAATACTGAGTCCCCAGCATTCATAAAAAATGGTGTTCAAGGTACACTATCTATACAAATTATTTTTGCATCTTGGAAGCCAGGCAGTATCAGTGTGATTTTATAAAAATTCGGAAATGTTTTTCAGATATGAGCCCCCTCTAAATATTGGGTGCGGAGCAGCTCCATAAACGTAGCTCCGCACCCAATATTTAGAGGGGGCTCATATCTGAAGAACATTTCCGAATTTTTATAAAATCACACAGATACTGCCTGGCTTCCAAGATGCAAAAATAATTTGCATGGGTAGTGTATCTTGAACACCATTTTTTATGAATGCTGGGGACGCAGTATTAAAAGGATAGTCTCAAAATATATAGGTCTGGGAAATGTTTAAGGCATACTGCGTCGCTATAAAATGAATTGCACTACTATTTTCACAATTTTATTGATATTTGGTGTCAAATACACATATCTTGGTATATTTGAAGTCCCAAAACGGCTTAGTTTCAGAAATACCCCAATTTTAAATTCAAAAATGACCGTTAGCTCCGCACCCTCCGCTCATTTGCGCCGCACCCAATATTTCCCACAGGCTCTGTCTGCATAGGGTGTAGACATGGAAGAGAGAATGCCAAAATTCAACGCCCTATGTGGGAGTCGAACGCAAGTCGCTTTACGTAGTTCAAAGCATGATGTTACAGCTCTACCGTAGAGCTTATGAAAATATAGTGGCCCTTATGCTCAGTGGTACGTGAACACTAAAAATCCAGTCTAAAAATACAAACGTTAAATTCTGTCTCGTCATGAGAACATTGGGGTTCTACTTACATGTATATACGTGTAATAGTATAATGGCGAATTCTATTTGTTTCTCTCATGAGTAAATTGCATTTTTGAATTTGGTGTTTTTCCAAAGCAGAATAGATTCGTTGCGGGTTATTGTACGCAGCCTCTACCATCTTCGGAAGAGAGCTAAGATAGAAAGGGCCTCTGATAGATCAGAATAGATTTAAACCTATAATATATATATTATGAGTCACTGAAAGCACATGAGGCTGTGAGTATGACGCCCTAAAATGTTGTAAACAATCTTCAAAAAACATGCCAATGTTTCCCTTACAAATTGGACTTTCATTTTCTGAAAAGAATTGAAATATTTGATCAAGTATGTATGAGTTATTGAAGAATTAAGTTGAAGAAATGTCAAAGAACTTTCAATCGATAGGTCTGCGTCAAAAGCGTCTATTCATACATTTATGGGGTTTACATGTTGAGTTCTTTCACCTTCAGTCGATGCTTAAATATCTAAACCTCTATATGTTCACGCTACTTGGATTATCTTTTCCAGAACACAGTAAGTTTGAAACCAGGGGATGCAGCAGTAAAATGTTTTAAAATAGTGTTTCAGCTCATCACGGCATAATGTCAAATCATATTCGGCCATATTCATCCTTATTCATTTGAAGGTATGTGTATATCTAGTTAAATAATTACTTTTCTGTACACTGAATTCACTCTTGGGTGAAGAAAAGTTAAATCAGTACATTGGGGTACTTTTTAAACACTACGTATTTCTGGGCCAATTATTGTGGTAATATTAACTGTAGGTCGTCATGTACAGGTATATCAGTAACACCTTTTATGTTTATACTTTTTAATATTTGTAAATGCACGGATTAACCTAATATTTGACGGGCAACTGATTTAAATACGAATAGTACCTGCCACTACTCCATTCATATTTAAATGAATTGGTCACAAAACAGTAGGTTAATCCGATAGCCGCCAGTTAGTTGCATTCGCGAATTCAAGTTAGTTTGAACAACTTTTTTACATGTCTATCACTGGAGGAACTCATAAACAGGATACAAAAACGTATTCGTTTTATAGCATATACTACAGTTTATAATTAATCACTTACGCATTGAATATCACGGTTTGGGCATCTTCTTGAACTAATCCACATGACATGTAAAATAATTTGTTTTTCGAACAACATCTTATTCAGTGAACCCAGCATGCAAAGCCTTCATGCTCGCTAATGCCTTGGTCACATTTGCTCCGATTTTCACTACGGCGCCCGGCCGATTGAGTATTTTGTTCAAAATTGAATACACTATTGAACAAAACACTCAATCAGCCGAGCGCCGGCCGATGGATCGGAGCAGATGTGACCAAGGCATTACCAGTTTGATTTTCATGTACATGTACTGTATGTGTAGCAATCAAAATCCTTACAATTTGGCAACACATTGAAAAACCATACTTTAGGTATGCACATGTCACGCTAATACTCTACATCATATTAAAACGCACCCTGGAATACAATTTAAATCAAATATAAACTTGCATTGTATAACTTTTAACTTGAACATCAATTTATTTTGATACATCTATCACATTTCAAGGGCTAAGCTTGGCATGAGACACGCAGGACAACTGCCTCGCTAACATTACAGAAAACATGTTTTCAGACGTTTTAGAAATTAAATTAAATTTAAATGTGTATGATGTACCTCCTTCACCCATTTACATTGCCAATTTAGTCTAGCGTCAAGCCGTTGCACATACACTGTGTGAGAAGGTGTTTAGTCAAGTAGAGGGGGGTTATAGAGGCTTGGAGCTAGACTACCAATTATTTTGCCTCGCCAAAGTAGTGATCCTTGCCATACCCCTGCCTTGATAGATTTAAATTTGCTGTATTTTAGGACCAGCGGGCTATAAAGGTTATTCCAAATGAATAAACATACAGTAAATGTACACAGTATACACAATTATTTCACATAGATTATAAAGAACCTTACAATGTCAGATATATATGAATTAAGGGTATACATATAAACATCGGATTCGATATTAAGCGCTTTTAGCGTTTTCTTTGTATTGCGACCCTCGATAATTACTTTTAGCTATCTTTAGCTATGGTACTTGTACCATTCACTTGTATATTAATTCTAGGTTTTGATTTTGTTATAACCACTCTAAATGATGTCATCCGTCCTAAAGCGATGGAGGGCTGTTAATTAATCAATTTACTGTTAATTGACGTTGATCAATCGGTGATTAAATGGCCGAATATTATAGAAATATATCATCATTACTTTCATCAATTTAACGTTCATAAAACTTTTAATTAACACATCGTTTCAACTTTTTTTTAGTTGGCAGTGATAAGTATAAACAAGTTGGAAGGGAGGACGTCCATGCTGTGTTTTACAAGGCGAGACGGTAATACCAGGTAAATACAGATTTACCTGTTGTATCACATGTACAGTAGTACGCTGAATCAATACTGTGTAAAGCTTTCATTGTCAGATGGCACAGTAACTTGGATATTTTATATTTACATGCATACATTCTTTTACATCTGTGCCACGTTGAATAGGCAAGTTGGGATAGTGCAACCAAGTCAACATGTCAAAGTCTGACAGTGAGATTGAGATAAATGCAGCTAGTGACGTTGAGAAAGATGCTAAAGCTGAGAGTAAAGCTGAGACTACAAATCCACTGGATCGAGCAAAGATCTCGAAAGTTGAAGCCGTCTCAATGATCTTTATATTTATACTGATCGATGTCGGGAAGCAAACATCAAGCTACGCTGTAAAATACTACAACAATGGGAAATATCCGATACCTCAAACCATGATAGTCGCAGTGACAGAATATCTCAAATTGTCTCTTGTGTTTGGCAAACTTGTGTACGATGGTGTGTTAAGTGATGTAAAACTTTCTTTAAAGTTTGCAATTCCATCTATAATTTACGCTGTTAATAATAACATTTACTATTTCGCTTTTTATTACACCACCCCAGCAGTGTGGAATATACTCACACAATTTAGGATTATCTTAACCGCTGTTGTATATCGTGTGATCTTCAAAAGGGAAGTGACTAGACTACAATGGGGTGCTCTTATGCTGTTGATATTTGGGATCGTGCTGACACAACGGACCAGTAGTGATCACGGAGACGAGGGAGGAAATTTGCTCAAACCACAGGCACTTATTCTTGCCCTGGTTGTCTGTGGACTCTCAGTTGTGGGCTCAGTTTATATGGAGGTGAGTTCCAATACACCCTGCCATCTATTGGTACATTAAAGAAGCTGTGGTATATTGGCTAGCTGATTGATGATGTCAATGTCTGTAGGTAGCAAGCAATATGTCCAAGCAAAAAAACAAGATCGTTAATTTTGAAAAAGGCCTATTGTTTTAAAATCGAAAACCAAAGTGTTTCTTATCTAATCCCACCGCTGTCACCAATGAAATGTAGCATTCATATACTACGGAATTCCACAATCAAACATTTTACACATTAATGCGTTTTAAGTACAATAAGCCATTCCAATATAAAGGGAAATCAATATTTCACTTCGCAGTCAGTTTATCTTTTCCCACCGTTCACTGGGGGGTAACGTGATGCAACAACACCGTGTTGTTGCATCAAGATGGCCAGACTTCCGGTGATAGATTTTCGTACGATGTTTTGTTTTCCCAATTTACACCCATTTCTAGGACGAGTTGCTCAATAATCATACACATGCAGTTAGCGCATGATCTATATTTTAAAAAACTGTCATTGGTATACATGTAGCATCATCAAGAAGCGATAAATTCGTGGTTTTAATTCCTCACTATTGATGCAACAACACCACTCTGTTTTTTATCGATGATGCAACAACACCAATGTACTGATGCAAAAACGCCAATATAATGTATCATTGAACAACAAGAGAAACTGTTTAATGTTCTGTTTAGAGGTGTAGGTCGGGACATGAATAAAACGCGTGAGTCAGTGGTCCATGACCACTACTAGGTACTGTTGACCGCTATTTTTGAAAAATTGTTTTTTAATGTTGATTTTTTTTAATTTTGAAAAAACAAGTTGTGTATAAAATTACAAGTATTCGACGGTTTGGGGATTTTTTGCTAAAATATGATACCTTTACTTATCAAATATGTTCACGTGATATTCGATTATATATTCGTCCAATTATTATATTATTTGGACTAACAGAACAATTGTTAACCTCTCTTTTCGGTCAACTGGCAAAAGTGTCCTCGACATCTGGTCTTGATCAACAGTACTTTCAAGGTTTACAGTATCGGTATACAATTTTGCCAGTTGACCTCAAGAGAGGTCTACAATTGTATATTATATCCTTCAAATTATAATATTCTTCGGACTAACAAACAATTGTTAACCTCTTTATTCGGTCAACTGGCCAAAGTGTGTACCTCAACAGTAAACCCTGAGAGTACTGTTGACCTCGACCTCCGAACTTTCAAGGATTACAGTATCGGTATACAATTTTGCCAGTTGACCTCAAGAGAGGTCTACAATTGTATATTGTATATCCTTTGTTATCCCACCCAAAGTATGATGTCATGTATCAAGTTGAGGAGTTGTATACGCTGCTCAGGAGTTTACGCTATCCAGGAGTTGTACATCGTTCTCAAGAGTTGTATAGGATGAGTGTTGGTTTAATGATATTGCAGTTATACAATGCTATTATATAAAGGTTATTTACTGAGAGAGATTCAATATTGGTTTTATTCCGAGAGACAATATGATATTTCCCTAGGGCCCGGGATATCTGGGATATCTGTACCCATATCAATTCACCTTTTTGGGCCCTTAATCTTATCACTTTTGTTTACCTTTTTACTCAGTCGGAGATAATTTCCAATAGCTCGTCATGTTTACCGAGAACGAAAGATGTTTGTCCACCATTTTGAATGATACTAACTGGAGTCAGGGTCATCAAGCTATGGAACAGTGGTTTATGAAAATAGATTGGGTTACTAAAGCTTGCCATGTTAAAGGCGATTGAACTATATTATAGAACAACGTCCAGTACATTATAATATCTAAAAGTATAAATTTTTGAAAATACATTATAAAGGATCTTCGCCCGCAGGACATGCATTTTGAATGCCTTGAGAAGAACGCAAATATGGGTAATGGGTAACGGTGTTGCAATACTAGTAGTAGTATTTAAAAATCTGTTCCTCTCGAGATTTATGGTCTTCTGAAATTATACTATTATTTGGTGTTGCTGCATCATTGCTCAAATCTAGCGGGGTGTTGTTGCATCTTCGGTTTGGTGTTGTTGCATCAATAGTGAGGAACTAAAACCGTGAACTAATTGCTTCTTGGTGATGGTACATGTATACTAATGACAGTTTCTTTAAATATAGATCGTGTGCTAACTTCACGTGTATGGATATTGAGCAACTCGTCCTAGAAATGGGTTTAAATTGGGGAAACAAAATATCGTACGAAAATCTATCACCGGAAGTCTGGCCATCTTGATGCAACAACACGGTGTTGTTGCATCACGATACTCCCCAGACTGATCAATCCAGATTTATTGTTGAGTTCATTTAGTATCATCAGTATCTGCTGCTATACACATACGCCATCTATTATTGATATGCGTGTTCGAATTTAGCATTTTAACCATTATCGAATAATTTGTAGCATTCAGGCCTGAAGCCAGGGAAATCTGGGGCAGCGGAAGCTCCCCCCCCCGCCAGAAATCCTTCCAAAACCATGCAGTTTTTCACCATTCTGAGCACTTTTTGCATGATTTTTAGCCAAAACTGTAAAAAGCTCCCCCCAGGAAAAAGCTCTCCCCTCCATTCAAGTCCTCTGTACTTTATATTAGTAGACTGCTATTTGAAACAACAGCAATTTTATATTTAGATGCGTAGCATTTGCATCTCTTGTAGGCGTTAGTTGCATTCGCGAATACAAGCTAATTTGTCTGAAATTTATAAACATTTTATTCAAAATATGAATGTATCTTTTATATTTTAGATTGGATTGATTCAGTCACGTAATATGCTCCGCATTAAAAGTTATACAGTGATATCAAACAATACAAGTTGTACAGGGTGCATCAAAATTCTTTAATAGATTCTCTGTGAAAATTTGTCAATCGCCTATATCGTTAATTAAGTAATTGTAATATCATTTGTAGTATTGTAATTTCAATTGATCCTTATACTGACATTAATATTTTTAAATTTCAGTATCTATTTAAAAATGATAAGAGGACTTTCTTTGAACAACAGTTGCAGTTATACATATTTGGATCTATGGCAGCTAGTATTTTCTACTTTGGGGAGATCAAGTCGACTCCTTCCTGGGAACAATGGCAAGGTAAGTGTATGCTAATATTTTGTACTTTAGTATTCATTTTCCGATCCTACAGCGAGCTGTACTATTATATTTGCATCCCCTACACGTCTTTTTCAACCCATAATAGAAATATAGATGTCACGATTCTAACATTCCATATTCGTTTGCCAATCCTCCTAATACCCGCCTCCATATATTATAACATTCGTAAACCTATCCAACATATGCCTCAATTAAAGCATTCATTCACAAATAGTTCACCAATCCTTCACATGCCAAGATGTCACAATTGTAACATTCGTTCAAAAATCCTAACATAAGGGAGTTTAAGCTTGCATATAAAATCGAAACGCCAACCTATACGTATGACCAATCGCCCATACAAATGCATCGCTTAACTATTTTTCCGTTCAAGTTCAGGTTGTGAAAAACATTGCAAACTTAAACTCCATATTTTAACATTCGTAAACGTATCCAATATATGCCAGAATTGTAACATTCGTTCATTAATCTCAAAACTGTCAAATGTCACTCTGAAAAGCTACACTGATGTGATAAGTCTAAGTTTGACATCGTATTTTGTCTTATTTTTCAGAAGTTCCCGTGACTGCAATTGGTTGGCTGATCTTATGTATATTTCTGAGTGGAATTATCGGCATTTCCGTTGCGCTCATCGTGAAAAAACTGGACAATATTGTCAAAATTTACACGCAAGCTCTTTCAAATATGGCTACTACGATTATTTCGGCGATCCTATTCCCTGATCATTTGAAACTAAACGTAACATTTGCAGTAGCGTTGGTGGCAGTGTTTACGGCAATTCACCTGTATGAAAGGAAACATATTAGATGTTGATATTTCAGGAAAACATTTGAGATGGGTATTCTTCCACGAGCAATATTATTAACATTAAACAATGCTTAAAAATATCCAGAATCATATATAATAGTACCTGTGGGCGTATTATTTGGATTGTTATAGTTCCATATATTATGCTTGGCCTTGGAAAATATAAGTATGGCAAAATGGTATGGATGTGCAAAAGATTATATTGCAATACTAGGGAGGGTCATCCTTGGTCCAAGGGTATTTCACTTCTTTCTATTTGAATTTTAGCGTAAGTGAAGTCCTTTGAAGAAGGATGGGGAGGGTAAGTTACACGTTTTTAAGAGAACCTGTACGCGAGCATGTAACATTTCGACCCACTGAAATTACTATACCGCTCTCAATTCACTTTTCCAGGGACCTAATTACAATTATTTTCCATATATACTCAATCGGCCAAGTAAACAGTATAAATGGGAAAACTATTCCACAGATTAAGAGGACCATAATTCTACACGTTCATGTACAGGTTTTAAAAACGTATATCTTAACCTCCCTACTGACTTGACTATTGAAAAAAATGTACAACAGTACAAGTCGAGGTCAACAATAAACTCAAAGTTTACAATAAAGGTATACAATTTTCCACGTTCACCTCTAATATTTTCATAAAAACAAGCAAATCAACATATTCAAACAATCGAGATTCATTTTCATTATTTTTTGTTTTTTTTCCTGTTTACCATTGTTAATATATATAATAGGATTTTATTAGTACTGATGCCCTTTTAGGGGCAAACGTACATTCGATATACAATTTTCAATAACAGTAAATATCCTATTTCCAAGTACTTAAACAATATAGAAAATTTTGCAAGTCAAGCACTAAACGAGGGTATACTATCAGATACATACATCTGAGGTTCCATTTTACTGAGATGCATACTCTGGTTTATGAGACTAAGAGCAAACTTGGAAATACGAAGATTTTTAGATCTTTACCACCACCAAGAAGCGATAATGAATTATGGAACAATAAAACAATATTTATGAATAATACTGGTATATTAACAGTAATTAAACTTCTTTTTTTTCAACATGCAACAGATAAGTGTGATACATTATTCATGCTATAACGTGTTTTACAAAGTCTGTCTAACAGTTTTTTATAATATATTAAATTAAGACAATAGACTAGATGCGAGTAGAAATAATCTTGATTTAATGTGACTTCTACTTCTAGTTCGGGGATATTCCCCATAGGCCCCATGTTATAAAATCTAAAATCTTTTACTGGACATATTTTGATTTGCATAACCTATTAGATAAAAAATTGAACCACTAAAACTGATGAATTTCTACTAAACTATCTTAATAAACACTTCACGAATTTTTGGAAAATTTGAGGATATGTGATTTTGTAGATTTTGAATTTCTGTTGGTTATGTATCGAGCCCTCCTTTACTGCTCATACACTGTTCAATGATCTGTGCGGCCTGATTATGGCTTATAAACATGACAGCTTTGAAATCAAAGACAATGGTATCACCATTGATCATTTAAATTGAATTTTGCTCAATAATTTTAAACAATATCACGTTAGAGTGTGTAATCAATATTAAAAGGTTCGTAGTTAACAATTTACAAGCTTGGGGTATGGCTCATTAAAGTACTTGTTATTTAGAAGCTTAACTGGTAATTTGGTATCAGCCACGGAAGATGAAAATAAATAGCACTACTTAGATTTAAATCTAATTGGAGTTAATTAAAAAACGGAATGGCGAATATAATAAATGAAAATATGATAAAAGATAAGATAAGATATAATACTGAGTAAAGATTTGTAAGTAAATTGACATTATGTTCAGCAGAATTTGCCTGACCAGCTTTACATGTTGATGGTCAACTGGACTTCGGACTGTAGTGCTATAAAACCCATTTACAAGGAAAGATTTGCCAAGCTGACAGTTGGAAGATATTCAAATATGGGCGTCACTCCTGACGACTCGTTTGAACAAGAGACAAAGACAGACATCCTAATCTTAGATGATCACCAGCATAAAGAATCCACAGACGCCAAATCTAAAGATATTGAGACAAAACATCCTTTAGAGAGAGAAACTGTATCCATTTGGCTTATGGTTATGTATTGTACCTTGTACGTGGCTTTGGAAACAGGAAAGCATGTTTCGACATATGGAGCGAAGTATTACAATGATGGTGTTTACCCCATGAGACAGACACTAATGGTCTCTGTGACGGAAATTATGAAATTAGTTGCAGTTTTATGTAAGCTGATATATGACGGTAACCACAACAATATGAAGTTGTCAATCATGTTTGCGATCCCCTCATTAATATACGCCATCAATAACAATATCTCGTACTATGCTTTCCACTTTACTACTCCTGCCATTTGGAATGTTCTGTCCCAGTTCAGGATTGTCCTCACTGCCCTTGTATACAGAGTCATCTTTAAACGCTCGGTCACTAAGACGCAATGGATGGCAATACATATTCTTCTTAGTGGTATCTTCATAGTGGCTTTTACGTCAACTGAACCAATAGATCTCCATGTGCAGGAAAGACGCTTATTGAATCCATTTGTGTTTGTTTTGTCGTTCATATTATGCAGTCTCTCAGTCGTAGGATCTATCTATATGGAGGTAAGATGAATGTTCCATCATGCGTTTGTTTCAATAATTTAGTAACATATACTCGGATATACCATTACTGTCCTAAAACGCCCCATTACAATTGGTTTAAAGGGCATTGTAATTTGCCCCAATTTACCAATGATAATTAATGCATATTACAAGGCTCTGATACTTCAAATTCCAGAATTCACTAACTATGCTAACCAGAAAATTGTCACCAGTATGCAAATGACCCCATAATCAGAATTTGCGATAAGATGCCCACTAGACACTGTGAAGCACCACATAATAAAAGTGGTAAAACGCTGTATTGCATAGGAATGCACGTATTCAGTTGATATTGCATTGGTTAACATAGTGTTTCCCACATTGACATCCTTCTGACCTTTATCAAAATGAAAAATCAATTATATCTTGCAGTACATATAATATATATGCTTTGCTATTAATTTGCAGTACTTGTTCAAAAATGATCGGAGACCATTCATTGAACAACAGTGCCAATTATACATGTTCACTGGAGCTGTAGCCACTTTATTCTTTGCTCTCGATTCTTCTAAGGTAGAGGCGTTACACCAAATAAATGGCACTGGTAAGTTATGGTCCATTCGTAATTGTTCTGCAGAGTGATAATGCGAAACGTTAACACTATAGCCACATTCATAAAGAGAACAGTACAGCTGCCTAAAAAATATTTATTATTGTTCTTCTATTATTTAAGGGAGTCATGAAAAGGAAGTGACAAAACAGGATATCACTTTGCTGGATTTTTGAAACAATGATGTCTGAGTTATGTTTCGACCTTCAGTCAGTTAGGGATGGTCAGAATGCATAGAATCCAGTTGTAGATTGAAGGGCATTTTCTTTTGATGTAGTATCTATTATGAATAATAGTGATGATGAAATAATTTTTTCATCCTGTGACTGAAAAATAGTTAAAAGTTGTAATTTCAGAAAGGTCACTGAACAGAATATTTTGAATATATCAGTTAATGTGCTCAATTTAGCTTTGAATAACAAGAGCTTTGAAAATTTAACAAATTGTCTGAAACAAAAACGGTGGTCATGCATAAGACAATACCATTTGAAACAATATATCGGATAAAAGATTCTGTTTGATGACCTTTCCGAATGTACAACTTTTGACTATTTTTCAGTCACATTTTTAGAGGGCTGAAAAGGCTATTGTAGGCGCATTGTAATCTTTGTCATGTAAATGATATATGCAACTTGTAAAACTGACTTAAGGTCAAAACAGAACTCTATTGTCTCAGTTCAAAAAGTTTCAAAATTCCAGAATGTTTTATGACTTCCTGTTTGTCACTTCATGTTAACTACCTGAAGAACTTAATGTTTCGGTGATTTGTAATTTAGTAAATAGCAATGATGACAGTATGGATCGTCTTCTTAATTTGTAGGTAGTGTGCCGCTAGCCTCACAATTGTGCTTCATGGCAAGCATTATACTGGGGACAATACTCGGCCTGACAGTGGCAGTTATCGTGAAGAAACTTGACAATATAGTAAAGATATACAGTCAGACATTGGCCAATATATTCACAACTATGCTCTGTGCATCGTTCTTTCCTAATGATGTTACTATAACACCAGTGTTTATTGTGGCACTTGGACTTATTTTTGTTGGAATTTTATTATATGAAAAGAAATCTATACAATAAATTGCTATAGGGGTTTAAGATATTTAGATTGAAGTATAACGATTCTAGAAAAATGCATCATGTTAGCAAGTTATCATCTAATATAAGGAAGGGTATAAAAAAGAGCTGGATGCCTCCAAGGGAACCTTGAGCGGCAATTTGAAGTGTTTCTGCTCCCATTCTATACCTTCCTTATGTATCATATTTGTTTGTAATTGAAATTAGTAAAATTTGAAAACCAATATTTCCCTGTTTGCGGACGAATGTCAGTTTACCGCGTTAATGCCACCAATCTAGTACGTCTTTAATACTCAAAAAACATGCATAAAATTTCTTTCCTACAGTTGGTCTTAGATTAACTATAAATGATATACTGCATATTTGCATATTTATCTTCCTTTTTATTGTATGTAGAAGTACTTTAAATAATATACAACATAGACAAAATGTAAGAAAAGTTGAAAAATTACAATAAGCAATAAGGGCATGATACGATAAAAGCCGTTTATTAAAGTGGATGTGTGCGATGATTTAGTTAAGATGATATCAATGGTATATAAGTATCTCAAGAGCATTATAAAAAACACAACATTAGGTCTTACAATGAAACTGCTTCATATTTTATGAAAACATCACATGGAAATCTTAAAACTGCATAATTTTTCATACAACATGCTTCCTCTCAAAGTCGTGAAAACCATGGCAGCTGGAGTATCACTCCTCTCAAACTTGACATTTTGGCCCACCCTGTGCATGTGCATGCAGCCTGTTGACTCGATCTCCAGGGTAAAGTACATAAACTTAAACACTGTTTACACAAAACAAACACATATAAGATATCAGCGTAACTTGTCCTTGTTATACATACTTTAAAGTTTAAAACATTCATATGGGTAGTCGGATTGCAATTATTCGAACCACTGGTATATATTGTAACTATATTTTTCTAAATTCAAACACGGAGCTCTGATTTGCAATAGGCCTATTACATTATACAAATTAAGAATTGGATTTAAATAAAAAAACTGAGAAAACAAAATTGATTAGGTATCCACATGATATTTTACGAACGTGATTCTGTGGCAGAAAAGGTTAAACAAAGCATATGACTATGTTAATACATGTAAGTTGTTGAAGCTGAAAGAAGTAGACTGTAAAGATACTTTTAGAAGTGGTTATTGGTAAACTTAGATATGACAGAAATCAACAAAGATGGCGTGGAGAACCGTACCGTGCTGATGCCTTCGGAGGCTACAAAGGCAAGGAATGTGCCCAAGGAGAAAATCTACGAACTGGTGTTCAGGTATTCTATGAAATGTAAAACTATTGAAAAGGAAATGAAGTACATGTAACCATTCCTCAGACAAATTGTAATATGAAACCTTTGAAGTGACATTTTTACTGGAAAGTGTTGATAATAAGGTAATCTAACATTAACAACTTAATTTTTGATGGTATTTTGTTATTCAATGCGAATTGTGTTCTCAAATTGTGTAAAGAACGCAAGATAGTAGAGCGTCTCCGTTGACTTTTAAAGGTCCTTTTTTACATGTGCCACGCAGTTTAAACGTTGCAACTTCTCTTATTGTCTTGCTTCAAGACTGTGGACCTGGCCCCATATCTAACCAACATGTTTTTTAGAGTAGATAGTCCAGGTAAAGCAAGACTATTTTTCCATATTTATTGTAGATTGTTTGGCATGACTGTTCTCAGTAGCAGAAAAGTAGACTCATGGGATGACCAGAACTTCTACATCACATGCAAAGATACAGATAATACAATTCAAATCAGCCCTCATGGTTATACACTAAAAATTGTCAATGCCGTGGACTCAAAAGTACCCGCGTTTATTGGTAAGTAATAAATGGCACAAAGCTCTCTTTTATCGTAGCAATAATGAAAAATACATCTACAAGGTGATCCCAAAAATTAGCCCTTTGCTTTTAAAATATTTTCTAAATGATTGTGAGAAACTTTTAACGAAGAATTATGCACAACAAAAAAATGAGTATTTAGCTAGATCATATCGATATGGAAAAGTCCGATCAATTGCCCCATATGTTTCTAGATGCACAGCATGCAATGGCTAAACGTATAAGCGAGTCGGGTTTGACATGTCCTGTACCAGTGAAGAACCTAAAGTCGTCTTATAAATCTCTAGAGGAACTGTCAACAGAGAATGGTATACGTAGATGTTTTTGTTCTTTTTTGTCGAGTGGTATTGTATTAATCATCAAACAGAATGATCAAAATAAAGACGTTTTCAATAATAGCTATAATGATCAATCATTGTTTTATGACTATATTGACTGATTGATACGTAGTAGCTATGAATCGACCATTAAAGTATTTGTTACAAATTACAGGTTGGTCCAACAAAAATGCAACTCATGAATATAAAAATGTGCATAACTTCGATACACAATAAATGTAAACAATATAATGCCCACGATTATATTCAGTTTAAGAAAGAAATGTGTAGAAAACTATTTTGTGTCGGCCTGGGAGTGTTTGGACGAGTTTGTTGAAAAGGTACAGGGATGACAAGTTTTTATTTATTTAGGCAATGTCGAGTTGCGACTCGTTCACATGGTGACATTCATTCCTGGGGAAGTTTTGGCAGATATACCGTTGACGCCATCTATTGTCAGACATTTAGGGGGATACATGACTAAACTAAGGGGAGCATTGCAGGTGAGGACGTTAAGCTCTCTGTGCTCATTCTGATTCACAAGGTCTCATTTGCTCCAACCTCATATAACCACCGTGGCTGTAAGATAACTTGCATTTTGATAAATGTCAATTAATTATAATAAATGTTCTTTCACACATACTCCAGACAGACTAAAGCTGAAAATGATGATTGGGAGATGGGGAATAACAGAAGAAACACGATTCAGGGCCTAGGGACGATAGTTTGCCAAGTATACTTGGGCTTCCACACACGTGCATATGGTCTATTATTAGAGCATGCATGTCAACTAGAAGATACACAAATCAATTATCAATAGTCTCAATTATGAGCCATCTTCCGAACGCAGGGTTCAAGACATCATCCACTAATTAATGCCTTCTTTCTTCTAAGAAGAAGGAGGTACGAGTTCTAGAGGCCTGTGTTCGGAGGAGGATTTTGACAATATCGAAACATTTTTCCATTTTCATAGTGTGGTAGTTATGTTTCCTATCAAGAGAAAACATGGCTTGTAATATTCCTTTATGAATAAAGATGCCATAAGAAGAAACAATAAAAAATACGTGATATTTAGATTAGGGGGGCCGTAAAAAGGAGACCATTGAAGTTGACAATATCTCCTAAACTGGACAAGTGACATCGATGAAATTTCGCTCACCTCAGTCAACTGGATAAGTAGCTGTGATCATTTACATTACATGCTCATATTCGAATATGTCAAAGGACTTGGTGTATAGCTTGATCTTATTAATCTTGCAGGGCTTCTACCATGCTGGGTATGAGGACCATCAGACCATATATAACATTGAATGCACCCCCAAACTAATGGAGTTCATGGAAAGTGTGACAGGATGCGAGAAGAAAGAACTCTATACTGAAGTCATCAGAGCCTATGAATCAGAGATAGTGCCTAAGTACGACAGTTTGACCAAAGGTAAAATTGGAATGTTTATAAATTTCAGTCTTCTAATTTTGAATACATAGCACAAAATGGTTAATATTTCAGGCCATGTACATTGAAATGTTTTCAAAAATATGGTAAACTGTCACAAACCTAGATGTAAAAACTAGAAACAGTTGTTAAATTGTTACGATTTGTACTGATTCGTACTATTGTTGATTATTACCACCTTGCCGGGCCAGTTCTAGAGGTTTTAGTGCTAGTTTAGAAGGCGTTTATTTTACTATATCGACCTGAGAAATGTGTGACGTCATAGTGGTGGTCCATATGGACCGGTCTAGAATATATTCTGGACCGGCAATTTTCCCCGGGAAATTAAATATCGTTCAATGCGTAAGATTTTCTTGCTGTTTCAGTCCTGGTCGTTAACGGTGGTAATAATACTAATAACGTCATTTCTGCGAGCGATATAGTGAAATATTGGACCTTGGGCCTTCGGCCCTTGGTCCAACATTTCACTTTATTATGCACCTCATTAAAATACTCAATCTGATTGGTTCTTAGTTGCTTGTAATTTGGCAATACTCTGCTCTTTTCTGAAAACTGCCGGATATTTTTTTAATATCTGACCCTTTCGAGAAAAAGGGTCGGATATTTTTTTCAATGTTTTTGCAACATTCCCACTTCAGAGTTTTATTTCTTAATAACTGGAGTACTACTTAAAGCTTACATCTGAAACTGGCGGAAAATAGAAGAAAAAATGCACTTAATCAATCACAATTACCCTTATCATTCAAAAGTTACATATAATTCTGCAAGAACGTCTCGAATAAATAAAAATTAAATTCCCGGGGCAAATATTTTCGTCCAGCGTAGCGAATAAACTGGCCGGAAGTCGTCTGAGTTTTGAAAGAAAAAATAAATAAATGGCAAAATAATGTCAACTAAACGACAGTTTAAGCCTGTACTCCAGTAAGTACTCCACTTAACTTTGATTGGGAGGTGCATAATAAAACAAATACTGGATGATCAGGAGCTGGATATGGCCAGAATACCTATCCTCGAAAAAATATTGGGCTCGGCTGCCGCCTCGCCCAATATTTTTTCTCGAATAGGTATTCTGCCATATCCAGCTCCTGATCATCCAGTATTTGTTTAATATCGCCCTTAGAAATGACGTTATTGTACTATTATATCCTCCACAAGTAAAAACCATTCCAATTCCATGGGTTTGAATATCAAGAGAAAAACTTCTATGTATCGATATGCTGATAACCCTGCATCTGGAGTTTCAATTCTTTTACAGGAGTTATTCACGGTGATATAACTGCGAAGAATATCATTATGAATAAAAACAGCCCCGATTGCAACGTTGCGGCTGTAATCGACTTTGGTGACTCGGTGAATTCTGTTCACGTGTTTGATTTGGCAGTTGCCATAGCAGCGTTTATCTATGAATCAAAGTTAGATGTTTTGGAAATTCTAGAAAATGTCCTTTCACCGTACACCAAAGTTTTCCCACTAACAGCGGAGGAATCGTCCGTGCTAAAGGTGGCCATTGCAGCTCGCTTGACAATAATTGGAGTGATGGTGGAATACATGTACTCGCTTAAAAAAGAAGCATATTTTCTGGAAGAGGGTAAAAATGCATACAAACGATTGAAGGAGTTTTGGGAAATTCCAGTTGATGAAATAAATAAAACCTACATGCAGTAATAAAATACATCTAATCATAGTTCATGTTGTACCATGGTCAGAGCAATATTAGGTATGTGAAAGCAGGTGATAAATAACATATTTCCGATAGGGATGATAAAAGGGATGATGTCAGGATTAGAGGGATGATATGATATCATCCCGGTGTGAAAGAATTTATGGTCCCCTGGGGATTATGGTCTCCTTTCTTAACGGCCCTTACTGGCCCTGATTGTGTGTAAGATAATAAGAGAAAGAGTTGTCATTGGCTCATCATATAAATCAATGGAGAGTAGGACCATAATTTGATAGGACCTCCTACCCTTTTACACCTGGTATAATATTCAAAATTTTACAATTTTCAAAATTTTTCATTTTCTCAAAAAAATCATTTTTTCAAAAAGTTTTCAATCTTTCAAGAATGTTCATCTTTCGAAAGTTTTCATATTTCAATTGAATTTTTTCATTTTTACATTAAATTCGAATCATTCTGTAGATATATTGAAACAATTCTCGTCTAACCAATCCCAAACCTCATCAATACAAGTAAACAACAAAAAACCAACTATCTTTGCAGTATTGTTTATTTTCTGTTTCGGGACACATAAAATAAACGTTTAAGGTCCTTCATCGGAAAATTACTTTTAACTCTTCTTCAGTTGTAATTCGGATGATCCGTTTAAGCTGAAATGGAGAATGTAGTAAAAGGATAGAATAAATCATAGAAAAAAGTTGTTGACTTTGTATTTATTTCTAAAGTTTGTTGAAATAAAGATAAAGAAAATAATCAAATTTTGAAGTCTAAGTCTTTAACATGTTTGCAAATCTAAGACACGTTCGCAGATTGAATGCATTTAATTGATGTTTCTAAATCTTATGAATACAGTTTCTTTTGAACCTGGTTCTGGACAAAAGGCATTTTTTGAGGTGGAGCTTTGTCTTTTTCAAACAATATCCTTATTGCATTTGACCTATAAGATCTACAATTAACAGAAATATAGAACGGGGCCTATACCTGCCACTGGGCGTTGTCTGCAATTACAAGTGGGGCAACCATCAAGTCCAAACACATACCCATATGGGCAATATTTCTTACAGTTACCACGGCAGCGACGGCGAGGTCCTAAAACATTAATTTTGAACATTGTCGTATTTGATTTTTAATCGCTGATAACCTCTACATATTTTTTTTAATTGGAACAAAGATAGACTTAACACAAACGATAAACAAACTATATAAATAATTCTAAGGCTTACTTCTATTGCATCTGCAGACTTCACAACCGTTTTCTATTGCGCGTCCGTATTGACAGTATATTAAGCACTGATTCGGTGGGCATCGAGTGCCGTTTTGCAGTTCCGGTGTTGCATCTAGAGATATGAAGAAGAGATATGCGATGTTTAGCTTATAATTAGCCTACCCTCTCCGCGTAGTACATTTATTTCGATTTTTCCATCATCTAATTATTTAATAAGGCCATAAGAAGTAGATTCTTTGTTTTGCGTCCTGCCAAAATACAAATCATGCAAGGGTACAAGGAAAACAAACACAAACTCAAGAAAAAACACAAACTTGTTTGCTGAGAAATGTATACATTTTATGGGCATAGAAAGGGATGACATACCAATTTGCAGTGATTACAAACACATATATATACATTTTATACAATATATTTAAACTTCAAGGGTAAAAAATAAGAAAATACACAATGTATGCAAAAATAATTATAACACTGTCAATTTTGAGGCACATCAAATTATCCGCCATTTCGTCTGATTCTGATTGAACGAAATGTAATGGTACTTTCAGACCCTTGTGATTGCTCTTCCTACTATACATAAATGACATCTCGGAAGGCCTAAATTCCAACATCAGACTTTTTGCCGATGATTGTCTCATTTACAGAGAGATAAACAAAGCTACGGACAGCCAAAGCCTGCAACAAGACCTCCACAGACTTGAAACCTGACAAGCCAAGTGGCAAATGCGATTCAATGCCAAGAAGTGTCATGTCCTCCGCATTAGTCGTAAACGCAAGAACATCATCACTGACTACACCCTCTGTAACACCATCCTCTCTGAAGTACCCTCCCACCCATACCTAGGCTTGACCATCTGCAATGACCTCAGGTGGAATGAACAAACTGGGAATGCAGTCTCCAAAGCCACCAGAGCACTTGGAGTTGTGCGTCGCAACCTCAGAGGGTGCCCCACATCCCTCAAAGAAAAGGCCTACAAGTCCATCGTTAGGCCCCACCTTGAGTATTGTGCCTCAATCTGGGATCCCCATACCCAAAGGAACATTAATGCCCTAGAGCAAGTCCAACGTAGTGCTCTCCGTATGGTCGACAACAACCATGTTAGAGAACCAGGCACGATCACCAAGTTATATGATAAGTACCAGTGGGATAAACTTGACACTAGACGTAGCAATAGCAGACTTTCCCTCATGTACAAAATAGTAAATGACAAGGTAGAAATCACATCTTCAGATTTCTTCACCCCCCTTAGATCAAAAACCCGCCATAACAATACTCTGAACTTCACCACATACTCTTGTAACACTGACGTATTCAAATACTCCTTTGTACCAAGGACCATTGTTGAATGGAATAAGCTTGATGACACCATTGTAACCAGCCCATCAATAGAACTCTTTAAGAAAGGACTATGTAATAAGGACTAGTCCATTTTAAAGTTACATAAATTATCCCCTTCAGGGTCACCTATATATATTTTCTTGTAAAATCCAGGTGATAAATATATTATGATATGATATGTGCTTTGATAAATTCATACTCCTTTTATTTTTTTTATCTACCTCTTGACGTTGAATAACTATTGCTAAATTAGAATTAGAAAGAATCATCTTACTGAAACTGAGTTAAAGTATATGTGGTGAACTTTAAAATTATCTTAACATATCTGACACGGCCACATGCATGTAGGTTACAAGTAAACTGCTTAAAATATTCTTCGAAATAAATAAAAAATAATTCAAAGTTGGTGCAAATAACTCAATCGAACAGATTACATATGGACCTTTATATGAAAAAATTAATTTAACGACGATTTTGTTGTAAATGAAACATCAAAACTTATGTTCACGACCTTTTAGTGTCACTATATGCGAGTAGATATAAATATGTCAGTAGAAAATCTTTCCTGTGCCCTGGCTCATTTATTAGTAGTCTCTCCAAATATTTTCTGGAATGGAGGGCCAATTTCCTGGTCATAGTTAATCGTGCTATCCCTGTATTCTACTTTAGGATGTCTTGTATAAAGATATTATACAACTAAGAAAATGTTTCTCAATTGTTCTTACCTGCACATTCGCACAAAGTTTTGCCATTGGCGTCCTTTTTAAGACCAAATTCACAGAGCATCTGACATGCGGGTTCAGGATCTGAAGGAAATGCATACAGTTATTACTAATTGTTGTATTTTAAACAACATTGAGCATTTAAGACTTGCACCTCTATATTAACCCATTACTGACACAGGTAGCAAGTGTTTGTTAGGATTTGCTAAATAGGACACTGTATACGACAGTTGGTTAGTAAGACAACCCAGATGGTCGGGGCATTACCTGCGCATTCACACAAAGTTTTACCATCGGCGTCCTTTTTAAGACCAAATTCACAGAGCATCTGACATGCGGGTTCAGGAATATTTCTCTTTGACAGTTTTGGTTGAGGATCTGAAGAAAATGCATACAGTTATTACTAATTGTTGTATTTTAAACAACACTGAGCATTGAAGACTTGCACCTCTATAACACAACGCCGTTATATAAGCGTTACTGACACAGGTAACAAATATTTACAACCCAGATGGTTGAAGCATGCATTACCTGCGCATTCACACAGGATAGCAGCATTAGGATCTTCCTTAAAGCCAAATGGACAATACTTCCTACATGTGGGTTTGGGAGGTCCTTGTAATTTGGGTTGCGGGTCTGTAAGAATAATACAACCAATATTATAAAAATCTGCTTGGAATATTCAATAGACTAGATGCGAGTAAAAATAATTTCGATTTACGTCATTAAAAATTTAGTCAAACTGATGTCATATTTAGAATCTACATGTAAAATTACATCTAGAAATGTGGTTTTGAAGAGTTTATCAACTTGGAGTAATTCGTCTTTATCTGGTATATGGTTTTGCAAAACAATACTCGAATTTTGTCTAATTATATTTCATTTTAAAACTCATCCATACATACCAGATACGAATGAGAAATATTAATATTATAACTGTTGAATCCTCACCTGCGCAATCGCACAGGATGTCAGCATTAGGGTCTGGTTTAAAACCAAATGGACAATACTTCCTACATGTGGGTTTTGAAGGTTCTGTAAAATTGTAAAAACAATACATATGAACTGATCTTCTTGAAATTTTAATTTATGTATTTTTGTTATATTTACAGTTCGTCATAACGTAATTTGTTAAAATTAGGATTAAACGAATGACGGAATAAGCCTCAACTTAATATAAAATATATGAACTACCTATACGGTGTATTTTTCACATTTTTACGATAATAGTTCTTCTAGAATGACATAGTGTAGTAAAAATCTTAAATTAAAACGATTTCACCTTGAAAACAACCAGTGTTACTTGATCACTTAGATTCATTATGTTCTTACTTGCACATTCGCACAACTGGCATCCGTTATCGTCCATTTTGTTTGCGAAACCAAATGAACACGTCATCTGGCACTGATAGCATGGAAATGGCTCTGTAAAAAGAACGCACGATTATCTATATACATACTGTTCTAATCGATCCTGTATCATATGCGTTTATTTAAATTGTTCTTCGAATTTTTACTTGCGCATTTGTCTAGTTGCTTTTACAATCTGAGTTCATAAAACATGAACAATTACATAGAAGTTTGCAAAATGAGTAAGATGGTTCTAACGCTAGTCGTCGCTGTCTAAAAATCTTTTTTTGTATATATTAGTATGATATTTTTGTATGATTGCCATGATATTATAACTTATGATATGAAATGATCCATATGATGTACGATATGATATAATACTATGATATGATATTTTATGATGTAGCCTACCATCGACAGCAAGTGAGCAGGCAACCTGCAGAAGAACCAAAGCACTAATCCCTAACAACATTTTTGTGGTGTTTTAATTTCAGCTGTTATCTATAAAATAAATTATCAAAATTATAATCAATTATATTTTGGCCCAACATAGAAATATTGTCATTACATTATCTCCACAGGCACTGCAGCTATGGGAACTCAGTTGTTTGAACATAAACATGCAATTTGTATATAGAATTCGAATAGAAACGTTTCAGTTAATTGAACTTAAATCACGAGCTGGAATCGCAATTTTGGGTACAAACAGGGTAGTCGAAAAAACGATTAAAATTGAATATTTTTTACTTCAAATAAATACGTTCTACTTTGCTTTAATTTTCTTTAAAGAATACTCAATTACTCTAGTCGACAACTACTAGCTGTCGACTTCTATGAGCATGAAGCCATTTTGTGGACTTATTTGCGTACTTTTATCGTTTTTAACCACCCTCAAACATATCAAGAGCGTCCCATATGAGAAAACATCCCTTAAACAGACGTAAATGTGGCTGAGTATGAGGTAGATGATGTATAAACGAATACGTAATACACACAAATATGCCGATGCATACAAATAGTCACGGGTACCCTAAATATACGTAGATATACTCGTACACCCATATATGCGTGTATGAGAACTATATATATATATATCATGTACTAAATAATTATAAGGTACCCTGAATATACGCACATTATGTAGCATGTACATAAATACACATAGATCGGTATACCCTGAATATGGGTATATCATGTACCCTAAATATACGTACATTATGTAGTATGTACCTAGATGATCGATGTATCCTGAATATGCGCATATCATGTACCTAAATAAGGTACCCTAAATATACATATACGTACATTATGTAGTATGTACCTAGATGATCGATGTATCCTGAATATGCGCATATCATGTACCTAAATAAGGTACCCTAAATATACCTATACGTACATTATGTAGTATGTACCTAGACGATCGATGTACCCTGAATATGCGTATATCATGTACCTAAATGAAGTACCCTAAATATACCTATACGTACATTATGTAGTATGTACCTAGACGATCGATGTATCCTGAATATGCGCATATCATGTACCTAAATAAGGTACCCTAAATATACGTTTATCAAGTTCCTTAATACACGTAGATGTAATCTTATTCTACATATACCATGTACCTTAGTAGCATGTATATGAATTTACGTAGAAATTCGTCAATGCAGTTTTACTTACCTTGTCAAATGACTGAATACTTCTACGTCCAGGCAGATAGATGTGAAGAACTTCCAAATTCTCTTCCATTTTATAGTAGATTCTAATCATTATAAAGACAGAAATTAAGTCAAATTATATTGGTTAATGAAATATTTATTAATTGCAAATTAAGATCATATAAATTTATATAAACTATTTCATTAATTACTCACAAAAATCAGTCAATAACCATCAAATTGTTGTTCGTTAGTGAGGTCACCTCCAGAGCAATCTGTATTTAACCACATTATTGTTTAATTTACTATTTGAAGTCGTAAATTAATTACTTTTCCATCTAATAGCACGAAGCAAAGACATTCCAATCGGTAGTAGAAATTAAACCAATTAATTTATATATCTAGGGTATTTTTAATAGACTAGATGCGAGTAGAAATAATCTTGATTTACTTCATTAAATATTCAAAATTCAGACAAAGTGATGTCATATTTGAAATCTGCATGTAAAAGTATATCTGGAAATATGGTTTCGAAAATTGATTATCAACTTTGAAAATTTTATTTTTTTGAAAATGTGACTTCTTGTTCGGGTTGATTCCTCATAGACCCAATGTTACAAAGTCACAAAAAGTGAATTATCTTTTCTTGTATTGGACAGATAACATTTTCTTTTACTGGACATACTTTAATTTGCATAACGATTCGATACATAAGTGTTATATTAAAATTGAACTACTAAAACAGATGTAATTTAAGTTAAAGGGAACTTTCTACTATACCCGCCATGCTATCTGACCCGAGCGAGCCACCTGGTGGTGAAACTGTTAACTACCTACTCGCATTTGCGTTATTGTGTAATATCTGTTCTCATATTTGAAAACGTCGATGCCAGAGAGTTTCTCACACAGAGAAAAATAAAATGTCCATCACAGACAATTTTTCACTTAAGAGTTGTTCACTCAAGAAAAGTGTTTACTATAAAGATGTATTGCACAACAGAGATTTGTTGACTATAGAAAGACTTTACACTGCATAGTTTTGTTCACTTTAGAAAGACATTGCACTTCAGAGAGTTGGTCACTTTAGAAAGACATAACAATACAAATAGTTGTTCACTTTAGAAAAACATTACACTGGATAGAATTGTTCTTACAATACAGAGAGTTGTTCACATTAGAAAGACATTACACTACAGAGAGTTGTTCACTCTAGAAAGACATTACAATACAAAGAGTTGATCACTTTAGAAAGAAATTACACTGCATAGAGTTGTTCACTTTAGAAAGACATTACACTACAGAGAGTTATTCACTTTAGAAAGACATTACAATACAGAGAGTTGTTCACTTTAGAAAGACATTACAATACAAAGAGTTGTTCACTTTAGAAAGGCATTACAATACAGAGAGTTGTTCACTTTAGAAAGACATTACACTGCATAGAGTTGTTTACTCTCTTACAGAGAGCTGTTCACTATAAAGAGCTGTTCACTATTACAAAGACGTACACAGATGGTTGATCACTATAAAGAGACATTACACTACAGAGAGCTGTTCACTATAAAGAGCTGTTCACTATTACAAAGACGTACACAGATGGTTGATCACTATAGAGAGACATTACACTACAGAGAGCTGTTCACTTTAAAGAGCTGTTCACTATTACAAAGACGTACACAGATGGTTGATCACTATAGAGACATTACACTACAGAGAGCTGTTCACTATAAAGAGCTGTTCACTTTTACAAAGACGTACACAGATGGTTGATCACTATAAAGAGACATTACACTACAGCGAGCTGTTCACTTTAAAGAGCTGTTCACTATTACAAAGACGTACACAGATGGTTGATCACTATAAAGAGACATTACACTACAGAGAGCTGTTCACTTTAAAGAGCTGTTCACTATTACAAAGACGTACACAGATGGTTGATCACTATAGAGACATTACACTACAGAGAGCTGTTCACTATAAAGAGCTGTTCACTTTTACAAAGACGTACACAGATGGTTGATCACTATAAAGAGACATTACACTACAGAGAGCTGTTCACTATAAAGAGCTGTTCACTATTACAAAGACGTACACAGATGGTTGATCACTATAGAGAGACGTTACACTACAGAGAGCTGTTCACTATAAAGAGCTGTTCACTATTACAAAGACGTACACAGATGGTTGATCACTATAAAGAGGCATTACACTACAGAGAGCTGTTCACTTTAAAGAGCTGTTCACTATTACAAAGACGTACACAGATGGTTGATCACTATAAAGAGACATTACACTACAGAGAGCTGTTCACTATAAAGAGCTGTTCACTATTACAAAGACGTACACAGATGGTTGATCACTATAAAGAGGCATTACACTACAGAGAGCTGTTCACTTTAAAGAGCTGTTCACTATTACAAAGACGTACACAGATGGTTGATCACTATAAAGAGACATTACAATACAGAGAGCTGTTCACTATAAAGAGCTGTTCACTATTACAAAGACGTACACAGATGGTTGATCACTATAGAGAGACGTTACACTACAGAGAGCTGTTCACTATAAAGAGCTGTTCACTATTACAAAGACGTACACAGATGGTTGATCACTATAAAGAGGCATTACACTACAGAGAGCTGTTCACTTTAAAGAGCTGTTCACTATTACAAAGACGTACACAGATGGTTGATTACTATAAAGAGACATTACACTACAGAGAGCTGTTCACTATAAAGAGCTGTTCACTATTACAAAGACGTACACAGATGGTTGATCACTATAGAGAGACATTACACTACAGAGAGCTGTTCACTATAAAGAGCTGTTCACTATTACAAAGACGTACACAGAGAGTTGATCACTATAAAGAGGCATTACACTACAGAGAGCTGTTCACTATAAAGAGCTGTTCACTATAAAGAGCTGTTCACTATAAAAAGACGTACACAGAGAGTTGATCACTATAGAGAGACGTTACACTACAGAGCTGTTCACTATAAAAAGACGTACACAGAGAGTTGATCACTATAGAGAGATGTTACACTACAGAGCTGTTCACTATAAAGAGACATTACACTACAGAGAGCTGATCACTATAGAGAGATGTTACACTACAGAGAATTGTTAGTAGCTCACTTTAAAGTTGTAACTATTGAGAGGTGTCCTCTAAAGAGAGATGATCATTACAAAGTGGTGTTAACTACAGAGAAGTATCACTGCAGAACTGTGTTCTCTAAAAACTGTGTTCAATGCAAAAAAAATCTGTATAGATAATGCAAGATGTTAACAACAGAAAAGTGCTCAGCAGAAAATGTTGTAAACTAAGATTGGTTCAACTGCGCCTCCTAGACAACCACTTATTCCTAGCATCAATCTTAACATATCATTCATTAGAAATATTACTTTCACTATTTGATTTGGCTTATCAACGCCTTTTGTTCTAAGTTTATATTCAAGAGTTTGACATATCATATTGCTGTAATTTGTCATTTTGTTCAACTTAGACTGATAGACAAATCAATAATAACAATACAAGTAGATATTCATGACAAACACTTATCTGGATCTATGAAGGGTAGGGCGCTGTGAGGGTTAAAAACAGGCCTTTGAATTTGTAAAAGGAAAATGTAAAATTATTTTTGGTTTAAATTACAACACATACAATTATCACACATACAGTACATCAGTTATACAACTAGAAAAACAGCAACTCCACGGAGTAGCAAATCCCACCGAACAAAACATATTATGCTTATTATAGCTAGTGTAAATGTTGAAATGTTTGTGTACTTTGTGATAGAAGCATGAATTTGGCACAAAGTTAGTTTATACCATTGTGAACTAGGCATCATCATATAAAATTTGAACCAAATCCGTTCACTGGTATATGAGTTATCAAAGATTACGTTTTTTAAGAATACGGGCCGCCATCTTGAAATTCAGCCGCCATCTTGAAAATTATTTCTTGAACAGAGCTACTGTGTCCCTAGGCATAATCATATAAAATTTCAACCAAATCTGTTCACTGGCATTTGAGTTATCAAAGATAACGTTTTTTATGAAAAATTGCTGCCATTTTGAAATTAAGCGGTCATCTTGAAAATGTTTTGTCCAATATGGCTACTGTGTCCCTAAGCATCATCATATAAAATTTGAACCAAATCCGTTCACTGGTATATGAGTTATCAAAGATTACATATTTTTACGAAAATGGCCGCCATTTTGAAATTAAGCGGCCATCTTGAAAAGCTCTTTTTGTGCGAAACTCCTTTGTCCCTAGGCATCAGCATGTAAAATTTGATCCAAATCCGTTCACTGGTATATGAGTTATCAACGATTACGTTTTTTACGAATATGGGTCGCCATCTTGAAAATAATTTTTTGAACAGAGCTACTGTGTCCCTAGGCATAATCATATAAAATTTCAACCAAATCCGTTCACTGGTATTTGAGTTATCAAAGATTACGTTTTTTTACGAAAAATTGCCGCCATTTTGAAATTAAGCGGCCATCTTGAAAATGTTTTGTTGAACATAGCTACTGTGTCCCTAAGCATCATCGTATAAAATTTGAACCAAATCCATTTACTGGTATTTGAGTTATCAAAGATTACATATTTTTACGAAAAATTGCCGCCATTTTGAAATTAAGCGGCCATCTTGAAAATGTTTTGTCAAACATAGCTACTGTGTCCCTAAGCATCATCATATAAAATTTGAACCAAATTCGTTCACTGGTATTTGAGTTATCAAAGATTACATTTGTTTCCGAAAAATGGCCGCCATTTTATAATTAAGCGGCCATCTTGAAAATATCTTTTTGTGCGAAACTCCTTTGTCCCTAGGCATCAGCATATAAAATTTGAACCAAATCCGCAAACTAGTATTTGAGTTATTAAAGATTACATTTTTTATGAAAAATGGCGGCCATTTTGAATTCAGTGGCCATATTGAAAATTCCTTCTCGAGCAGAGGTCCTACACCCATAAGGCATAAGCCTATAAAATTTGAATCAAATCCGTGAAATGGTATTTGAGTTATCGCCCGGACAAACAGACGGACGGACGGACGGACGAACGGATGGACGGACAGACGGACGGACGGACGGCTTTCCTATATCCCTCTCGAACTTCGTTCGGTGGGATAATAAAACATTGATTAGAACAAATCATTGATTGAACAGTATATAGTCAGTCTGAGTAGCAATGTGAAAGAGGAGGGGGCATTGTTGTTGGGGGGGGGGGGGGTAACATGATAAAGAAAGGTTGAAAAGTTCAGGCAGTGGTGGTACATGTACATACACAATGAAGATCTATGATGTAATTCTTGCACTGATCAATTGTAAGAACAAGTGCTAATTGCCATTTCAACATGAAAATTCTATAACAATGTTAAATAAATGATGGAAACTCCACTTAATATTTATATTCTCCATATATTTGGCACAGTGAACCCTAGTAGATACCAAGTCAGGAGCTGAAGTGGGTCACATGACCAGATTTAGATTAGTCCTAGGAGACTATTGTGTATACAAACTCCAATGCCATTACATTCTGGCTACTAGACTTAACCAATTAGGAACTTCAATGTGTGTCAACTGGATATTACGAATTTGTCAAAAGATCACAAATTGATTTAAATTGGAAATTTGGCACTCTTAAATACATAAAGCAAAACTAATATTTCAAGGTAATTCCAGTTCACTCTTGGTATTGGATTTATGAGCTACTAGATATGGTAGAACTTTCTCGCTTGTAACATCTAACATGGACTTAACAAATATACAAAGATCTGTTAAGTAAAGGTGAGTTTTGTCTACAAACAAATATATTTATTTGCAATAAGTTTTGAGGATTTCTTTTGCAACCTGGTATATTGAATGATTTATAATTTGCTATTGTTGAAATAAATACATTTGTTTGTTATACATGGCTATAGATTAATTTGTATAAAAAAATTATAAAAGGTGAAACAGACCTATGTCGAGTGACAAAATTGCAAGCCAAACCATATAAATAGTTCTCAACATATGTGTCCTTTTAAAGCAGTTACCGTCTAAAATATAAGATCTCAAAATAAATCCATGATATACCATCAAATGCTAAAGCTAGGAAAGAGTGTCTAGATTCAGAAATATTATGAATTCAACAATAAGGAGCTTGCAGTACAAGTTCAATTGTACATTGCTTCTCCATAGCAATAAGGGCAGTTTAATAATGTCCATGTTTTAGGCCAAAAAACTTTGAGATCTTAGTATTTCCTCAAATAAACTATGAAGGTTTGGTATAAATAGGATTGAAATAATTGATATATGGGATAAAAAGATATTGAGGTGAGTTTGAGTATGACAACATATGGAAAATGTTTCAAAATGATTGTATTTTACTAATATGTTACATATTAACATAGAATTGTATTCTGTTTATGATGTAATTTCACTGTATAGTGAACAAACATTTGATACTTAATTTGATTCTTATTGAATTGTAGCAAGAACTATAATATTTCATGATAGATTCGGACATCAGAAAAATGTTTAAATCATCAAAAATAGTTTCAGTTTAGCCATCCACATGGCAACTTAAATCACCAAATTACATATTAATTAAATAAATGTTTTTACATATCATGTTACCAACACTTTAAATGTGAGCTCTTTGGCCTGTAGAAAATGGACATCATTTCAGACAAGTTTTACTGTATATGTAGTTAATAAAATGATCTTTATCTTTGATTACATGTCTCCCACAATTCAAGAGTGTACAGGGTATAATAAAGTTCAAGATTACATTTAACAATTGAACAATACTACAATTTCTAATATAGATTAAGATGGAAGTAATCCAGCATAAAATCCAAAGCTAAACTTGTCCCTTGTATCAATATTGATAGAAATTTCTATGAGACACAATATGTTATATGCCAATGCTATAAACATTATAAGACATAATCTATTTTTATAAAATATTTCTTTTTCAGGGATTTGACACAAATGAGGTATATTGAATTCATTCAGAACACACAAGCCGGTTAGTTACCAAACACTTGACCAGCAAGCGTCAACGTTACTAGGTTAAAAAAATAAACAGATAGTTAAATTCAATGGAAATGGAGTAACACAGTATCTACATGGAATTATAAATAAATATGGGAACAGAGCATATTTGAAGTATTTGGTACATAGTGACTGATTCAAGGAATTTTCCAGGAGACACAGACATCAATGCAATTTTCTGACGAACTGAAAAACTTTGGAAAACTATCCATCATAATACTAACAGTGACAGGACAGTGACATTCAGTGCCTCCTTGGAGTTAATTCAACATACAAAGTGCAATTTTTTCTGAATACTGAATCACACTGACAATACACTATACATTCATTGCCATAACAACAAACAATGCCACAAGGTTTAAACCTAGCAGCTACTGTGGTGACAGGCCACCCAATGACTGTTAAAAGTTCCCCTATACGTCACCAACCATGGGCCTTCTATGCTCCAGCCAAGATCATCAAGCCTAACTCTAGACAGAGCAGCAGACCTCCTCGACCTGACAACCCAAAACACGAGCCGAAAAAAATAAAAATATCATATATGGACATGAGTAATCTAATTGATAGACTAAGTCGACCAACTGTTGCGAGTTCTCATAGGTACGCTCATCCGAAGAAAATGGCAGACAATTGCTATATGCAGAAGGACCAGTACATGTGGCACAGGATGGACATTCATAAGGATCATTATAAATACCTATGGGGTGGCAATGGGAATGTGAAAACAACAGTGGCTAAATAGGGTGGCATTCTCCATCGCATAGTCCACATGTTAGCCTGTAAGGGATAAAGAGTTATGAAGGTATTTAGGCTTGGAGAATGTAAATACAGGCTATTGAACAGCCTAAAAAACATGGTGATTAAGGTAAAATATGTTACAGGTTCAAATTGGAGCATTTTAAATGCTGTTTGGGTTGGCCTAGACAGTGCGAATCTACAATCATTTACAATTACAATATTATGATAAATTATAATCTCATCGTTTTTTACTTAAAGAGACTTGTAAAATATTTAAATTGCTTTCATTCACCAGAGGATTTTTTTAAAGATCTAGAAGGCAGTACTTCAAAGTGGAAAAATCAAATCAAAATATGTTTTGTTTTGTAAGCTGCAATAAATTTTATTATCAACAGTATTATTTTTATCTTATTTGACCATGTTGCATATACAGTGTGTATTCAAAGTAAACAACATTTAGTGTGTGTTCATTGTGAAAATTGGAACAACATTTATCATAAATAAAAAGCACTATAGAATTGTCTTTGACATAAGAATAGCAATAAAGGAAGCCCAAGTGTCCATCGTGGATATTTCTCAATTTCTAGAAATATTTCTTAATTCCACATACCATTTGAGCTTCCTTTATTCAAGAAATTTTGTTCACAAATGTACAGTGCATATTTCCTATGCAAAATTGCAATTTATGTAAAATAACTAGTACTTCCCTGATAAATACAATATAATTGTGTACTACTTTAAAACAGTAGGGGCAAGAAATAATATTGCAATTTTGTTCATCATTTCTCAAAAGCCATCTTAATTTGAAATATTATGAATGGTTTATACAATATTGCTCAAATTCCTGTGATTTTGCATTGCACTCTGCAAATTCAAGCATTTTCACTTCTAAAACATGATAACTTCTCAAAGTCAATGAATAAATAGATAACATTACTTTACATGGAATTCATGTTGTTGTCAAACTGTAACTAGATAACGGCAACTCCGCCGAGTAGCAAATCCCAACGAACAAAATATCAATTACCGAATTCCAATCAATTATACTCATTACTTTGGTTGAAAATGAAAAAATTAGATTTTAGAATTGCGAATTCCTGCAAAGCAGCCATTTTGAATTTTCTGAGGTACAAATCTGAAAAATAATACCATAATTGTGATCTACTCCAAAATTCCTTCAATTTGAGTATAATATAGCCATACTTTGAAGGGATCGAAAAATTATTGCGAAATCGTACATTAGACGGCCATTTTGAATTTTACGAGGCTCCAATCAGAAAAAAATACAATATTTGCAATCTACTCTTAATTGCCTTTCATTTGAGTATAATAAAGCTATACTTCAGAAAGATCTAAAAATTAGCGAAAATTTCTGTTTTCCTGTCCCCCCATACATGGCCCCTGGGGGTCAGGATGAAAAACACGGAATATATGTGAAATAGATAAATGTTGTGAATACACTACCAAAATTTCAAACAATAATATTAATTACTTTGGTTTAGAATGAAAAATTTATGATTTTTGCGAAAAAGTCCCGTCATTTTTAAAGCGGCGGCCATCTTGAAAAAAATCTGTCAACTAGTATTTGAGTTATCTTCCGGACAGACGGACGGACTGACTGACTGACTGACTGACTGACTGACGGACTGACAGACTGACGGACTGACGGACGGACGGACGGAGGGCTTCACTATATCCCTAACGAACTTCGTTCGTTGGGATAATAACCAGCAAAGGATCACATTAAAACATCAACAGACAGGAAACAATGAAGTTATTTCAGCCCTTTCTACTGAAAAGGATAAAATCATCAATATCCCAAGCTATTTGATATGAAATAAAAAAATCTATGTAACCAACAAAATAAAAATTGGCTAATTGTCTTATACCAAATTCGAACCCAGATAATCTTGAAGTTGGTGGCGAATATTGTATGTTGCTGTTTTGCTGTGATCCGTAAACCTGTTTTTTCATAGTCCTCAAGTTCTTATGAATACTCCCTACACCAACCCCTAATGGCCTAGTCACATAGCCCGGCCGATGAGGTTACGATGAGCCAGCGATGCAATTTTCACCGAACTCGGCCGAACACCGGCCGGACACTGGCCGGACATCCGTGGCGTTTGTTACTTAAAACCGCATCGGTGGTAGCTCGGTGAAATTTTAACTTCGGAGTTAAATTTCACCGGGCTCTCACCGAGCTCCCTCATCATGTCATCGCAGCCCCATCGTAACCACATCGGAAAACACGTCGGCCGGTGCACGGCCGAGTATCGGCCGGTGTCCCGTGCACCAGAGGACGAGGTTTTTTAACGGACAGCGGCCGAGCTCCGACCGAGCTCCGGCCGATGTGGGACAGAGCATCGGCCGGTCACTGTTCAAAGACCGTTAACAACCCGGCCGGCGATCGCACGGTGTCCTGTTACCTGCTCGGGTACCGGCCGTATTCCTTCCGATGTCCGGCCGACCTCCGGCCGGTAGTTGCTGCCACATCGGCAGAAAAAAACTACCATTTTGAGACAGACTCCGTACGGTCACCGGCCGGTGTTCGGTCGGTCGCCTGAAGATGTCCGGACGGAGTCCGTTCACGTCACCGAGCTCTGCTTCCGATGAGGAGAGCTCGGTGGCACCAAAAAAATCCACCGAGCTCTACCGATGCCGGACATCGGCCGGGCTATGTGACTAGGCCATTAGAGGAGTTTATGGGTAAACCGTTATATGCTATGAAATTACACACAAGTGAGGCAAGCTTCAGATGCCTGCTAAACAAGATGACTTAAGAAACCACAGATTCAATGTAATGACCTAAAACTATCTTAGTTATATGTAAGTACATAAAGGTGTATTATACATAATAGGTGTATAAATGTAATACAATAAATTAATAATTAAATAGAAATATGATTTGCATTTGGTGAGTAAATAGTTGATTGTACTAAAACAAAATGATAATGTACAATTGCACTGAAGTTGTTAATACATTTCACGTTATATTATATAGGAATACATTGCTCATTCTAGGTAAGTCTTTGGTATTTAGTACAAAGGTCATGCGATGAATTCATCACAATTCAAACAATTTGGCAATTTAGTAAAATGTCAAAAAATCAAAGAGTTTTTGCAGATATGACTTCATATTAGTAGTCATCTCAAAAGATTTGTGCTAACATTTACATTTTCTCAATTTCATCAGCTTCTAGACTATCAACATGTACATATAAAGTCAAGACTTCAGAAGTGCAAATGTTATGCGAATAAAGTGATACAATTAAAATGATTTGAGAATAGATAACAAAACTCCCATTAAATGAAATCAATAGTTTGAAACATAAGGGACTACACTTTAGGGACAGCCTAATATTTTTTGATGAAGCATATCCTCAAATCTCAATGACTTTTGGGCATTACACAATTGACAACCACATGACAAGAGGGTCACTTGTACAACAGCCAAGTACAAATGTTCACACTTAATGTGTTACCTACTTGTACTTAAAGTCAACAATGAAACATTATGAGCCTATCAGGCAATCTCCCTGTTTCGTCTCATAGCACCCTTTATACTGAGCTAACACATGATTTAATATCACATGTGAGCAAAATTATGATTGCACATCTCATGAACTTGTAATTATGTACATAATCTCTGTGGAATGAACAAATTACAACAAAACCTGTACAGTGAACACTTCTGGTACTTAATAAACCTATCTGTTGTGTGAATGTTCACTGCTTAAGAGATTTACTGTATAGAAGAACCCAATGGAGATAACAGCCACTGAAAAACCAACCATGTCATTTTTTCTTTTTTAAGATTGAAGTTATTGAAAGGTAAAATTAGCTCCTGAATACCCTGCATTCTACCCTCCAGGTTTCATCTATACAGTATATCATTTTCATTAAAGGTTTTGAAAATCTAGGTATGTGAGAGATATATGTTCACTAAGATAGATTTTGCTGTACATAAAAAATTGTCAATAGGGAATAATTTTGCCTTTTCATTAGAATGCACTGTTGTTTATGTGTGTTCTACAACCTCTATCCTCATACCATGTATGTTATGACTTCTATTTTAGTAATTAATTGCCCCATTTCATAATTTGTATGACTCTAATCACTTTCAACCTCAACAAGTTCAGCACTAGATCCACTGTTGTCCCCATTCTCATACATAAAGTCTCCCTCTTTATTTATTAGAATTGAGTCCTCTCCAAGTACAGAACACAATTCCTTGAGACGGGACTGCATCTTTGGGATACCACTAAGCTGAGACTCCAAGCGAAGTTTCTCATCGTTTAATGATATTCTTGTGTTAGTGTCTAGCTCTTCCATTCTCCAGCCACCCTCCCCATCGAATTGCAATAGATGGGAATGGAATTTCCTGAAAAGAATATATAATAGTTACTTTTGAAGATCAAAATGAAAATATAACCAGTTGTCTATTTGGCACCTTCTTGAGAGAGTTAAGGATTTAAGTATGCATAAAATGGCATAAACAAAGGCACCAATTCTTTAGAAAATACAAAAGCAAATTGTTACCATAGAGATGGCCTGTGTGTGATTGTCAGCAGTGTGATCCCTTTGTCTTTAGCAGTCTGGTAGATCTTGCTCTCTACATCAATAGATACAGCACTGGTGCACTCATCCAACAGAGCATACTTAGGCCTAAAGTAATCAAGTGATTAATATTACAAATTGATTCTACATCAATAGACACAGCACTGGTGCACTCATCCAACAGAGCATATTTAGGCCTGAAGCAATCAAGTGATTAATATTACAAATTGATTCTACATCAATAGACACAGCACTGGCACACTCATCCAACAGAGCATATTTAGGCCTGAAGCAATCAAGTGATTAATATTACAAATTGATTCTACATCAATAGACACAGCACTGGTGCACTCATCCAACAGAGCATATTTAGGCCTGAAGCAATCAAGTGATTAATATTACAAATTGATTCTACATCAATAGACACAGCACTGGTGCACTCATCCAACAGAGCATATTTAGGCCTGAAGCAATCAAGTGATTAATATTACAAATTGATTCTACATCAATAGACACAGCACTGGTGCACTCATCCAACAGAGCATATTTAGGCCTGAAGCAATCAATTGATTAATATTACAAATTGATTCTACATCAATAGACACAGCACTGGCACACTCATCCAACAGAGCATATTTAGGCCTGAAGCAATCAAGTGATTAATATTACAAATTGATTCTACATCAATAGACACAGCACTGGTACACTCATCCAACAGAGCATACTTAGGCTTGAAGCAATCCAGTGATTAATATTACAAATTGATTCTACATCAATAGACACAGCACTGGTGCACTCATCCAACAGAGCATACTTAGGCCTGAAGCAATCAAGTGATTAATATTACAAATTGATTCTACATCAATAGACACAGCACTGGTACACTCATCCAACAGAGCATACTTAGGCCTGAAGCAATCCAGTGATTAATATTACAAATTGATTCTACAGACACAGCACTGGTACACTCATCCAACAGAGCATATTTAGGCCTGAAGCAATCAAGGGGATTAATTTTACAAATTGATTCTACATCAATAGACACAGCACTGGTGCACTCATCCAACAGAGCATATTTAGGCCTGAAGCAATCAAGGGGATTAATATTACAAATTGATTCTACATCAATAGACACAGCACTGGTGCACTCATCCAACAGAGCATACTTAGGCCTCAAGCAATAAAGTGATTAATATTACAAATTGATTCTACATCAATAGACACAGCACTGGTGCACTCATCCAACAGAGCATATTTAGGACTGAAGCAATCAAGTGATTAATATTACAAATTGATTCTACATCAATAGACACAGCACTGGTACACTCATCCAACAGAGCATACTTAGGCCTGAAGCAATCAAGTGATTAATATTACAAATTGATTCTACATCAATAGACACAGCACTGGTGCACTCATCCAACAGAGCATACTTAGGCCTGAAGCAATCAAGTGATTAATTTTTAACATGTTTCTAATTCTATTATTTAGATTTCAATTTGCATGAGTACTCATTCTTATTACCAATTGTTAATTATTGTTTCTTAATTTTAAACTTATTTCTAATCTTATAATATCCTTTTAGAATATGGTTGGCTTTGTTATTTTTTATAATTTTCTATTAAAATGAGAAAATACTGTCTCACATGTGATAGAATATCCTAGCCATTCCCATTCTCTGCTTCTCTCCTCCACTTAGAACATCTTTCCAGTCACTCACTGCGTCCCACCCTATAACAACATATAATAATATTATGTTAACATTGTAGCCCAACCTATAACATAAAATAACTTACAGTAACACATCATTTATACAAAACCATGATGCCCATAGCCAAGATTCATAATGTGTCTAATTCAGGTCTACATTATTTAAAATATTTAAGATACAGGTATATGATACAGTAGTCAGCCAGGTTTCACTGCATTCTGTAAATTGCTTATTCCTTCCTATTCACATTCAGTAACTCAACAAGATTTTATCACATTTTACTCAGTACATCATCTTTAATTTGATTATACAGTGGGACACAAAAATGGTTACATTTAACATATAACATATAACAATCCTCATGCAGTTTCATACTAGTGTTTGATTATTTGGTTGTAAATGTTCAGGATTCAAATCTTTAATTCAAATGACTTCCTGGAGTGAGGATACACAACACGTTAAGTCACATACTAGTATGTGGAAATAATTGGGTAACATTACTTTACTATTGTATTTTATATCTGAGGTGTGAAAAGACAAGAGTGAGGAGGTACCCTGCGTGCAGAGTCTAGTTAAAGCTCTCTTTTAAGAAGTGAAGTCAAACGAATGCAAAGGGTAGTGAGGAGGTGAAAGGTTAACATTTTCAGATTGTGCATTTTTAATTAATTTAAGGGTCCCAAGTCTTGTTAAATGGTTTATTTGATAAGGTTCATAATTTAGTTGCGATTCATTTATAGATTAAAGGTTCTAACTAATCACATCAAAAGCATATTGTTTTTATAAAATTAATGATCACGAGAAATAAATCAATTTAACCAAGCAAATAATAATTAATGAGTATGCATTAAAAATCTTCAAAGGTTCCTTTCATGATTTTTGAAAAAAATAAACCGTTCAAAACTAGACAATGATAACTCCATGGGTAAGCAAACCCCAACAAAGCACATTAATCAGTACTGCAGTATTGACTATTTCTACAAGTTTGAATATTCACTCCCACAAACTGCACATACGTGAAAGATGATATTACAACTGTCAGGTTCAATTGTATGGCAACTATAAGAACCAATAATGATGTCCGATAAGGTGCCCGATTTCTAACTGCAAACCTTTTATTCTTTATGACTGGGCAAATGAGGTTTGACAATAGTTTGGGATGCATTAGTGATCTCCATATGTGGGTAACTATTAGGTACAAGACACCAAGATTATATTCCTCCATAACAAATAAATTGATGAGGTGTAAAAGGAAATTATATTCCTCCATAAGAAATAAATTGATGAGGTGAAAAAAGGAAATATCTTAGATTTATTTCAAGCTTTATGTATCAGAAATGGGACAAAACTCTGTTTTAATATACCTTCAATGTATATTCATAAAGTCATATAAGATGTCTCTCACCCAAGTGAACCAACTCAACTAAAATATGTTGTGGGACTATACTGAGTAATAGCCTACATGAAATGAGGATGTACCTTTATTCTACTCATGAGGTGGCATACTATACTTAAATAGTGATAAACTTTCTGAGATTAAACTCAAGCGTGATACAACATTTTGGAAGCAGAAATACGACAATGAACATGTACAAATCAAATCCAATGATCAATTTAACATGCCTTTAATATAACATTATACTCAACTTACCAACTACACACATGACAGATGAATAAAAATAATATTACTGTATCATTATTCATTTTTGTATACAGATAAAACATCTAATAAATTACATACATTTATCATTTTTATTAAAACTTTATAATTTCTGTCAAAATCGATCATGACAGGATTTTTAATTGACCTTTACAATAATGCACATAATTCACATTTTTCATTGTAATTAAAAATACAGAACATTTTGCGCATTATAGTTTTCATCATCAAGTGTTATACAATTGTTGGATTTAAACTAGCGCGGTAAGACGTCTTAGCTAAACGTTTTAGCGTTAAAACATTTTACAAATGTAATGTAAATCCAGATTTACTCAAGAGCTCTCGGCTAAGAGCGCTTAGCTAAAACGTTTTAGGACCCTAGTCATAGCCAAGACGTCTTAGCGTTAAAACGTTTTACAAGCGAGTGTAAATCCATCGGTTTAAGCTAAGAGCTCTTAGCCTGTTTTTTGCGTTGCACTGAACGAAACATTTGAAACTTTCCATTTACATATGTCGCATGGTCCTTTATTTTGTCTTATCCCTTGTTCCCAATATCATCCCAAAATTATTGAGAACTTATTTGCCTGGCGATTTATCATAATCCTATTTATGCATAACATCTTAGTGCTCTCTTTCATGCTTTTTACAATGCTGTCTTTAGGACATATTTTTCTGAAACCGATGCATTCTTTAGTACAAAATCGGGTACAAAGTATAGAAGCGGGAAAGGAATAGCTATATTGACTGAACCATCATTCAACCAGTACTGAACTGCTTTTTTCATTTTACATGTATACCTACATATCTCTAAGACGTTTTAGGAAAACAGGTGTAAACTCGATCTTATTTCCTAAGACCTCTTGAAAATGGTAATGTAAACTCAACTTAATTTTTCTAAAACGGTTTAGCCAAAACGTCTTGCTGCGCATAGTGTAAATTGGGCTAATATAATGTACATATACAATCATGTAACTTAAATGTGGGGCTGATGGGAATGGATGACCTTTAGATGCAAGTACTAAGTGTAGATTTACATGTAAAAGGTCAATAGCTTATGTAGATTGCTCACTGTACTAAACCCAAAGAAATCCTCTTACAACAGTGATATATGTGTACTTTAGGTAGGGAATTATGGGTACATACCTCCCTCTCTATTGACAATATGCTGGAGGTGCACTATTCCCAGGATAGTCTCAAGGTCCCTGTCTGTGAAACCTTTAGACTGCATGTTCTCTTGGCTGTCTGGGTAGATCACTTGGTCCCTCAGTGAGCCAATTGACATGTAGGGCCTGAAATAACTCTGAATTACTATGTTGTCACAAGGTACACATGGCATAAACCAGGTGCCATGCACTGGCTGTTTATCAAATGCCCCAACTAGTTATTTATCCTTATAATAGAGCTTGAAAATAAAAAATTGTATTGTATTCTTAATTCCATATTTTTTATTTATCAGTTAGTTATATTCCTGTATTTAATTTATGACACATTTAAACTAAACTTTACCAATAATTGCCAATATAACCTCAAAACAAAACAGTGTTAATGACTTGGGTTGAAAACATGATAGTCACAATGATCAGACCACTGCTCAATTAGGCAATATATGATATGAAGCAGAATGACTATACAACTTTTACCTTTGAGGTATATAGAACATGGATCCTGGTGTAGGCTTGTATAGCTTGCCACTGTAAACAGGCCAGAGACCACTTAGTATACGGAACAGTGAGCTCTTGCCACAACCATTGGGTCCACTGATCAACAGATGCATGCCTGGCTTCATCTGAAATAATATTATGTCATACATAATAATACATATACACCCAAAGCAACCTTTTGTTTAAATATATGATTAACAGTTTTCCAATCTCAAAACAATTTCTCTCATTTTATTTATCATAAACTAAACATGAATTAACATGAAAAATGTCACCACTTGCCATTTGTTACAGTTGTTGAACACCAAGCGCCAACTGCTGAACATTAACTGCTGAACACAATCCGCAAAAAAGTTGGAGACATAACAATATGTCACCACCACAAGTGACAATGACAATGTTTAAGATTGAGTTCTGAATAATCAAAATCAGAATGCTCAAAAATGGTACAAAATGAGCAAAAAGTGAAGGATTAACAATGGAGAGGACTAAAAACTCATAATTACAGTAATCAATCAACCAGTATTTAAATTTACATTAAAGATTTAAAAATGTTTCTATCTTAACCATACCTGGAAGGACAATGATGCTACTACAATATCTCCATTAGGAGTGACAATAGGCATGTGGTCTACTATTATGCCAGTATCTGTGTCATGAACCTCCCCTGTAAGAGTAATGGCATATAATAAAAGCATTTATTTTAAATACTGCATGTAATAGTCATTTTATCTCTTCCATCACAAGAGTTCCTTTTAAAAAAGAATTCTAAAACCTTTGTTTCTGCTGGTCTGAGGCTTGCCCTTCTCTAAGGTCATGAGTGAAATACACATAGAAAATGGTCATTAGAATTTAAGCCAAACCATCAGAGAGTTAAACTATTAGACTACAGTGTAATTAAGAGTCATAATGGATTTCAATGTATACATGTGGTCAGCATGGACATTCACTTTAGCTATAGTCCTTCATCGTTATATTATATGCCTGATTCAACATTTCATAAAAGCGTTTGCAATTAAAACAAGAAGAATGCAAGTTTATTGAGGTTTTGGGGGTTTGACCATCATGCATACACCAAAGGCAAATGTATATTAATCAAAGTCAGCTAACTGTGTAATGATCAATGACTCTCCCAGCTATATGGGTAGGATAAAATTATTAATAGCTGTATTAATAAGGGGGGCCATGGGGGGCTTTTTTATCTGTTTGTACATGTTAAGGCAGCGCTATATAATACATAAATCAGCAAGTTTGCTCATACCAAACCCTACAAAAATATACCTAGTATACTGAGGGGTCCATCAACTTTAGCATGTGCTGCTTTAGTTCCTTTGATGGCTTGTACATAGTTCCTCTTGTAAACTCCATTCTTCATGTCATCAAACACTTCAAACATCTCAGATACTCTGGATGTGTAGCCTGCAAGCTCTGTTACCTACAATAAAGTAAAACCTGTCTTAGTGAACACCTTTCTTGTGAACACCCCCTAGCGAACATCTGCCTCTAGGGGACACCCTTCCTCCACACTTACTCTACTGGATTCTGTATAAATTACCCTCTCTGGAGTGAACACCTATTAGCACTAAACACTTTTTCTCAGCAGAATATGTTCGATATACACAGGTTTTACACTGTACATTCATGTAATGCCATCCAAAACATTGAGAATTGTTTACTTTAAAGGATGATTTGTTAATTAGGCACCTAGAAAATGTAGTATTTTATCAGGTGTTTCACAAGATGGGAACAAGCATTAATTCTCTGGTTGTTTAGACTGCCTGTTGTCTTGGGATTTATTGCAACTGTTTCAATGTAAATATTATCATTTCCAATAGCTTTGCTTGCTGTTTTCATTTCTTTGCCTGTTGTCCAAAATTCTACTTCATTATCAAAAGTATACAAGTTTTCCAAAATGTACCTCTTTGTATGAGGACATCATCCTCTCTATGGCATCAGCTGAGTTGAGCAATAAGTTCTTGGCTGTGGTAAATGCTTGCGTCCTCTCTGACACACCACCGTCTGGGTCATCATCTGCACTTGTCCCTGGATCAAAGTTCATTGGCGTTGATTTATCAGAAGGGCAACATATAAAGGCAACATTGGATATGGTAATACATCCATACACAAATCAATACAAGACACATGGTGAATAATATTACACCCTTAAATGAATATCATGTTATGCTTAACTTAACTTAATTAGCCATATGATTATGACAAATCTTAATACTGTGCATATTTTGATCATGCGGCATTATATTTACAAATACTAGTAAAATTTCAAGACAGAAATCCTCTCAAATGCAATAAAATTTGATAACTTGATGCCTGCCCTACCATCTAGTTTATGGCCATTGGTCATTATGATAGGCACAGCTACCATGACTAATCCACTTGTACTCCAGACATATTTCATCAAGAACTGTTCAAGCATGATATACCAGAGACGTTTCTTGTAAATCAGGTTCATTTGACTCGCCAGTGCCTTGTAGCTCTTCTTCAGCAGATTATGCTCAACCTAAAACAGATAGACCAAAATTCAATAAACAAAGAAGGTCATAAATTATAAAATGATATACCATCCACAAAACAGATTATGCTCAACCTAAAACAAATATACAGTAGGGGTTGTGTACTGAGAGGTTTTGGATATAGGGTTTATCCAGAGGGAAATATGCATATCTACCTGAGGGACTGTATCCATTTCCAAACACTACATTACTGCAATCCTATACCCAGTAGTTTTGGGAGCAGGAAATATGGCGGGAGATATGGAGGTTCTTGATATTGAAAAATCAGGATACAATATATATTACCAACTTATCTCTCAAAAACTAGAAAATGGGTATGGCACTTAATGTCAAAGGTCATGTTTCATTAACCACAGTGCCATATTATACCAACAGTGAAAATACTCTACAGAACATTGACTGGGTTGTGAACTTTGGTATCTTAATATAATGATAACTAAACTAGATTTAAGGTATTAATAACTCACTATAAGACAAGGTTACATTTAAGTTTTATCTGACATTGATTAAGTGCAATGCACAATTGGACTGTAGTCTACTGTACTGTGCAATTTTTTACACAATGTCATTTCTATTTTAAGTATATTTCAAAATTTGGTGCTATGAATTTTCCCTAATTTGAGATTTCCTCAAATTTTAGGTATATGGAGTGAGGGGTAAGATGAAATTTAAATCAGCATAACATGGAAATAGGGTGTATTTTGGGATGTATTCTTTTTGAATGGATTTAGCCAATAGGGTCATTTTGAAAGAACCAGGCCCTAATTATCAACCAACAATAAATGAAACACATGTACCATAAACACTGAGCAAAATACTCATTTTGAATCCATGGAATTACAGGAAATTTAAAGAGAACTAAAATGTGAATTCAAACTGCTGGGATTTTTGGGGAATTTTCACATAACAGTGTCTTCACTACATTCAATGACTTTAGGGAGTTAACTGAAAAAAGATACAAAGCTTGCCATAAAATTAGCCAGTGAATATTACCAAGAGCAAAGATTATTGATTATTGAAAATTCTTAAAGAAAAAAAAGAGCAAAGATTATTAATGAGGTTAGAACACTAAGAAACAGAAGCTGCTAGATTGTTATGCTTCATAATCTTTTCCTAAAATATCGATTTTATTTTACTTTATCTGCTATAAAGTTTCATTGTTTGAAGCTTAAATTGAAACACTGGAAGTAAATTCCAAATGGTCTGATTTATAATTGCAATACTATAGCCACCTGCTATTGAATATACATGTATAGCAGGTGATTTGATTGAACTTTTGAACACTAGTAGTACTGTACACAAGGTATTTGAATTTTAAACTCTGACTACTGATACTTGTACATTGTACCATTCTATTTAACTGCCAAAAGCTTGGGAGGGGGCTATGGTTATCATTATAAAATTGCATATTATATTGTAAATATATCTGTTAACAGTGATTAAAACAATTTTAAATCATTATTAGGTATATAAAGTAGCTCTCTAGAAATACTGTAAAGAAAATAATACATTGGATATTTGTTGTAATCTCAATTTAATCTGATCAGAAATGTAGCCATACCAATTTTGAACCATCACATCCAAGAGTTGAATGCAAACAATCTACAGTTAATGCGAATTTAATCCCCTCATGTATCGTGTAGCTGTTACAAATGTAACATCTTACACCATTGCATGGTCAGGATTGCATTTCTTCAAACAGTGATTAATTCCAGTTATTACTTTAACAAATATTTACCTCATGGCCTCCATAGAAGGCAATTTCTTCAGCATTTGCAATGACTCTGGAATGAATATACCTCAGATATCCCTTACGTTTAGCCTCTTCAGCTACCAGGCGACCAAACCTGGGTGATACTTTACGCAAGATTCTGGCAGTCAAAAATACAACCACTCCAGCAAGAATTGAAGGAATCCTGGAACTTGCTCCACGGGAAGTTGCATATCTGTGAAGTGTGTATGACATCAGTACGACATCAAGAATTGGCTTCGTTAAATGTGAATAGAGATGGGCAAGTTGAGATGTGAACATAGTGATGTCTTCTGTAAGACACTGATCAGAGTTTGTTAGTCTACCATCCAGATTACTGACCCTGTAGTATGTCTGTTTGTCAAAGTATTGCGTATAGGCATGATCAACAAGTTTTGTTCTAAGAGCCAATGCAAGGTGATTTTCAAGGAATCGAATCATGGAATTTACAAATGTTGCAGGGACAGCAATGAGTAGCCAACGGGACAACTGGAACACAAAACGCAAAGCGTCCCTCTGTACAATAGCTTTGACAATTTTACCCTCTAGACTAGCTATGTATATTGTCAAAAACGTTCTTGAAACTAGCGACATTGTGTGAAGAATAAGTATTCCGAATTCTTTAGTCCATGGACCCGGCATCATAATTTTGATGAGACCCCGCAAATGTAAAAGAAACTCTTTGTCAACATGTGCCGAAGTTGAAGATTTGGTAACATCTTCTCTTGATTTTGATTTCTTTGACACCAATTCTTTTGAAGCTGAAGTTTTTGCTGCTGATTTTTGAAGCAATTTTTTTATTCCATAAACAGCAATTACAGCTACGGCTGCTCCACCAGCTATCTTCTGTGGTGTCAAACGGCTCCTAGAGGCCAAGTCCAGCATTTTAGACATGGTTGCAACTGAAAGAAACACAGCAATGCGCTACAATCCCTCGTTCTTTCCAGCTTTCAGAATTTTTTCTGCACTTTGCCCACCATGATTATTTACGTTTGAAAACGAGGTTATGACCTACTTAACCAAAACGAGGTAGATTTAAAAATTTCAGACGTCTGCATTCTCTTGATGATTTGTATTAATCCACTTCTACTAGTTGAAAATAGACTTGTGATATGATGTTATTTAATTCTAAACTATGAACTGGATCGGTGGAACTCGTAAACTAAGACTTCAAGATGAGAGAAGACAGCAAAAAGTAAATTCAACTTTATTTTACTTTTTCATTTCTCAAATTTCTCAACTTTGCTGAATCAGTTTTTTTCTGTTTCAAAATTTTTAGAAAATTATTTATCTAGCTAGGCCTATCATCAGTTTGTCATTGTAGTATTATCAAACTAGTAAGGGGCCACATGCACCGGAACAGATAATGAGTATCCACCGGGGGATTCCACCCTCATCTTGTGCCAAGACTTATAAAAAAAATAAAAAAATGTAGGCCTATCATACCGGCTGACAGAAGTCGCTGTGTTAAGTAAGCCAAGACCACTGGTGATCTGCATAATCTTGGCTAGTCTATCTTTGTACTAAACTTCAAAGAAATCTCTTGTAGTCCCCGGGGGGGGGGGGGCAGGGTAGGCCTACTGGTCTACTTTTAGTATAGGGGGGGGTGCCTCTGAGATTCAATATCCACCCACATCTACGGTTTTTACGAAGGCCCCCCACAAAGCGGGCGGTACCCTTCATTCTATGGAACAGGCTTGGACCATTCACCAGATCACATGATCTAAGTCCTGCCTTTACTACATTGTAGCTTATATTGGCAAATCAGCAAGGCAACTGCCAAGTCGTCAAATGATGTCATTGTGATTCGAAGGTATGACATATTACATAAACTATGACGTATTTAACCCAAGAATCTTTTAAAAATTTTAGGGCCTCAGTTAGTGGACCCTATTTGGGCCTTTTTTAAATCTTGGCCAAATTTTCAAAATATGGTCCTAAATTTTCCCAAATTTTTTTAGACTTGAAATTTGCCTCCCTCCTTGTTAGTTTCCAGATCTGCCCCTCAAGGCATCAAGGTTTTTCTTTCAAACTCACTTCTATGGATTTTTCCGGGAATTCTGGGATTTTCCTGGCATGAACTGTTTTTATTGAAAGAAAGAGATTCACATGTAGTGAAAAAGCGAACCACTTTAGCGGCACATATCCATATAGCCAATATATGAATGGAATGTATCCCCCTGGGTTGTAGTGTCAGGATTGCACCACTCATTATTGCATGGTACATAAAGGTAGAATGGGTTTTCATCCCGATTTTCATATCGGGACAAATTCTACGAGCTCTAGCCTATTTGTTCCGGTGCCTGTTGGCATGTCTGAGAAAAATCATTTACAACATTACTTATTCATGAAACCTTGTGAAAGAGGTTTAATAGTGCATCCCTATAGAATGAAGTACACAACTATTTTATCAATGTTTATTGTTTATTTTATAAGCGTGTCTAACTTCAACTCAGCTATAAAAATGGTCAATGAATTTGATTAATTATATATAAAATATGTTTTACTGTATGTCTATCCCTGTAAATCTTTACTTTATTCTTTTCGTTTCAGGAATTTTTTGAGAGAAAAAAATTTGCAAGCAAAGTTAAGAAGTCAAGACCAACTTCTCCAGGTCGAATAAGAAGAGGCATAAGCCAAGACTTGCTACAACTACATGTTGTAAACAGGGCATATGATCATAATAGAAAATGTGAGTAGTACTCTAGCTATACCATATGAGTTATATTCATGGCCAGTGCATTGATCCTATTAGTACTTTATACATGATATATAATAATATGACTGCTAATGTTTGATAAAATACTGCTATAAATCATTGTTTAATTTGCGAAAATATAAAAATCGCTTTAAGTGATTGAGGTCTTACATTTTGGAATCAGGGAAAATACTAAAGATACAATTCAAATGATATACCCATGACATGGATGAGGTTATGACATTTGGTATAACGAAACATCTGAAAAAAAAATTGTGAACTTAAATTGGTCATGTTGGTTTTCTAAGAAAATGGCTTGCTTACCATGGTGGACAAATTTTCATTCCTACCCAGTGATGAAAGTTTCTATTTATTATACATGATGACAATACTAATTCTAGGCAATATCGGAAAAGTTGAGAGAGAAATCAAGAAGGTTGACCTTGACAAACACATGGCTAGCTCCACACAGAGGAGGTTCCAAGAAGTAGACCTACCCATGTCTCCTTGCAAGTCAGTCTCAAAGATCTCCCTTCTCTCAGCCAGTGAAAGGTAATAGCAAAAAGTAGAAAACAGAAACATTGATTTATTTTGCTTTCCAAATTTCAACAACACTTCACAACATAATCACCCTCATCCATTTATGTGTAAGCTACACATTAATTAAATCAAGAGTTGAATTTAAAATTACCATTTAAACTTGAAAACAGTTACAAAATTCCTCAAAACAAAACTGTCACAGCCAAATTTGGTAAAAATCTGCTGATGCTAATGAAATCTCTGAATTTATTAATACATTTTATATCTACTAGTGAAGACCCACTGAGCCAGCAAAGAGAGGAAAAGAGACAACAGATTTTTGATAAATGGTCAGCAAAGCTAAATATTGGGAAAGTCCATGACAATCATACAAAACACCATATTGAAACAAATCCAATGAAGTCAGATGACTTCCCAATGGAATACAGACGGCCTGATAGAAAACCATCAAAAGGAGCTCCATGGACAGTTTATGACCAGTATTCCAAGGTGTATAACAAAGGAGGTGTACAGTCAAACCAACAGAGGTGGATGGCCTCTGACACAATGAAGGGTAATGCAGCCAATACATATGACACAGCAAGACATTGGCAGACTACTGATGATGAAAGTAGTACTGATAATAACTTTGCTATTGGTATTACTCCCTTCAAGGATTCACAATGGCAGGTTTGTTGATATTTTGAAGATAACATTCAGGGCAAAATGTCATTTAAATCATGTACATGTACTACTATACAGGGTGACTCAAAAATACAAATCTTATTTTGCAATAACTTTTCTTAATTTTGATGGAATCGTCTTGTTTTTTCTCATACGGAGCGAACAGTGATATTTTGGATCCCAGGATCACTTTTAAATTTAGAAAATTCATGTTTTCCATCTATGCAATTGTTCCCCTCTAAATCTCAAAGCTGCTCACTGCAGGTAGGCTGAGTATGAATCTTCCAGTTTGCATCAAGTGATATTATTTCCAGAAAAGAAGGAATTAGTATCAAAGTCTATCAATAGTGCAAGTTTAGTGATTGTGATAGTCTCATTTTTTAATAGATGTTGTTTCATGGTTGGTGTTTGTCAGTCGGCATTTGTAATAAATGACAGGTGGTGACATTTTGCATGGTAATGCCTTGTCTATTGCTGTGATTTACATGTATTTTATATCAGAGCTTGAGTGTCATTTTCAATAGTTACTGGACTCACATCAGAGGTTGAGTCACCTTCATTATTGTTAAAATTTCCATACTCTGATCTATATGTTTCAACAAATTAAAATAATTTATTTTTACAGAGGAATCCTGGCCATGCAATTTCTGAAGTCCTTTATGACCAGCATGTGGGTCCTAGAAAGCACATGATGTCCAACTATGAACCTGATGTGAGTACATTGTATTTTAGTGTGTTAATGTAAGTGTCTCAAGGGCAAACCTGACCAAAAAGTATTCAAAAACATGGATAGAAATAAAAAAAGAAAATTTAAGGGAAGAACTAGTCAAAAAGAAATAATTCCCAGAATTCTTAACAAGACTCTAATGCAAAAAGACATTGCCTAAAACCCCCTTCCCTTACCCTTCAGGAATGAACACCAATTACAGTAAAAAAGAAGATCAAATTGATTCTGCATTTGCCTTGAGTTGATTGGGGCTTTCTCCAGTTCTCATGTAGAGTCAAAAAGAAGCTGACTTTAAATACTTCTTTGAAGTTGTATAGGAATAGAGTGCTCACTAGAAAACAGTGTACAGTATTACCCACAGTCATGTACAAACAATGGCATTGTATTTATTCAAATTGTGAAGTGGTTTTAGTAATTATTGTCACAACCGGAAATGGTGACATATTCTAATTTTGTTATAGTCTCCAACTTCTTTGTTGACGCTGTCCAGCAGTTGGTGTTCGGAGTTCAGTTGTTGATATTCTGCATTTTTCATTTGGTGTTTGATACAATGGCAGCTGGTGGTGACATTTTGCACCTTGGTTTTACTAGTTATGGTTGCAATCTTACATTCCAGACCCCATTTTTGTCACAAATAGGGCAATCTCAGTTGACTCACCCCCTACAACCTATTCAGATAGCACTCCCAGCCTGTGAATCAAAGCACCCTGACCACCCTGTTCAGGCCACCATCCCACCTGAGGTGAAGAAAAGAAGAGCTCTCTGGTCTAGTGAAGATTTCCAGATAACACCACTGAAGAAATATAAAGCTGATGAGAAGAGAATACAAAGACAAAGACAAAGCAAGACTAAACAGGAATCTGAGCAGAGAATCGAAGAAAAACATGAAATACAAACTATAAAAGACACAGATTCACATCAGGAATTAATCAGTAAATATTCTAAATATTTGCAACCTGAAAATGTTCCCAAAACCAACTTTAAAACTCAGATACCTGAAACCCATACACAGGATAAAGACACTTTGAATACTCAGACATATCCATCTCAAGTTAAAAGAAAGAGAGAAACCACAACCAATAAAGACTCCCAGTTAGCTGAGATTGTGAAATACGACAAACCAGTTGATGACTGGAAGACACCAAATGTGAATGTTCCGACACTAGAATGTCGCTCTGTGAAGACTGTCAACTCAAATGGAGACACACCTGTTTTTGATATCCTAGATGATGCTGTATATAACAAAATGAACCCAGTTATTCACAAAACAGGAAAGTCGAAGGGAAATTATAATTCTAGGTTGAAGAAAGAAGAGCAAAATTCAAGGTGAGTCTGACATATAACAGGTAAAGTTGAGCTGAGTTGAACCCAAGTACATGAATAAACTCTAAAACTTTTTTCTTAAATTTTCATGTTTTTAAAATTTACTTGCACATTGAACTCAATTAAGTCCATTTAAGATTAGCGTCAATGCCGAAAAAGTACATGTAAATTCTAACTTCAAAAATTGATATTTTGATTAAAAACAGAGATATGGTGGAAAATATATTTCACTATCGCAATACAAATCAGCTGGCCCTGATTGAAAATGTATAGCTCTAGCCCTCTTATACACATATACAGGTGCTAAATCACACCCTACAGGTACTTACTGTGTATTAAAATTGCTGATTTTATGTTTATTCAGAGGGAATACAGTTATGGAAAGTAATGAAAGTGCAGCAAAGATTCACACAGATATAGCTGACGTCTCAATCTCAGGGTTTCAGACTGTTGGAACATTTTCTCTGGGACTTGATTTTGACTCCCAAGACAAGGAAGAAACTATTAAGGTAGGTCTAGCCAGGCAAAATTGATGATCGAATGAACTGATGATTGAAGTGATTAATTGCAATGGGTTTCATATAGTTTTATGTTAGAGATCCAGACTCCAGAAAAGTAGATCATCCCAATTTTTAAACTTTTCTTTTTTTTAAAAACAGTGGAAAATAACAAATATTTAGCATTTTAGGTAGTTTTTAAGTAGCCTTGTAGCCTATAGTTTACAAGGTAAGTCAGAAACCCAATCCAAGAACTATCAAATGATAGTAAATACATAAACATGTACATCTGTATGTTTGTTTTTTTGTATGCAGAAAGAGCCAGATAAAGATGATCAAAATCAGCCTAGTTCTGACAAAGTTGAACCTACTACATCATTAAAAGCCCAGGATGCCAAAACAGAAACGACACCCTTCTGTAATGCGTCAGGATACAAAAACAATCTGATGGAATTTTTGGGATTTTCTACCCCTTGGAACCCTGGTCAGGACTTACCTCCTTCAACAAAACGAAAGGTTTATTATTTTTGATAGGGCTAAAACATAATTTAGACAAAATATGCCTGGTTCAAACTGCATTGTATAACACAGGTCTGTTTTAATTCAGTCAAAATTCACTTCTCTGAACTAATAAGACATCATCTGTGAACAAGTCTTGAAGATGGAAAATTGAATCATTGTAATTTTAGAAATACACTGTATTTTGAATGTTATTTATTCAGGATTCAGAAGGTGATCCCTCATCTCTGAACAAGTCTGAGACACCAGGGTCTACAAAATGTAGGTTACAGTTCCAGAATACCAGTAAGAAAGAAGAGCCTGATGCCAGCAAACAGTGTAGCATTCAACCTAGTGAATCACTAAATAAGGTAAAGCAAACTTAGCCTTCCTATGAAGTAGAGCCATTGATAGGATATAGCTGCAAGAACTGTCAATAGCGCAAACACCATTGCAGGCTGCAATAGCTCAAACTCATTGAGAGTTTTCACCAATTTTGACCTTTTTCTTGGTAAAGATCAAAGGTCAAAATGAGAAAATCTCAATAAGCTTGATAAAGGTTAGTTATCTCCATGAGTTTGAGCTATTACACTCTTTTACAACAACATACTCTTTTTGCTAGTAATAAAAAAACAAGACAAAATGTATCACATATGATTAAAGGCTTTCCTATGGTGCCTATTACTACTAAAAGGTGAAGTTCACTCTTAATGAAAAATAAATTCAACCACACAAAAAATCATTTTTTGTATCACTAGTAACAAGTAGGGGTGAGACGACAACCCGATGAGTCGAGGACTCGCGGGTTTGGGGCTTCGAGTCGAGTCGAATCGAGTCGAAGTTGATGAATCGAATCATTTTCGAGTTGAGAAAAAAATTCGAAAAAATCAAAAAAAATCAGAAAAATAGTGTCAATATGCATGTTTTTACTCGATATTGCGTTGAATATATAAGTTTCAATGACTTGGATATGCTTGTATTAAATTATTATATTGTATGTACACATAAATGAAAGAATATATGTAATAAAATCAGAATAAACTTACGACGAATTGTGTTTGTTTATATTTCCGGCTTTCCACCATTGACACATTAAAAAACGAACGGTCAAAAGCGATGTTGTTCGCACTTTATCTGACTCGAAACGGATTCGAAACTCGAATCGTCATTTTCTGACTCGAATCGGATTCGACTCGAATCGGATTTTTTTCGACTCGTCTCACCCCTAGTAACAAGGTCCAAATATTTTGAAATTTTGTTGCAGCTTCTAGGCCTTGATGATGATAGTCAAGAGGTAGTCCCTGCTGGACTTGAGGATGTGGCACCAGAGACAGGGACAACAACCCCTGGTACAACAACCACTGGACATTCTATCAATATATTTGAGAATGCAACTGCTGCCAAGGCAATAATTGAGACAATCACATCCAATGCAACACTTCACAAAAATATTGTGGGATCATGTGACCCAAAAGACACAATGCAACTGTCTTATAAAGAACATTCCTCCAGCGATATTAATACAGAACTATGCACACTCACTGCAGAAACTGAACATAGTGCATTGAATACTGAAGGACATAGTCAACCCAGTACAGGATGTGCTGCACCAGTTGCAGACAGTGTTTTACCTAATAAAGACAATGATCAGATTAGCACAGAACATATAGTGCATGATAGGGAATATGTTATGTCTGATATAGAATATAGGCACACACATAGTGTACCTGATTTTGTGAAGAACCACCCAGAATATTGTGAGAAGTATTACCAAAGTGTGTCTCCAAGTGTAAGAGCTTTAATGCTCAACATGATTCAAAGTTTTGATGCAGAAACTAAAGCTGAGCAGGGAAACAATTCAAATGATCTGGTTGATACTATAGGGCAATTGAAGGAAGTGGTTCTTAAAGGGAATAAAGAATCCAGTGATGTAGTATTGTTAAATGATACATATGTCAAACTCAGTAGTTCTGAAGGGCACAGTGAAGAAGTTGATAATGCTATTGGCAATACAACTGATAAAGTGATCCCAGACACATCACAAGACAAGGGCAGGCATCCCAATAACCTACCTACATTGTCTTTAGATGGAGTAGAAAATGTACAATGCAAAACATGTGGATTTCGAAACAAGCAGTTAATTCATATATCTACTCAAACAAGCCCTGTGAACCAGCCTGTTACTGCTCTTGCGTTGCAGCCCATTCAGCTGAAGAATGTATGTACAATGACTTATGAACCCCCAGGCTCTGTACCAATATTACCATTACAAGATGATACTAACCTACCAGCCTTATCAACTAGAGTATCAAAGCCAGAGGATAGTAAACAATCAGTTTTATCAGAGTCAAAGGACAATAAATTACCAGTTTTATCACAGCCAGAGGATAATAAGCTTCCAGATTTATCACAACCAAATGACTTTAAACCATTAGTCTTATCACAGTCAGAGGACAATACACTTCCAGCCTTATCACAACCAGAGGACAATAAGCTTCCAGTCTTTTCAAACCCAGAGGAAAATGAACATCCAGAGGACAATACGCTTCAAGTTTTATCACAGCCAGAGGACAATAGACTTCCAGTCTTATCACAGTCAGATGACAATAAATTTCCAGTCCTATCCAAGCCAGATGACAATACACTGCCAGTCTTATCACAGTCAGATGACAATAAACTTCCAGGCTTATCACAGCCAGATGACAATAGACTTCCAGTCTTATCACAGTCAGATGACAATAAATGTCCAGTCTTATCACAGCTAGAGGGCAATAAACCACCAGTCTTATCACAGTCAGATGACAATAAACTTCCAGGCTTATCACAGCCAGATGACAATAGACTTCCAGTCTTATCACAGTCAGATGACAATAAATGTAATGTCGTATCACAGCTAGAGGGCAATAAACAACCAGTCTTATCACAGTCAGATGACAATAAACTTCCTGGCTTATCACAGCCAGATGACAATAGACTTCCAGTCTTATCGCAGCCAGATGACAATAAACGTCCAGGCTTATCACAGTCAGATGACAATAAACTTCCAGGCTTATCACAGCCAGATGACAATACACTTCCAGCCTTATCACAGCCAGAGGACAATAAGCTTCAAATTTTATCACAGCCAGATGACAATAAACTTCAAGTTTTATCACAGCTAGAGGACAATAGACTTCCAGTCTTATCACAGCCAGATGACAATAAATTTCCAGTCCTATCGCAGCCAGATGACAATACACTGCCAGTCTTATCACAGCCAGAGGACAATAAACTTCCAGTTTTATCACAACCAGAAGACAATAAACATCCAGTCTTATCACATCCAGAGGGCAATAAACCACCATTGTTATCACAGTCAGATGACAATAAACCACCAGTCTTAGCACAGCCAGATGACAATAAACCATTAGTTTTATCACAGCAAGATGACGATCAACTTCCAGTCTTATCACAGTCAGATGATAATAAATGTCCAGTCTTATCACAGCTAGAGGGTAATAAACCACCAGTCTTGTCACAATCAGATGACAATAAATTTCCAGTCTTATCACAGCCAGATGACAATAAATTTCCAGTCTTATCACAGCTAGAGGGCAATAAACCACCAGTCTTGTCACAATCAGATGACAATAATCTTCCAGTCTTATCACAGCCAGATGACAATGATCTTCCAGATGTATCACAGCCAGACGACAGTAAGCTTCAAGTTTTATCATATCCAGATGACAATAAAGTAATATCACATTCAGATGAGAATAAGCTTGCAGTTTTATCACAGCCAAATGACAATGATATCCCAGTCACATCACAGCCAAATGACAATAATCTTTCAGTCTTATCACAGCCAGGTGACAAAAAGCTTCCAGTCTTATTACAGCTGGACGATAATAAACTTCAGATTTTATCACAATCAGAGGACAATGAGATGTCAGTCTTATCACAACTAGATAACAATACACGTTCAGTCTTATCACAGCCAGAGGTCAATAAACTTCAGGTTTTATCACAGCCAGAAGACAATAAGCAGGTTATCTCATCACAGCCAGACGACAATAAATTATCACAGCTAGAGGATAAGGTGAAAGACTTATCTCAGTCTGAGGAGTCGCATAAATCTCAACCACGAAATATTGAATGCTATGTCTATTCCCAAAAACATGGACAAAATGAGAGCAAAATGCAGTTAAGATCTAGTCATGAAAATGAATTTGAGTTCAACAGTTCTAGTCAACCAGTAAATACATTGGGGAATTCTGGTGGGGAAGATGTAAACCAACGCATTGTGCCAAACTTTCATAGAAAATTACGTTCTAAGAAAATGAAACCAAAATATTAAAGTGAGAAAGTGAAGTTATGGAGGATATAACGCTGACCATAGCAGAGTATTTGCAATGAGACCTTGTGTTTATAGGTAAATAGTAAAAGCAGGGTATACAAATAGGTCTAGTCAGTATCCAATTTTGTGCTAACCACTTTCATCCCCTTGTTTATTATGCCCATGGACAATTGGACATTAAACTGAAAGCTGGGAGTTTAACACACACTTGCTCTATAATGGAACTTTTTCTATCGCAATCTAGTGAAATATTGAAGAACATGAAGATACACATACTGTAGATGTATATTCTGTTCTAGATGTTTCATCACTGTTTTATATTAGTCATTGTTTTTTTTAGTCAAAGACAAATGCAAAAAAGTGTTTCAATAATAACTTGAAAAACAAATTAAATTTGAAATAAATATTTTGATTATTAGTCACTGGGTTTTTTAGTCAAAGACAAATGCAAAAAAGTGTTTCAATAATAATTTGAAAAACAAATTAAATTTGACATAAATATTTTGTTTAAAGTTGTCATTGCTTTCTCCATGACTTGACTACATTATCTTCATTCTGTCTTATGTAATTAATCTAAACTGCATCTCAATATTTTAGAACTATTTCCCAAAGGATTATCTTTACATACCAAACTATTCTGTATTTACAAATGTACATAATCCAAATTAAAATGTTATATATATTTTTTATTATTGTATATTTATCCTTGACTTGTTACATTTAACAAATATCTGTTATATGACTCACAGTGGAACATTTACAATACTTTTACAGTCATCTTATGCAGTTTCACATGTTGTATATAAATATAATATATAAGCTGATTATTATTTATAAATATAATATATATTTATATATATTTGACACTGTTAACAATAAATAGTTAATGATTATTAAATATGCTGTTTTACATCATACAAAACTGTTTACTCTTAAACATATACTATAACCACCTACTGAAGAGCTTGAAGGCCTTTGATTCGATGTTTTAAATAAAATACTTGTTTGAGGAAGTTCCTTAAATAAAAATAATCTTAATATTATTACTGTCAGGATTACTTTTGTCAATCATACCCCAAAAGGACTACATTGCAATTATTATATGGAAAAATATATTCATATTCTAGGTGCAAAACAAATATACATATCTTAGATTGTTTGATTTGGCTAATAAAATATGTGGCATGTTTGGATGGTACTCTATTATTTTCTGGTTTACTCTACTGCACTAATTTATCTGAAATATACATCTATTTCACATCTATAATACGAATATATTTTTTCATATAAAATTGTACTGTCTGAAAGTAGTCCTTTGATTGCTTTTTTAGGTTTGACTGAGGCACAATTAAAGTGAATTGCACTATATGCAAATTCTTCCAGCTGAATTCTGATATCCACTTAATTTAGCAATTTCCGGCAGTTCTAACTGCCATCTTTCTTGCTCTTGCTTTAGAAAATATAAAAGAAGTGGGAGATCTTCGATAAAAAATATATGAAATCTCAGTCTGCAAAAAACATGACTCTGGCTTTTTTGTTTATTGTTTATCTTAAAGGAACCACTGACATTAAACTATGAGTCAAACATGGTGGTTGAATATAAAATATGGCAATACCTCACATCAATATGTAGCAAACATGTATCTGTGTTTTTGCCTAATCTAGATTGACTTTCAATCATGCCTTTTTAAATCAATTTCTGCACTTTGAAGAGAGTCTGTCTGACTGTCTCCATGGGCTTTCAACAGAAACCCACGTTGTCTCCAAGTATGGAGGGTTTGAACTGTAGTGAACAAATGACTTCAAAATAGTATGAAATGAGTATATATGATTTGAATAATATGTATAAAACTAGAAAGTGGCAATTCCAAAGAGTAGCAAATCCCAAAGAACATTCCTAGTGTATTCTGCACTGACAGACAACCAGGTGGATAGACAGAGAACTTAACTATATCCCAATCAAACTTCTCTTGTCAGAACATAATATCTCTAACAAGGCATTAACATAACAAAATGGCACTGCTTGTTTGCATTAATATTTGTTATGCAAAACGCAGACACCAAACACAAGTCACAAACTTTATGATTTTATGGTTTATACATCCATTTTGAACATCCATTTAATACACACATAAAAGTTCAATAATATTGTTTACATGTATAAAGCCATGAATCATGATTAACACATTCAATATATTACATGTATTAAGCATCACAAAAATGATATGACTATATTTGGCGACAATTTATTCAACCTTAAAACTCCCCCAAAATGAGTTAAAAATTAATAAGTACTGGTGCCTCGTAAATTAAAATCGTTGGTTTGTTTTGTTAATGTTGACATTTAATCTATAATTTTACAGCGCATCATCTTTCACCACATTTTCTGTCTCTATATGGTTTTCTCTCCAACCAGACACGAAAATTTTATTTTAATTTTTTTTAAATTTTTCCATGGGCTTTCAACTAGAATTGAAAGCCAATGATTTTTCACATCCACCCTCATTATATATAGGCCACATGCATCAGTAATGAATGGAGTATAATCATTAATCTTATTCCAGGCTTATCACAGCCAGATGACAATAGACTTCCAGTCTTATCACTGTTCAAAGTGTAAAATGTAAGGATTTCTCAACACGGATAAATCATCTTATCCAATTAAACTAGAATTAAACCAGCCACAGATGGCATCAGAATTTAGTCACCATCTCCCGAGTCTGCATCTGACTCCCTATCGTTACTATTGATCCCTCGTATATGTACATACTGCACTGTTTTCTCATCATCCACTATAGGTGGCCCTGAGGTGCCACACCATGAGTGGGCAAATAGTCCCTCTACTTCCTCCAAACTTCGCCCCTTAGTCTCTGGTAGGACAACACCCAGGAACACTAGCCCTAGTAGTGTTATGCCTGCATACAACCAGAATGTACCTGCAAGAAAAAGATGGACATTTTTTCTTAACACAAATTTGATGAACACTTTAAGAATTTCAGTTTTCATAAAAAGTGGTGAATATGAACCTGAATGATATTTTTTTCAATTGTGAACCTGCTTTTAATTAAAAAAATAGCACACTAGTGTGCTAATATATGTAATAATTCATAAGTAATAATTCTTCAATTTAGCCTTGATGTAGCCTACAGTTACTGCATAAGATTTAATCTTCTGCCTCATACAATGGTGATGTGCACCTACCAAATCTTGTGATAGCTTCAGTGAGACTAAGGAATGTCATGGAAACAATGAGATTACATATCCAGTTGGTTGATGTGGCTAAAGATACCCCTGTACTCCTGGCCCATAGTGGGTAAATCTCAGAGTTGATGGTCCATGGCATAGGACCCATACCTGGAATATATCAAAGAGGGTTAGTTCAGGTTATCGCATTAGATTGAAAAGTGAATGTGGCTAGAGATACCGGAGTGCTTTGGCTAATCATTGATGGTAGTCTAATATTTTAAATTCACTTTTTTATTTCAAGTTTTGATAAAGACAGAAAAATGATGATGCAATAACTATGAATTTAAAATTCAATATATTAGGTTACCTGGAGCAAAGAAGATGAGATACAGGGCCAGAGCTAATACACACATCCAAGCATAGTCAGTGGGGCAGTAGTCATAGGCCCAACTCATGTTAGGCTTCATGCTCATATGGTTACACCTCCCCACTGATGCTGTAAGAGGGTTCTCGAAACCCCTGGGTAGGCATGAACCATTTGCTGGTCCATCTAGCTGGTCAATATAGCAATAGCCACAGTCCAGTGACTGCATACAGGAATTACAGGTGCTGTAAGTACATGTATAATAGTCTAGTTGTAATTGTGTGTGCATGGATGTTCTTATATTGTAAACAGGGAGATGCAATTTAATTATTATATTATGGAGATGCAATTTACTTATGTTTTGTCCAATATGATGCTATTTACCTAAATTGCATGCATTAATTAGTTGCTATTTTAAACATTAGGTGCAGCGAGATACATTTAGTATTTTATTTGCATGGAGAAGCTATTAAAATACATTGTATGCATGGACAGATGGAGAGGTGGATTTAATTATTTAAAGCGTGGAGTTGCTATTTTAAGTATTTACCTATATTGTGTGCATGGTGAGGATATTTTCTCTACTATATCTATCTTTGGTGAATTGGCAGCAGCCATCTGGAACCCCATTGCAAGCCATATTAGACTGACCACTGCACCTGTTAATGTGTGGATGAAAGTGCATGTAATAGTAGAGTAAAATAATTAAACTGCCTCAATTAGGATTTACTCGGACAAACAGCATAATAAAACAAGGCATCAACATGCAAAATGTCACCACCCGCCATTTGTTACAGACATTGAATGCCAAACACCAACCACTGAAGACCAACCACCAACTGCCAAACACCATCCACAAAAAGTCACTATAACAATAACTACTGGTATTACAATACAAATATGTCACAACTTGTGGTGGTGACATAAAAATTGTGTTGGTAACATAAAAACAAAATAACCCAAGACCTATTATTACCACCTTGCCAGGCCAGTTCTAGGGGTTTTAGTGCTAGTTTAGAAGGCATTCATTTTACTATATCGACCTAAGAAATATGTGACATCATAGTGGTGGTCAAGAATGCATTTAACGACTGGTCGAGAATCCATTTAAAGACCGGCAATTTTCCCCGGGAAATTAGATATCGTTTAGTGCGTAAGATTTTCTTGCTGTTTCAGTCCTGGTCGTTAACGTTGGTAATAATACTAATAACGTCATTTCTGCGGGCAATATAGTGAAATATTGGACCTTGGGTGTTTGGCCCTCAGTCCAATATTTCACTATATTGCCCTTCGAAATGACGTTATTGTACTATTAACATGCTAAACACATAATGTGAATTAATCATTTCTCTTACTCTCTTCAATCTCTCTCTTGTCACATCATTGAATGTATCTATTAGAACTAAAAGCAATATGAAGCAGGAGATTTTCTCTATCTCCCTGGAGAGAGCTGCTGAATGTAAATTATTATTTTGTACGGTTTAGCAGACTCATAAATGTCGTAATTAAGTTATCAGGGTGTCTAGAGTGATAATGGCTGTGAAAGAGGTCGGAACCACCTTTTTCTATTTGAACAATCATTCACTATTGGACTGACACAATTGTCAACCATTATTCTCATAAATAAAATAAAACAGTGTTGTGATGAACTTCCTGTCTTTAAAGAGCAATAAAAACAATGTAACGAATAAAAATAACAAAGATTCATAAAAATAATTATGAATAAAAATGATTTTTAAATGAATTTATTTCATATCTAAGCATTATCAGCTTTTGCTGGAAAAAATTTAGTCATTATCATTTCAATAAAAAAATATATCCATTAGCATTTCAATAAAAATAAAATTGTTTTTTTTCATTTAATCTGTTAACTAGAAACATACTTGACTCAAAAGGTTTCCATGATGCAAATATGAAGAAACATTAAACGCTAACAATGTCACGCAATCTTTACTAGCTGTATGTTTACCTCTTACATCCAAGTGGGTTTTATAACAGCTGATTACAGAGCAAGTTGAACTTTATTGTCACATTGTCATTTCCTTATGCATGATCATATGTCAAAGCTTTGATTTCCCCAGGCACTATTATGGCCTCACATTTCACTTTTCTAAGAAGTCAGAAGGATTGAGAAGTTCACATTAGAGAATTCACCTTAGAATTCTAAATCATACAGGGTGACCCCAAAAAAGAGAACAGCCCAAGATTGTAATAATTGCAATCAACCTAATTTTCCATTTCACATTCATTTAAGATCCCTTCTAAGTATGGCATTATCATACTAAAATCAAAAGTATAATATTATAATTTTGGGTGGGCTGTTTTTGAGTCACCCTGTATTAACAATATTTAAATTTATATTTTGGTGACTTGAGTTTTGGTCTGATGACCTGAAGGTAAAGTAACAATGGTTAATTAAGCTGGTCATGGTTTCTTTATTATATGGAAATTCTTACCACATAAACTTCCCAGTGTGAGATGGCGCCTGCCTATCTTTTCAACTAAATATAAACCAATGAATGTAAAGATGAAATTCACTGCGGCTGTGACTGATGACAACCAGATGGCAACCTTGTCATCTCTCACTCCAGACATTTTTATTATTGTAGCGCTGTAATACCTGCAAATATCAGTAATTAGACATTAGAAAACACAAAACAAAGCTCTCGTCAATCTTATGAATAGTGCTTAAACTGATTGTGCATTCTATAGAGATTATTTAATTAGAGTTCAATAGAATATGAAGTTTCAAAATGTAATTACTGTAACAATTGTGTTTTTCAGAAACCTTTACTTTTCTCCAATAATCAATAAGGAAACGTGTTTCTTCAATATATATAATACTTGTAACTGATGTTTTGATAATACAATGGTTTCCCATGGTGCATATAATATTTCTGATGTCATAAAAGTAATTTTTGATGTTTTTTTTTAAATCGGTGTTGTTGGTGTATATTTATGTATGAAGTGCATTAGCCTTTACAAAAATGCAATTTTGGCCCTCCTACATGTAAGTAATTTAATCTCACTTGACAAGTAGCCTGATTAAGATAATTTGTTTTTCTCAAAACATGCTTCATTTCATTAAGACTTCATTAAACCTCTTCATTATGTTATTGTGTTTTTCCGGCACTAACAAGGAACCAGACAGGGTGTTTTACTTATCATGGGCTTTTCAGAGAATCTGTATTAAAGTAGATATCAATGCATGTAATATTACTACTGAAAAGGCCAAACTTAAGCTTTCTGGGACCTTACCTTTTCTTCCGGTGTACCTGTACATGACATTGTTTTTCCTATGTGATATAATTGTGCCTACATGACATTGCTATTTTTCGTATGTGACATTGTTATATCTACATGACAGTTTTCAACCTTTGTGACAATGTTAACATTTGTACCTACATGACAGTGTTGATGCCAGCGAACTGTTGAACAGCTTGTAGAGTACAGCCAACAATCAGAGCTCTTCGTACTGAAGGTGTTCTTAACATCTGGATGATAATTGGGGCATGACCTAAAATGTAGACAAAGGGATACTGTAAACAGCAAAACATAATACTTATTTGCATTTGGGTTATGGTTTACTCGACATAATGATTTATATCATATTCCCCAATGATATCTACATGTATTCCATACTTATTGAGGTTCTTGGTACATTCAGTGCAGGAATATATAGTGCATCTAGGGAATATTAATTTTATATTCATTTTGGAACCTTAGAAAATAGAATGTGCCTGGAACCTAGTATTATATGTACTATTAGTTTTTGATACAAGATTTATCCCTTGGGAACTATGTGTATCTCCCTAATGGTTCCTACAGGCCCTCGGAAGATACACATATTTTCCTCAGAATAAACCTAATGTGCAAAACCTCCCAGTACATAACTCCTCTGCCTGCAGTACTTGACTGTAAATCTGATTCTGAATTTTATTGATTTAAAGCTTTCTAGACTAAAGGGGCTTCAATAATTAATTCAAAGCAAAATGATTAATTTCATATATAAGCATACTTATCATAAGTACAGCTTATACAATTTGAACTTCCTAATTATCCCTCTCAGGCATTGAAAGATTTAAAGGTTAAACTGTATATCATTTTGTAATGAAAGGGTTTACTGCCAGGTAGGAATGACCCTTTCTCAATCATTGTGAGTTGAAATAAGATCACAAGATGACCTCTACTATTAATTATTAATTAATTATAAAGAACAAAGAGACATATCATATAATTCTCAATTGAAGCCTTGCCAGACATTGATCTTCAGTCATTCAGTCTTAAAGGTAACATTAGAGAAAGAGGCGGTGACAAAATTGCAAGAAACCTTTATAATTAACTAAGCATCAATTACAGATTTGATCTATCTGTCTGACCCACTGTGACATCATTTTAAGTAATGTCTATTTTCTAATAAAAAGTCCAATAGCTTTTGACTTTCTGGATAATTCCTAGATTTTCAAGATTATCCTTGTAATAGCTTTACAAAAGAAAAGGAGTCATCCTTTTTATAATTCTGATGAATTTGGACTTCTTAAAACAATTAATAACAATTTCATTTCATTAGATATCTCAATTCTTTTTTCAGAAAATAAAATCGAGATTGGAAGATAAAAATTTAGAAGCTTTTTGAAGTTGCTAATTCAACTTATTTAACACCCCATATCCCTTACGGATTATGTTTTAAAGGGCCACTGACTTTAATTAAGGAATATTGCCCTTACTTCTATCCTGTCTCTCCTTGTCTGCATCCACCACACTGCCTTTAATGCTATCAAACTCATCATCTATCTCAAATGTGCCACGTATACGCTGTAAAATATGACGTGCCCGTTCCTCATTTCCGCGACTTATCAACCATTGAGGACTCTCAGGCATGAAGAAGAAACTCACGAGTTGTACTGCAGCTGGAATCCCAGCTAGTCCTAACATGTATCTGGAACACAACATCATAATAAAAACAAAGATAGAAGTATTAAATTGTTTCAAGTAAGGGTTGCTGAAAGTTGCAATTCACAATTTGGATATGAGTGCATTATGACAGGACTGCACAGGCAATTCTTTCAAAATCATGCGGTTTTTCACGATTCTGAGCATTTCTCATGTGGTTTTGGGCCAAATTTGTCAAAGTGAACCCCTCTAGGATTTTTTTTGAAAAGTGACCCCCCTTGGCTATGGGCCTGAAGTGCAAGTGAACTTTCAATTCAGCATCTCAACCTTGACATATTAGTGTTCCCCATTTTACATATTGCTCATTAATGACTCCAAAAAGGTAAAAATAGTGATGTTGCTCCATTTGAGACTACTACAAGTGTTTTTTACATCATAGTAAAGACTTTAAATCATGACAGTATTTGAAAAATAACTACTTATTTTATTTTTGCTTTTAATATATAAGCAGGGAACAAGTTTAAGATTGTGAAATTACCATCAATTATACTGGGAGATGTAAGAACAGGACACAGCATAATATTGCTTAAGCTATGAATGATTGAACACATCTTATTATCTTCTAGATATGACCAGGTTAGATATAATGACTGTTAACCATCAATAGCCAATATGGCCCAATGTGTAAATTAAAGAGAAGTCAATGCCCACTATCTATTAGCACTCTATCTAAGCCCCCAATTGGAGCATAGCTGGGCAACTAGAAAACTGCAACTCCACAGAGTAGCAAATCCCAACAAACCAAATATTCATTGATCTGTATATATCACAATATAATATTTACTATCTACTCTACTCTTATTTGCAGATCATAAAAGACATAAAATGGAGATATATCAGAATTTAAGCATTTGAGTGGCCATTTTGAGTTTCAAAGGCACAAATCATACAGACAAACGATAAAATATTTGCCAACTCTAAATTCCCTTTCGATTTTGTAAAAATCAACTCTTGACCCCCATACACGGCCTATGGGGGTCAAGATTAATTAAAAAAACATAGAGTACATGTGGAATACTGTTTTGAATACACTACCTAAATTTTAAACAGTAATACTTATTGCTTTGGTTGGAAATAAAATCCTAGATTTTCACAACAAGACACACAGTGATAAATATCGCACTTTGAAGAGCAAACTGGCCACCATGCAATTTACCCAGCATGGCCAAAACCTAATCAGACCTTGGCACTAGTCTGCTCTTGCATCTGTAAACATTTCAAGTTGACAAGGTTAGCGGTTTTCCTGCAATTTTGATGACAATTAAGAATTTATTTGTAGTCTGGAACTTTGGGAAAATTTAGATAACATCGTTTGTGACCTAATTTGATGACCTTCGACCTTGAAAATTTAACTTTTTCAGACCTCAGTAGGTGTTTTGTAATTAAGCTGACCTAAATTTAAATCCAAAATATCAATTTAGAAAATCAACTTTTTTGACCTTTTCAAGGTCACTGAAGGTGAATGAAAGGTCAAATCTGAAATCTAAGGTCAGATTTGAACTTCTGAGAACTTGTAGATGTTTTTAAAAAAAAATTTGGTCAATTTGGTCAATTTGGAGCAAGTTGAAAAATTCAAAATGGCCGCCAAATTGAAAAATTCAAAATGGCCACCATGTAATTCAGCCAGCATACCCAAAACCTAATCAGATCTTGGCAATAGTCTGCTCTTGCATCTGTAAAAATTTTAAGTTGAACGGATAAGTGGTTTTCCTGGAATTTTGATGACAAGATTTGTTGAAAAATTCAAAATGGCCGCCACATAGTTTACCCAGCATGCCCTTAACCTAATCAGATCTTGGTACTAGTCTGCTCTTGCATCTGTAAAAATTTCAAGTTGAACAGGTAAGCAGTTATCCTGGAAATTTGATGACAAGATTTGGTTTATGTCCCGCCCGCCCGCACACCCACACGCCCGCCCGCCCAACAGCACAAGACGACGGCAATATAGCACTTTTTCAAAGTGCGATAAAAATACTGCCAATTTTGAAGTGCCCGCCATTTTGAAAAAGTTTTACAACTCATCATTATAGATCTTTCTCCCAAATATAAAGATAATCTGTCTACTGATATTTGAGTTATGCTATGGTTGGACAGACAGACTGACAATCAGATGGATGGATAGACAAGCAGAGCGCTTCACTATATGATATCCCTATCGAACTTAATTTGAGAGGATAATAAAGAACTTAAATGACGAAAAATAATCATGTGCAGACGTTTTATTAAATTCTTGACCAATTATATTAGTGAAGGCGTATTTAAGACATATTAAAGACATTATCCTAAAGAATAATTTGGGAAAGTGATCTTTGTTAGAAAGAAAATGATTAATTTGACGAAAGGTTAGATTAAGTATATCTCTCTTTCTCTAGGAGCAATATGGTAATTTCTATTATTACCCCTTTTAAGACTCATTTAAATTATTTGGCTCCAGACAAGCTGGATAAAAAATTATCTCCACATTTAAGGAGAGTCACTTTACTTATCTTCAAATGCTGCCATTTCATTATCATCGCCCTAATAAGCTTACCAACAAAGCAAAATACTAAATCATCAATGCTTACAGGTCTCAATTTATGAGATTTGGATTCTCGTCGAATACAAACTTCCCAATAATGGCACAAGACATTCATCATTCATGCAATATTCTGTATATTCACTGATTCAATAGATCATAAAATATTTTTATCGAGCAAAACCTATCCAAGTGACACATAGTTAAGGCAGGTTTGACAGTTCATAATTGATTGTCTTCACCTATTATTGCATTGAGATTCCTTAACAGACAATTCGAGCATGTTAATACTAAAAATTCATCATCATGGAGCCGTAATTTAAGAGAATAACACAGCAGGAAATTGCGCGATTCCAGTGATTTAGTTTGAGCGTCAAATATAAATCTGATACAAATTATTCCAGTTGGGTAACTCTGTTTTTCTGTTTTCAAAACAAATTCTGACAAGGCATTAACATGCAAAATGTCACCACCAGCCATTTGTTACAGACTCCAAAAGCTGATCACCAACCGGCATCACAAAAAACATTTTTGGTAAAAAAATATAATAAAAATTGTGACTGGTGAAAAATTGAAACACTAGATTTATATGTAGTATATGCACTTATGATTCTTAATGATATGTTTTTATCTTATACTTAATCGGTCTACCATTAAACACATATTCAATGATCCAAGGATCCATGTTTTATAGATACACTGTATTATTATTGAGTTGTTGTTATTGCACAAATATTTCAGATTATTGATTAACTATTTATGATGCATGTAGACCAAATCTCTGCTACTGACACTAATTATATAGATATTTACTTCATATATATTGCAGTCTGTGAATGTATGGGTTGACATGGTGGAGTTGATGTGGTATTCAATGGCAAGAGTTGAAATGGTCTGTAATGGCATGGGTTGATATCATATACGAGTTGATGTGGAATGTAATGGTAAGAATTGAAATGGTCTGTAATAGCATGGGTTGATATGGTGGAGTTGATGTGGTATTCAATGGCAAGAGTTGAAATGGTCTGTAATGCTTTGGGTTGATATGGTGAAGTTGATGTGGTATTCAATGGTAAGAATTGAAATGTTCTCCAATGGTTTGGGTTGATATGGTGGAGTTGATGTGGTATTCAATGGCAAGAGTTGAAATGGTCTCTAATGGTTTGGGTTGATATGGTGGAGTTGATGTGGTATTCAATGGCAAGAGTTGAAATGGTCTCTAATGGTTTGGGTTGATATGGTGAAGTTGATGTGGTATTCAATGGTAAGAATTGAAATGTTCTCTAATGGTTTGGGTTGATATGGTGAAGTTGATGTGGTATTCAATGGTAAGAGTTGAAATGGTCTCTAATGGTTTGGGTTGATATGGTGGAGTTGATGTGGTATTCAATGGTAAGAGTTCAAATGGTCTCTAATGGTATGGGTTGATATGGAGTAAGGAGCTGATATTGGATATAATGGTAGAAGTAGACATTGCAATGTTTTATTATGTACAGTACAGATGTACATTTAAAAAAGATATATAGGAAATTGCTAGTAAATCAAGTTGTAAGAGTCCTCAAGGCCAATGAATTAAAACTAGATTTGTGAAATTGAACAAGTTCAATTCAAGACTCCAGATCCCAGATTTTTATTTAAAAACTATTTTGACATCTGATGTTGATGAGAAAATGAGAAAGAAAATGTATCTGCTCTATTTTTACCAAATTTAAAACCAAAATATTGAACTTTAGTGTGTTAAAGCAAAAATTGACCTAGATTTTGATCGTTGACACTAAAAATTTTGAGTTAACCTACTTTTTATGATCCTATTATTTTGTTTTAACTTAATTTTAAGTCGTATTGAGAATTTCAAAAATTTAACATTTTTAACTTTAAAAGGTCATAGAAGGTCAAAGTTGGATCTCAATTTCTGAGCTGCATGATGAAAAAAATCAAGAAAAAATAATAAACCATACCAAAGATAATTGACAAATTGTGATTTAGACCTTCGACCTAGATAAAAATTTGACCTAATTTCAGAGAAACTAGGTCACATACCCTAACTGACCATGTAAATGGATTTACCATAAGTCTTCTAGTTACTGAGAAAACGTGCTAAGAATAATAACAATAAGAAAAATTCAGGCAAAAACAATAGACTCCAGATTTTCAATCTGGAGTTAATAAGAGAAATGCATTTGTCCCATAGCAGGAAATGCATTATGACGCAGAGTGATAGATTATTGCAAAATGGGCTTTATGAGATAAGTCAGGGAAATAAAGGCAAAAATAGATTGTCATTAATCACAGAATAGTTAATATGTGATAACATTCCCTAGATTTGATAATAAACATTATGAGATTACTAATTCCTATTGTTTTACATGTTGCATTGATAGGCCATAAACAGAGGTCTTTATTGTATAAATCACAACTGTGTCTGGACCCTAATACAGTTTAATACTTTTAACATTGATACAATTACCGTA